AACAACGCTTCACTATTTGTGCTGCCCTGCCACCCCTTTTACACTTAATAAAACCATTGGTCTAACTCGTTTCTGGATCGTTAAAGGCGAGGTCGCAACTTAAATTTCCCACCAAGACCGCGGGAGCTACCAAGACTGCATTTGTTCTGTTGTCCCGCCCCGCTGTTTAAACTTATATGGCTATCGGTCGCTGTTGTTTCTGAAATCGACGAATTGTTTGTGGTATGCGCTCTTCTGCAAGACATGAAACAAGATTGTGCTTCTGCAAAGCAAGCTGAGTTGAAGCAATAGTACAAAGCCCAAAGATGTTGTGACATCAGTAGCAAATTAGCAAAAAAAACTTGAGCGGCGCTTAGGAAGCTTGCTGTGTACCAGTGCACGCGATGACGAATTGCTGCATCATCCCATGTTTTCCTATTCCAGGTTGAAAGTTTGCATTGTCACCTTGACCTTAAGTTACGAGAGTATGTATATATATATATATAACGAGATGCAGAATCTTCTTCAATAAGTGTTTTCCTCAGGAGTGGTTGGGATAGCTTGCTGGGATAATATGGGATAGTGTTTAAGAAAAATGATGCGCAAAGGGCGGGGTATTGTTTTATTGTGTCTTGCAAAAGCTTGGTCCTGGTGAGGCCTGGTGAGGATCCGGTTCCACCCAGCGGGCAGAACCAGACCCTATGCTTCGATGTCAGACCCGGTGAATCGGGGTCCGGTGTGGGGTCCTTGGGTCCGGTTCCGCCCAGCGGACAGAACCAGACCCCACATTTCTCACATTCCGCCCTGAAAATGCTTGCATATTCGGGTCTGGTTCTGCCCGCTGGGCGGAACCGGACCCAAGGACCCCACACCGGACCCCGATTCACCGGGTCTGACATCGAAGCATAGGGTCTGGTTCTGCCCGCTGGGCGGAACCGGATCCTCACCAGACCTCACCAGGACCAAAAAATTTGCTTCGATTCAAAATTAATTTAAATCCTTTGTAATTATTTTTTCAAAAATGATTAGAAATTGATTTTGAAGCTTGCCCCTATTAAAAAGTTCAAAACTTTAATATCAAAAAGCCCTCGATTCAAAATCAGTTCCAATCCTCATCATTTTCAAAATATGTTCAAAACATTGCCCAAAATTGATTCTGAAGCTTACCCCTAATAAAAGTTCAGAACCTTCATATAATAAGTAAATTTGCTGCGATTCAAAATTCATTCAATTCCTTGTCAAGCTTTGTTTGAAAAATGAGGGGACCCAACTATAAAACATTCGTGATCTTTTTATACTTCATGGAGGGGTGTTTTTTATCATCTCCAAAGGATGAGATGCAACAATAGATCATAATAGATCATAATCATCTGTGGGGATGGGTTATTGATCTCACATTGCTCCAAAAAGATGAAACCAGGCTACCCAGGCTTTTTATTGGGGGTCAGTTGAGGCTTCGATGAAATGAACATGATGAACTGATGAACTCGTTGATTTCCAAATTGAGGCCAAGAACCAGGAATATGACATAGTGACCAAAACAGAACTCGAGGAAGACGCGGAAGTAACCATTGCCCCCAAAAAGGAACAACAATCTAGCAATATCTAGCAAACATCAGGACATCACTGATATCACCTGAAGGAGTTAGCCTTGGGGAGGGCATCCAGCTATATCCAGCCACTTGGCAAAGATTTCGTCATGGGATCCGCGAAGATGCACCACCGGGTTGAAATACCAACATCTTGGTAGAGGATTATAGGTCCTACACACACAAAGACCATATAGAAACCATACAGAAACCCGGGCGCTGGGAGCTTGTCCAAAAAATTGGGTCAAGAATTCATAGCATCCTGTGGTGGTTAACCAAGCAGTAGCCAATTGAAAGGTGAAGGTTGCATCATGAGGAATGGATCAGTTCTGATTCCTGGAGGTTGTAGCCTCTCATAATAAGACTGTAAATAAAACACCACAGTTGATAGATGTTGATAGCCTATTTGTTTCAGCTCACTCCCAGCAATAAAAGGAAAAATTCCATTGGAAGTCAAGGCCTCATGTTCGTGATCTGTAGTCCCCGTGGCAGGTTCAGCGAGCGCAGAAATTTGCACACCTGTTTGCTCAGATGGCCGTTCCTCAGCTCACCGTTGCCAATGGAAAATAATCTGGTAGTTTTTCAGTTCTCCTGAACACCAAATTAAAATATTCACTGTTTGTATCAGTGGGGAAGTTTCCGAGAAGTCTAAGCCTCTGAGTCCTTAAAAACTACCAGCTTAAAAAATAAATGCCCTGCATAAATGTGATCACTTTGAACTAGATTCTGACTGTAGGTCCTTCATAGTTCTCGACAGAGTATGGGACTTGATCCATTGTCCTCTGTACCACACAGCGCAATGAGCGGATGGACGCCGATGCCCCTGCAAAAAGTCACCGAAGAACTGTCCTGCAGAGTCGTTGCCAGCCAACTGATTTGAAAAACACGGCAGACACCAAGCCTCCCTGAGTCATCCCAGAAGGGCCAAATCATCCCAAGATATCCCAAGTCTCTAGGTTTTTGCGCAGAAAACCTTTCACCTGCTCAACCCGCGCTCCAATGGTAGTGTGCCCAACACGTATGCCAAGATTCGCAGTGGCATACATAGATAGAGTATTTCTCGTTCCAGACCGCGGGCCGCATTTTGCCAATATCTCGGCCACAAAAATAAAAACACTCAACTGGGTCCGCTTGAGGAGCCCCATGCACCTGGCAACCTCTAACACAAAGCAGAAACACCAACAAACTAGCACTAAGAATCAGCATGCTCAACAAACAACATCTTTCCGCATCATCCCGCATCATGTCAAATCTGCAGGTGTAAGGCGTCAAAATCCTCCAACAAAAGAATGAAAAGGGTGAGTGACAATTCAGATATAATTCTTTCCATGTCTTTCCAGTGCCCAGCTGCATGTTGGGAACAAGCAATGCGCTGGTTGCTGCCGTGGTTTCTCCAGAGCCATTGCGCTAACGGAGGCGCTGCAAATTAATCCAAATATCCCTTGAGTTAGATTTCTGAACCGGTCACCAAAAATTCGTCCAACTAAATTAATCCAATGAAATTAATCCTGGAACTGACGGGGGTATTTGTATTAGTTAGCTAAGGTGCCACCCATGGCATTTTGCCACCCCAAAAAAATTGGCAGCCAAACGCTGCTGCGGTTCTATGCAATCACTCCACAAGGTAAAGCTGAACGTATCAAAATATTGATTTTTTGCTATAGTCCAACAATTGGTAGCCAACAATGCTGGCACACCAACGATATAAAGATAGTGATTGTTTACGCATGTTGGCCTTATCAAGTGGAAATTGGAACAGGAATAAACACTGGATATATAGAAATTGGTTCTGGTGAGTTTGCGCCCCCCCCCCAAAAAAAATGTACGGAATCATATGGTAAGCCTTTGCCCCCCCCTACCGTACATTAGCAAAGGGGGGAGGGATGTATCATTGTCATTTATTATTTAGTTAATTTTCAGGTTATCAAATTTATAGAAATTATGATTCAATATTATAATTCAATATTATTTAATATTATTAATATAATTTAGATTCCGTCCAATTTGTAGTGGTTACTAATTTGGTCCCTTTAAATTCCCTAACAAAATAATTGTGTATGGGGGGCAATAAATTCCAAAAATTAGGTGGGGTATCCTTATAATATGTCTCAACCCGAAATCAAAATTTTAGCCCAAAACCTCTGTACCGGTCTTGAGGTATCTTATTCTGTAATGAAAATTCAATAGGGCAGATATTACAATGCCTTTGTACTGCACAGATAATTTGAGCATATTTGAGCAATATGCTTTGGAAGGTAAGTTACACCTATATCGCTGGCAACACCACAACTTCAATCTTAGATCAAGAAATTATTAAGATAACTTAATTTACGTAACATCGCTTCCCGGCGATCAGACTAGTATAGAAGGAACATAATTTTATACAATATATAATAAATCCTCTTGGGAATTCACTTACAGTAAAGGGTTGAGGTGTCTGATTCTATAGGTACAAAATCAGGACCCCCAAGAAAAAAATGTCTTTTTCTATATATAATCAGGACCCCCAAGAAGAACTCAACTGTACAAAATCGAGGCCTCCAAGGTTCAGTTTGTGTGAAATTTTAAGTAAAAAAAGGGTCTACATTCTACATTGGGTAGGCTGGGTTGGCTACAGAATCAAGAGCCCCAAGCTTAAACATCAGAAATTTAAGCAAATTTAAGTAAAACCAACCCACTTCTGTCTGACAATGTAGTTGAGACCTCGAAGTCTGTACAGCCTGATCTTTTTTTGAAGGGGGTGCAGTCCCTGATTTTAAAGCTTAAACATTAGGGTCGGTGAAGTTCGAGCTAGTGACTTTGGGGGGGTACAGTCCCTGATTATATAATGATACCAAGTATTACTAAATGGTTGCCTGATCATATTGTTTTGCACAAGACCCTAATTGTATACAGGACCCTGTCAGTGTTTGTTTTAAGTGATTTTTATGTTGTTTGCGCTTTTCTATGTTTTTCTTTGAATAAAAATCCAGCAAATTCCAAAAGAATCCATAAGATTGCAAAAAAAATCCAAAAGATTAAAATACATATATTAAAATATTATATATAATTCTATAATATTCTATATATGTATACATCTGTGTAAAATCAAGACCCCAAAGCCTCACAGTGGAAAAATAGGAACAAGGGCTTGATTTTAGGGTGTATTTTAGCATAGTACAGAGATTGAACCCCAAGCCTTGCCTCGAGTCTAGCATAGAATGGAAATCAATATAAAATAAGAACCCCCAACACCATATGCACTAAGCTAGCCCTAGTATAAAACGTAGACCTCCAAGCTCGAGTTTGACACCCTGAGACCTGTATAGAATCACAACCCTCCCCAGTGGAGCCCAACCACAGAGGGAAACCCCTGTATAAAATGAACCTGTTTTTGGAGCTCAACCCCCCGGATTTTGTACAGCTATATACAAGGGGGATTATATATAATAATTAGTAACTATGATTATCCTGATTACTAGTAATCATCAATCGTAGTAACAATATGTAACAATGTATTGGCTTGCTGCCAAGAATATACAGTTTTGGTTCATTTAGACTTTTCATCGCAAAGAATGCAAGTTGCAAGAGTCGCAAAAGAGCTTGACGTTCCGCATGCTCCTCGGAAACAATCTCTGGGTTATTCAAGTGCAGAAAGATCTCAACAAAATAGGTCAAGCATGGTCAAGCACTGTTGGGCCTCCCTGCCACCCTCTCATGTTCGAAGAAAATTGGTCGTAGAAAGGCAATCTCTTTGTCCTGCAAGGATCATAATTGAGCTTAGACTTCTTTCAATATCGTGGCATGCAATGAAGCTGGCCTGAACGGAATTCTCATCCGCATCCCTGGCACCAACGACAGATCCTCGGCACCTTCGGCTACACCAACTTGAAGCATAAACCAATGCATCATTTTCTCAGCATTCAGCGTCAACGATGCTCAAACTGGCGCTCAGGGAAGTCGCACCTTTTCTTTGCTTGCCGGAGTTCTGTGCACAAAAAGAGCTCGTCGACGAGCAAGGAGAAGATTTGATTTGAGTCTGCTTCTGCAGCTGCAAGTGTGATGGACGCATTGGATGAAAGCACTGGATGAAAACTAGATGAAAGCACTGTATGATCTGTATGTATTCAGAAACTCTCACAATCTAAAAATATCTAGGTTATAGCCATCACACCTGCCAAGTTGCCAAGAGCTATTCCAGCCTCATGAAATTTCATGAGTTCAGAAATGGAAAACACGATTTCTTCTGCATTTCAGTCACTCCCAAAAGAGGTAGAAAGCAGGCAAGTCCAGTGACCATCATGAAGAGGACGATTGTTCTGAGCAATCTGAAGTTGGGCCCTGGTACCTGCTGGAATGCTTCTCTGATGCCCTTCCACTTCTGCAACTTAAGTCTCACCCCAGCTTGCGACACATACATAAGGCGGGGCTCTAAGCTGTCGTTATTGATGTGCAGGGTAAGGTCAGCCAGTGGCTCCAATTCTGCAACAGCGTTTGTCACTGCATCGAAGGATGTGCGCAAAGCTTTTGGGCTGGTTACACGCCCTCCCTCGCGAGCAACAGAGGACCGCTGCTGCATGATATCCCAACTGGCGAACACATGAATGATTGCTATCCGATACTGAGGATAGGCTGCTCGAATTTCGGCAAAGAATGCTTTTTGCCGAGTAGCATTCCTGAAGCTGCAAAATCCCAACATATCCCAACCCTTGCAAGCTTTGCTTTCATGATCTTTCATGTCCAGCTTGTAAGCTGTGATTAGTCAAGTTGGGAGAAGAATATACCAACATAGTGGCTCTGGGATGAGAAACATCATGGGGGCTTTTTGTTAAGGCGCCTCGGCATGCTTAGGATTGCTTAGGCAGCATTTGAATTCATCCAAGAGTCCGCAATGATCCATCCACGAGGATGTGACGGCCTTGTCGCAGAGCTTCCCACTGGGCGATGAGAGCGCAAGTGCCAGCTTCTTTCTGAGTCATCACAGCTGCTTCTGGCCCATCGCGCTTCAAGTAGCCCGACCACTCTGGTAGTTGAGTTCGAATTAAATCTGGGTCCGTTCTCACTAGGTCCAAAGGCAAGTGGCCCTGCTCAAGCATCCACGATACCACATAAGATTTGCCAGCGAAAAACGACCCTGCTGTAAAAACAATCCATGGATGAGGATCTGTAGTCCCAACAGACCCAGCTCCACTGGACCCGAGGATTCGCTCTATGATTGCATCTTGCAACTGTTGCCGCTTCAACCCATAACACCCATGGTATTCAAAGTCCATTTCTTCGCGGATGGCTTTGTAAGGTCCTGCCATTGTTCTGCCTTTCACCTGGTAGTTGTCAGAGGTCTCGTGGTCCCAAGCATAGTTCTCAGGGACCTCAAAACATCTCAGAACCACATCTCTAATGCAAATGCTGCACTGCTGCTACACAGGGTCCAAGTTTCCTTGTATGGGAGCTCACTTTCTGAAAACTATACACCACAACTTCTCATACATGTAGATTTCATTTCAGGAATTGCATATACAAACTTTGGGCTACTTGGGTGACTTCTCATGCCAAACTCATGCTTTCTTTGACGTGTGGTTCTGCCTCCCAAAAGTCTGAAGGATGCTGTGCACAGTTTGTCTTCATGATGAGCTTCTAATTTCTAGGCTGCCACCCACCGAAGGCAAACCGTTGGAGTGAAACAAAGGTACCGCAAGGCAGAATCCAGGGAGTTCAAACCCAGTGAGCAAGCATGATGCTGATGAAGTCTTGCGATATTTGCGATTGCAGCTATTACCTTGCTGACAATGATGTTTTCCTTGACGGTGTGGATTGATTTTCCCATCAATGCGTTGTGTCACGCAAAACTGAAACTTGGTGGTATGAGCCAGTTTGAGCCAATCAAGGTGCAAAGCCATCTTTTGGCACCTATGCAGCTATGGAACGCTACGCATGCTATGGATGCCGTCAACACTTCCAGAGCATGTTGAAAACACGATAAGAAACGTGAATGCCAAAACTTCCAGAGCATGCTGCGCACCAGCCTGCGTAAGCTTTGGACACGAGCAAGGCAATGCGACGACCAAGCCGACACCGTCTCGCTCGTAGAACGCAGCCCAAGAAGCGTTGCAGATCTTACAGTAGCGAGACTTGTCACTCTTGGGTCCAAGAAAGTGGCTGGTAAAAGCAATCGAGGTTCAGGTATGCAAGGGGTATCTGAAGCATTTGTTTTGCGGGGGCTTCATGTCTGTTGCACAAGAATGCATTACAGTCACATACAGTCAACGCATTCATAACAATCCATCTTTGGGCCCTCAACCCTGCGGAAGACGCGAGAAGTCTTCGAGAAACTTAGATCAACATAGAACAACGTGTGATGAGTTGACGTGAAGTCCCACAGCTTCCAGTATTTCAGTTGCACCGAGCCAATCACCATGTCTTGGCAGTGAACACCAAGACTTTCCTTGAGCACAAGCCTGGCAGAACAGGGAATTTGAGCATTTTGAATCTGATGTAATAGGGATCAACGCACCAAAAAATGGTAATAGTACGGGCAAGCACCTCGATTTGCCCGCGCTTGTCGGCGGCCATCTTCGTATGTGCTGAAAACGTGATAAAAACGGGAGTTTTTTGCATCATTGCTCACTTCATGTTGTATATCGGCACGCACAGCATAAGGACCTGTGCGAGCGCTTACACCACATCATCATCATCATCATCATCATCCTCATCATCATCATCACCATCATCATCATCATCATCATCATCGTCAAACCCTTATTGAAGTTCTTCAATGAATGTAGAAGTTTAACGGGGGTGGGAGAATTAAACCCTTATTGAAGATCTTCAATGAATGTAGAAGTTTAACGGGGGTGGGAGAATTAAACCCTTATTGAAGATCTTCAATGAATGTAGAAGTTTAACGGGGGTGGGAGAATTAAACCCTTATTGAAGATCTTCAATGAATGTAGAAGTTTAACGGGGGTGGGAGAATTAAACCCTTATTGAAGATCTTCAATGAATGTAGAAGTTTAACGGGGGTGGGAGAATTAAACCCTTATTGAAGATCTTCAATGAATGTAGAAGTTTAACGGGGGTGGGAGAATTAAACCCTTATTGAAGATCTTCAATGAATGTAGAAGTGTAACGGGGGTGGGAGAATTAAACCCTTATTGAAGATCTTCAATGAATGTAGAAGTTTAACGGGGGTGGGAGAATTAAACCCTTATTGAAGATCTTCAATGAATGTAAAGTTTAACGGGGGTGGGAAATTTATATTCCCTAAATACCCTTGTTGATCTTCCCAATTGAATGTAAAGTCTAACGTTTGATATCCCCAAGTGTACAGCATAGAAGGGGTGTGGGCGAATCGGGGTGTTTGCGCGTAATAGTAAATTATATATACGTGTATGTATATATATACACGTATATATAATATATATATACACAGTATATATATATATATTGTTATTACTCTAATCATCATTATATCATTATTGTGATTATTACCAATTTTGTTGTTATTACTATTACTATTATTGCAACTTATTACTATTATTACTATTATCACTATCATTACCATCGTTACTATTATTACTATTATTACTATTCTTGCTATTTTTACTATTATTACTATTATTACTTTTTATATTCTAACTAATCTAACTATTATTACTATTATTAATATTCTTACTACTATTATTACTATTATTAAAATTCTTACTATTATTACTATTATTATGATTATCAAAATTATTATCTATCATATCTATTATAACTATTCTCACTATTCTTACTATTCTTATTCTTATTATTATTACTATTCTTATTATTACCATTATTACTATTCTTATCTATTATATATAACTATTATTACTATTATTACTTTATTATTAGTATTATCACAATCTATTATTACTATTATTACAATTGTAATTATGTCATATTATATACACTACATACATGTACATTTACAGTACATGTACATACACATGGATCGTGTGGACAGGGCCTCAAGGCTGTGGAGAAAGTCTTCGGTGAAAGTCATGCCCAGGCTGCCAACTTCTCGCAATGGCCTAAGTGACATGATTCATTGGACAATACATGGTGAACACATGGTTAAAAGATGGTTAACAAATGCACATGTGAGCATTTGAACATGTTTAAAACATGTGTTTGAACGTCATGATCCAATGCAAACGTTTCTCAACAGCTTCCTTTCAATGCATTGGATCCGATTTGATCCCCTCAGGTCCCTGCTCTGCAAATACATCAGGAAGCGTTTCTCGGGTCGAAGAATGTGCAATATGTGCAATTCTCAAGAGAGCATGTAGGAGCCATGTAGGAGCCATGTAGGAGTCGTAGGAGCTCAAACAGTTCCAATATATTTCAATAGATTTTAAAGGCATTTATTTCTGCTAAGGCTTGCACCAGTCAGGCTGGACAGAGATGCGCTTATGGGCCTTTCACTTCAATGTTAGTGTCAATGAAGCGCTGACCACGAATCTCATCGTAGTCGCGTTGCTGTCTCAACCAAGTCATCCTACGTGGTCATCCTACGTGTTCCAATTTCAGAATGCTTGTCTTGCCTGGAGCCACGGCGATTGAACGCCTTGGATTGAAAGTTGATTGGTTGCAGTATATTGCAGTACAATTTGTGATATTTCTGCAGCTGGGACCAGTACTTTGATCAAATTGCACGACGAAGCTAAATCAAATTTCCATATTCATCAATATTCTACAGCATTAAGTGATTGCTTGGGAATTGTGGCAAAGTCTGAAGCTTCCTCTGCAGCACTTTCGAACGCTACAAACTTGATGCCAAGTTTCCTGATAGATCTGATGATCCAGACAATCATGCTGGTCCAACATCTGCCAGCTTGGGACAAGGTGACAAGCTCAGAAGAGCAGAATTGCCGTGAAGAAACTTGATCCGACTTGATCCGGATAAACTGGTGATATAAAATGAAACACTTCAATTTATCAAAGTATATATATTATATATATATATGTACTGGAAGGCACCTCCACAGCCAGGGAAGCTTCTCGGATACCAAGAGAAGCCTCTCAACTGGCCGACTGCAGCAGACTAATGGAATGTAATCTCCATTGAAGAGTGTGGCAAGGAGGCATTGAGATGCACTTGATCAAATGAGTGCAATCCATTGCGGACATTTGCGGACTGCGTCATCATTGGTGTGTGACGATTGTGTGATCCGTCGGAACTGCTAGGGCTATCTGTGGCATCCAAGGCAGACTATTTTGACAATCGCAAACGCTGACACTTGCAAAACTGCGTTGTAAGAATGAACAAGACGAAGCAGCATGAGGCAGCGTGGCAATCAACATGACATGTATCCTGGGCATGCAAGGGCAATGTAAGTCTGTTGCTAATTCTCAACCACATTCAAACGCGCGTAGGTTAGGACGGGGACAGCCTGACTTGGGACAGCTCGTCGAACTCGCAGCCAATCTGGAAGGTCAGAACGAATCTGAGCAAGCCTTTGATTCGCTTCAAATCACACTCTGCAAAACGGAGCATTAACAACTATACCATCTATCCAGTCTATCAGTCTATCAGTGCGAATACCAAAAGTCACGGTCTTGAGACGTCTCTCGTCTCTGATCTTATGTAGGCTGAATGTCTTGGCACCGCACAACAATGTCACGGATCTGGCTGTTGATTTAACTTCTCTGCAAGCCTTGTTGGATCGTCGCTGATATAGCATGGATTCCCTTTGTTGTATACATTTTTTGCTGACAATGCGTGTTGAAAACAAAATTAGTGGTGTCTGCGAGGCCTCCATTGTGAGAGCGTAGAATTGCGGTGCGATCCTTCAGCGACATGATCGCAAATATATTCAAAACATCTCAAATACTGTACCGAGAGAGTCCAGAAGATCAGTGCCTTTCAAGCAAGTACTCCTGAACTTGAAAACGGCAGTGGAAGTACATGGAAGTACAGTAGATTCTCAGTCTGTCCTCAAAGACTGTCGCTGCATTTGCCGAAGGGCCGATGCAGCGACCACCAAATCTTGGCCGCATGGAACTCATTCCAAAACAACGCATGATTCCAAGACCGCAGCCCGGGCATCGGTCCACCATTCTAAAACCTCCACGGTTCTCCCTCTGAGAAAAGAACTTCCGCCATTGGCACAAGCTCCAAGAACGATTCCAAACGATGCCTGGTTGGCATTGAGCCTGCCGAGCATGGATTTAAGATGTCATATGAAGAACACATGAGAAATCAACATATTACACATTACTACACCATATCACACACCAAAGTAAATATACATATCATATATACATATCATATATATATAACTATATGTACATATAATTACATATATATATATATTTATATTTATAGTACGACATACGACATAGTACCACTATGTATGAGTAGTAAGTCTACCAAAGCTGATCCAATTTTGCCCATCTTGACCTCAGTGGTAAAATGTGGCAAAGGCCACCTCTGTAAGGTAGCCAAATTCACATAGGACAGCCTCGGTAAAGACATTTCACACGACAGCACTCAATATACTCAACAAGTCTTTGTCGGATCTATTGGTATTAAGGATGACGCGCTCTCTCCCAGCGACTTACCTGGAGACTTGAACGGAGGTGCCTGAGAAAAAACATTTTCAACCACTTAGTCACTTTAAGATGTCATTTGGATTCTTTGAAGTGATATCAACAGGTCTGAAGGACTTGGGGATATGGATGCTGTACTCCTTCAGTGCCACGCAGAGCCTTCTCCAAAGATGAAGCAGCTACATTATGTGCAATGATGTCCAAGTGGAAGTTCTGCCTGGGTCAAGACTGTCAAAAGAGTGAAGTCTGCCAACAGCAGCAGGATGATTACTGTGAGATGGTGTGAGCAGCCATTTCTGTCCATTTCCCTTTGTTTGATTTCCGAGTTTCCGTCTGCTTTGTGTCCTCCAGCAAGTCGCAGCTAGCTTTCCATCGCATTCCCTGGAGACTGTGGTGAGATGAAGTTTTTTGAAAACATACCAGTATTATATAGTATTATCCAGTATCGATGGAACGATTATGTGCACACATGATGGCATGGCACTCTTTGAGATTCTGGCCTCATGTAAAGCACCAACCGCGCAGCTGCATGCAACGATATCCAGCCTGATTCGCTTCGGGCATGTCTGTATTATGTGATGAGTAGTGACTAGAAGCAATTCACAACTACAAGATACTACAACTACGATCAAGATCGATTAAGTACAATTAGCATGCAGATTGCGAGGATCTGACTTGACACCAAACTGCTCGCTATTTGTCAAGCAATGCAGCGGGAGCTTCCACTCCAAGCCCTAGCAGAAGTCTCAACAGCATTACAAGACAAAAACGAGATGATCGCAACATATCGCAACAATGTGCTCTGACATGTGCAACGAAATGTGCAACGGAATGTGCAACGAAATGTGCAACTATCCCATTTTCACATCTCTTCACTGGCCCAAATGACATAATCTGCCGTGCGAAAACCTCAGCAACTGCACTCATAAGCATTTTTTTTTGCTGCATCGCTCACTGAGGGTGGGGGAATAGTCCTTGCTGAAAAATTCGCCCGCCTGCCATGACAAGCTGGATGAGATTGGCCATGCCGGATGCACTCTATGCTGCCCCATGTCACATGTCACAAAAGGAATGTCCGGTGACATGCGGTGACGCCTTCGCAAATTCTCTGGAGACAAATACGTTTTGAGCAAACTGAAAGCTCCCACCTCCCGGGGCTCCTCTCGGTCTTGGTGCTTCAATAAAGAATGTAAGAATATGGCAGCATTGAATAACAGTATACAGTATATACTGTATAATACTATTTATATAATTAATATTTATATTACTAGTGCAATCTAGTAATTACATACATACAATGTATCACAATATCTTGCAATACAAAAACAACAACATACAATCAATCTGGAGCACGACAAGTTGTCCTCGAACCGATCGGCAAGCTTGCCTTTTTCTTTAGTGCTTGTTGCACGAAACCGCACGCCAAGCCGATCCTCGATACGAAGTGTGCCAAGTTGGAACTCTAGGACCCTAGGCGATGTCTGCTTGTGGGACGCAGCGTGTGATGCCTGTCTATTCACAAGATCTCAGGAATCTCAGGAGAAACTGAGCCCGCAACAAGCAGGTCTGAAACAACTTTTCGGATCACAGGATCGCCTTTGCTTCCCTGCAGAATGCAGTTCTCACAGGAAGGCTTTCAGAAGGCATCCTTGCGAGTCAGCAACCCATATTGAATGCTTCCCTTTTGGGCAGCCTTCAGGTATCCTGTGATGATGATGTAAAAGGGCGCTGGGGCAGACTGAAGCAGCTCTGGCACAACCTGTGGCACGTTTAGATCTTTCATGATCTTTCAATATTTGTAGAAACTTCAGTTTGTAGAGGAACTGCAAGTGACTTCAAGCAGGCATCCATTTGACCAAACCATCCAAAACCAATGTCGGCAATGCACTTATCCTTCAGAAGTGGCGCACTGTTACTCTCAAGACTTGGAGAGCGCCTGACCGATCCACCATCGCACAGCCAGCTGTGCTGCACCACGTGAGAGATGGTGCAAGTCCAGAACATTGGCTCCTACGCATCCTTATCCATCTTACATCATCTTACTAGTATCACAGAAATTACCAGAACGTGTCGCCAAAAATTGTGTCTTTTTTTACTTTCTATTCGACCTATTGCTGACTCATCTCAACAGATATGTGCACAACACACACACACAAACACACATACAATGTATGTATACTGTATATGGCATATATCGATAACATTCAATGTAGTCCAGTAGCACGTATGAGTAGGAACCAGTTAATGCCAAATTTAATCAAATTTACACACATCAATGTAAACAATTTCAAAATCCTTCAAATGCTGCCACTATCTTCAAATTTAAAAGTCCTCTGCAGAGGAGTTCGGGGTAAACGCCGCTTTGCACTGCCTCACACCAGATTTCCTCCCCATATTCGACATCATGTAGAGCATTCAAGACATTGTTGTAGCTTCGAAGGCCTGGTAACATCTGCAAAGTGGGTATAGACTTGAAGATAAACAAAGCGGACTGCCAAAGATGGGCAGTTCGATAAGCTTCCATAGCTGCTCCGCAGGTGTCTGTGTTTGGATCGATTTTCACCTGTTGCATCATCTGAAGAATTTCTAGAGCTTTTTGCCACTCGGAGGAAGCACAAGTGTTCATTGCCGCATTCCAATGAATACGATTGGGTAATGAACTCACAGATGTCATCAACAAAAGAAGATCTAGTGCGATTGTCCACTCCTGCGGCGCTTTGAGGGAAGCGAGCGTGGCAGAAAAACACGCCTCATTTGGTGGAACTTTGACTTTGACCATTTGATTCAAGAGGCCAAGGGCCAGCTCCCATTGCCCTGACTCGTCACAGGCACCCATTGCTGCACTGTAACATGCAGCGTCCGGAAGCAGCTGAGTGAATTGCATGGTGTTGAATAAGTGAAAGGCCCACTCCCATTCTTGGGAGTTCACGCAAGAAGTCATGGTGCTTGCGAAGCAAAATTCATTGGCCACCAAATCAAGTTCAGGCATGCCGGAAAGCAAACTCAAGGCTTTCTGCCAATTTCCCTTCTCTTGGAAAGCTTGAAGAATCGACGAACATGTTACCGTGTCAACCTCTAAGTCCCACTCGTGGACTGACAACGCCAGCTGCACTGCACGGCCTCTCTGGCCAGACTGCAGGCAAGCATCAATTGCGATGTTCAGGCTTCTGATATTTGCAGCGATTTTGTTTTCCGCCATATCATTCAAAATGTCAAAGGCTTGCTCCCACTCTTTTGCATCTGCACTTTGCCTTAATACAGAATTGTAGGAGACAACGTCAGGCTGAAGATTTGCTGTCCTCATCCATGCCAGCCATTGTGTGCTTCCTTGTCCCTGCGTGTCCTGACATCTATAAATCTAAATATTCATCTAAATTCATGATACTGGTACCAGGCACTTGCATCATTGGTAGGAGCTGCAGGCGTTGCAAAGTCATAGTGACAGGAGGGTCAATGAGATCTGAATAATAATTGCAGTACTCCTAAGCTTTTTCATTCCCTCTTCTAAAACATTCCCAAACGCGTCCTGAAACGCGCTGATGAGTGTATTGCAGTGGGTCGTGCTGACCTCAATTCCATTGCCGCGCATGAAGTCCAAGACTAGCTTGGCAACTTGTCCACGCCCCCGTTCTACGAGCATTTGCAGCCTTGGATCTTTAATGTGAAATATGTGTGAGAACTTGCTTTCAACAAATTCAGACGCACTATTTTGTGGTGAATTGTGATATGCCGAAGGTTTGAGTCTGAGTGCCCAGCAGATTTGTAACCCAGTGCGGATTCTGCAACCAGCTACCTGGACGAAGCTTGCTGTCAGATCCCTTCAGATCCCTTCAGTATGCTGCATTTTTCAATCCAGCCCTCCAGCCCTTGCCTACATGTCGCAGCAGAACGGGCCGTACCTCCTGCAATCATTGCATCACCGACGACATGATCAAATTTCAATATATGTTCTATACATTTCTATACTAGATATATTTATAATTATTTATATACTATGTACAGTACGCATAGGTATAGTATGATTTTGTATGTATATATATATAATACATAAATATGATGATATTTTTATATTATGTATACACTATTCGCTTCTTGGTCAGAGTGTGAAGCTTGCTGACATGATGCTACTGTACCATTGTCAACCCATGTCCAGCCAATCGTTTCTTTCGTCCCATCCCCAGGCACGCTCCTCTGGGTAGGGATTTTGGCCAAGCGCCAACACCTCCGCGATGTCACCTGTATATTCACTTGTCATTCAATCATTGATTCAATCATGACTCCAGGATTTGAAGTGAGGCGCCTGCACTGGGCTTCAGCTGCCCCGATTGATCTTTCCGAGGTCCTGGTAGTGAAGCAACATTAGAGGCTCATATCTACATGACGCCTTTACGAACATGTTCACAGAATTTCACCTAAAAAGATGTACTGAAACTTGAGGCCAAGGGATAAGGAACGAAAGCCAGCAGCGTGGGTACAACCAGGAGGAAGAGGAGGGGGAGTAGGAGCAGGAGGCTAGAGATAATGAGATAAATAATCTATTGCAGTCGTATCATGGTCATGAATGTACTGCTACTGACAATGATATCGGAATAAACATCACTCCAGCCCACGATGACGAGGGGGAGACCAGGGGGTAATCAGCTACCAGTAGCTTCTGCTAGCTTGCATGACATAGTTTGTCTATGTTTTGCCACAGGTTGTTTAGTGCTGTTTCTTGGCGTTTTTCAGATTTGGTTTACATTTCTGGTTGAATCCTCCTGTTGGCGCGGCTTTTCGAGGCCGTCCAGCTGCACAGCCTCCTCTTGACTGCGCATGTAAAGCGATCCGACTGGACCCTGGCGTACCTGCAGGATCGAGGGGAATTAAAGCAGGGAACAGTTCTGGTGGCAAAAATGCAAAACAATCAAAATCAGGAATCTAGTCCACCTTGGAAAAGCCAGAGTCTTTTAAACTCCATCAAAGTTGTCATCTTCTTGGTTCTTTGTTGAGTCTCAGGATGTCCTAGGTACTAGTAGGTTCCTTTTGCAGAAACCCAAGCAAATAAACACTTATTATTGAAAACCCAATAAGTGAGTGAAACCACACTGCATTTTCAGATGCCATCCACAGTTCGACCTTTTGATTCTTTGATTTGTTTTATCCATCAGGACAGGTGTAGCGTGGATGTAAAACTAGTTACGAGATTGTTACGAGAGTATTTACACAGGTGTCAGGCCCAATGTCTATATTGATGGCGGACCTTGCTTGATCTTTCTAGTGAAATCCTTGCTGAATCACTGAATCTATCTGAATCTTGTAGTGAATTATAGTCAATTGCTAGTTGCTATCTGGCACCCAAATGGCCCAAACATCGCATGCCCTATCGGCACTGTGCCAGACTCCCAAGCTCGCCATGGACCATAAAGAATGTTTCACTTCGAGGGCAGCCGATGGCGTAGGATGCTGTCTTGACCGTCTTGAGCCAGCAAAAGGTGCCGAACGAAAACCGAAAATGCGATCAGAATCATGGTATATCATGGTGCTATCGAACAAACACATGAAAGCTTATTCTGAAAGCTATCCATTCATTTGAAGACATTAACATGGCCCTTCAAGCAACTGCAGTGCCTTCTCACAAGCCTTCATGGCAGCGCTCAGAGCAATCTCATTGGTTTGCAGCCTTGGTTTTGTTCCATCATGAGACAAGAATAACTTGATATAATATGATGCAATTTTTGAATATATAATGCAGCTGAATAGCTTCTAATACGGCTCCTAGTTCGTTCTGGTGTTCATAGAGTGAGTCTTGATCAACTCGGAGGAACTTTCAAGGGGCGATCTCATGGGCGTCCAGGGACCAAACCCATTTGCAGCCAATTGCAGAAGCATCACCATTGATGGCTCCCATGCACTTGCCTGGAAGATGAATCACGGTACGCTTCGCCCATGTCCATGTTATACAAAGATAAAGGACCATACCATATAATCAGAGTGCTACAGAACTTGCAACAAAAATGACCTGAGTCAGAATCCTGAACCCCCATAAAAACTCCTGATTCAAAAAGAATAAAGGGCACCCTTGTGATGACTCTGCTTCGCTGGATCGTGCCTGCTTCATGGCTGAAATGCACGTGGTGTAGGAAATGATGTCAGGGTCCCGAAAAGAGTTCCTGCGCCGTGGAATTTTCCAGGCGTCAAACTTTCTCTCAGCATTCCAAAGGTGAGAACTGAATCTCAGATCTCCTCATCTCTCGGAGCAACGCTGTTGCAAGCAACCACTTCCCTTTCCTGAGACATGGAACAGTCGCAGTCGCTCTGTTTAGATTAGAACAGTTTGTCGCCTTGGAACCGTTTCCACCACGCCTGCAAAATCCCAAGAGTGCCATGTTGAACGTCCGCTCGCTTGGCCAATATCCTCTCCTAGTGTGCACTGCGCTGTGCATATTTCTGCATCTCTCTCTTTCTCTGTGAAAGCTCTGACTTGTGAAGACTGGCAGCCTGGCAACATCAACTATCTATTGGCAGCATGTTCCAAAGCGTCAACGGATGCACTTTGCCCGCACCTTCGCATGAACATCAAGAAGTAGTGCACTTCGTCAAGTCTCCCAGCACGACCTTGGACAGAAATCTCCCAGGGCGAATTAGTCTGGACTCCAGGACCTTGATTGCCATCAAGCCACCACACAGATCCTTTGGGGATGGAAACCAATCTTGGCCCCAGGCTGCATGCACCAAGTGCTGCAGTTAGAAGCCTCACACCTTCCAACATAGCCGCACATACAATGACAAGGCTTTAAGAGGTTCCAAGTGCAATAAGGTCTGACTGACCAAGAAAATCAACAGGAAACAAGTATGCTTTCTTCCGATTGAATTGACTTGATTCTTCTCGGTCTTGAAGGTTGGCAAAAGCGGCTGTGCTCACTTTCAATGCTGATATTACTATATATATATATGTATATATGTATATATACGTATATATATATATTATACTGTATGTTTTAGATGCCCCTTGCAGTTGAAGGGGAGGTCCTTGGGGACCCCTGATTCTGGAGAGACCTCCAAGGTCAGGCACCAATGTGCACTTCTACAAAATCAGGCTCTGCTTTCCAGAGTAGGATCTTGCATACTACAAAATCAGGAACCTTCAGTAGAAAGTTCAGACTTACTTCGACTAAGCACATTCATGCATGCTACAAAATCAAACTCCCAGCTTGTAAATGCCTCAATGATCAGCACTTGTGATGTGCAATTTCCAGAACGATTCTGGTGAAATTTGTGTTTGAGTCGATTCTGTAGAGTTTTTTTTTGTTGATTTTGTAGCATGGGTTTATTTTTTTTGCTTTACAAGTATTACAAGACCCTCTAAAGTCCCCAGTGCCTGTTTTTTCAGGTTCTGAGATCTCAAAGCAAAAATCCCTCTGACATCTTTAAAAAACATCTTTTGAGGTGCTTCTCAAGATAAGGAGGCCCTTAAAGATTCTTAGGGCAACAATTTCAGGAATGCTGGCGGTATCTTTAAGATTCCAAAAGCCCAGGACCCTGGAGCTCATAAAATACAACCGTGATTTTGTAGAGACCAATCTGTGGTTACTCCTTGGAGTTTGATTTTGTAGAGGCCACGATAGCCTACCATATAAAATCATGAAAACCTGTCCTACTGCAAAGGCTACCCCTGGTATTTAAGTCTAAAGCAGCCCTGGCACGATAGTTTGCAAGATGTGCTAAAACCATCCAGCATATGCAATGTTTGAAAAAACGGGTTTCAGGGGAAATGTCCTTTACAGAATCAGGGTTCTGCCCTCTCACCACCACAGAATCAAGATCTAAGGAATTAACCAGCCTTTTTCTACATCAATCCCCTTAACAAAATACACCAGGTTTTGAGCGATTTTTGTCGTACCCTGGGGCCCCTGCTACAAAATCAGGAACCCACCTGCAACATGCCCAAAATGGATGATTTTGGAGTTGTTCCAAGATTTACCAACTATAATAGATCTTGCTTGATTTTGTAGGAAAAGTAGGGGTGCAGGCTCGCCCTCCAGAATCGATGTGTGGGGGGGTTTAGCCCCCTCATTCTGTACAGGAACTGCAACCAGGATTATTTTATAATATTTTATATATTTATGTGCCCGCATGTGTGCTTGATGAATCCATGCAACAGCCTAGATTAGATCTGAGAACATTTTGGAAACAAACTGACACAAAGTGCAAAGCCGTTCAGAGAAGCTGCAAGGTACTGCAAGCCCCTAGGAAGCCGTCTTCTTCATATTGTTGAAGAATTTGAGTAATACAAGTCGCGATTCTTTCTGAAAGTTTCTTTTATTGGAGGGTGTCGACATGTGAGAAGTCTGGAAAGGGTCGTATACAGTACCGCCTTCAGTGCCGGCGGGAAGTCAACAGAATAAATGAGCAGGGGCTAAACAGTCACGATTTTCGATCAAAGAGAACATAGATGATGGAACAAGAATGACAACGATGGAAACATATTGCATGTTCGCAGTGCCAGTACAGTACCCAGGTACAAAATGACAGACACTCCATGCCCCTCCTAAAGAGCCAAATACCTGTAAGGCCACTGTAAGGCATGCAACAAACTCCAAATCCTTAGGCAAAGTGTCCTGGTTCCCTATCTCAAAGGTAACTGGAAGGTCGGGGTACAGCCAAGTCAGCTAATCACTTTGCTCCAGCCGCATCAGCCTTTTCCTCACAGTCCGCCACCAAAGCATACCTGTTGTCTTCCATCTTCATTGGTGGGGTATATACCGTACAAATCGGGGGCAACATCAAGCAACCAACGAACTCGTAGAACTTCGTCGTGTCTCACCTTCTCATTGACAGTCATGTCGAAGGGAAGGTCTCCTCCCTTCTCACCCGGAAGTGGCTTGGGGAAATCGATGGAAATCGACTCATTTTTCCTTGACTTCCTGACTTCCTGCATGATTTTCCTGGATCTCCAGAGCCGCATTTCCAAACGAATCTCCTCACAACTCCACGAGCTCCTCTTGATCCCCAGCCTGTTCATTTCCACCAGTGACATCCATGTCTTCGACTTTCTGATTTCCGTTGGCTACTCCATGATCATGGTCTTCTTGGGATTTGTCACCTGCCTGGCCATCAGTTGATTTTGAGTAAGTATGCAAAATCAGTACCTCTCGAACAACCTGAATCTGCGCATGGAGGCTGTTAGAGGCTCAAGTTTTAATGTGAAAAACACTGAAAATATAATATTGAATAATTAGGGCAACATGATAACAATGATAACATGTCAGTACCAACTGTCCAAACCCGCCAGAGTGACATCTGGAGATGCCTTGGTGCCGAGATGCATGAGGGCTTTGTGAATCTCGGTGGGACCCTATCCAACGCAGAATAGTGTACCATCAATCGTTTCACATCATCATTTCACATCATTTCGCATCTCTTGCCTGTGCCAAGGGATGCCAAAAACCAGCACCATGTCTGTCTTGCTGCCAAAGAACTTCCACGTCTCGCGTCGGTAAATCCCACTGCGCTTGCCCGAGCTTTGCCTAGAGATAAGGTTTTCACGCATCATTTCCATGAAAGAACGGAAAACTTTCAGCCAATGCTCAAGACTCAAACTCAAAAAAAGCAAAACATGTGTTTTTTTTGCTGCTACTGAGCCGCATTTACGAAGAAAACCTTCCCGGTTGTGTGCGAAATCTTCCTCGTCCACCCTTGCGGGAGCTCTGCGCTGGCTTCGTCCAGCTTCGCCTTCAAACCAAAAGACCTGACAGCTGGCAAGGGTGGACGAGGAAGATTTTCTTGCGCAAAATACCTGTAAGACATATGTTTTAGTGGTGTTGCAGTTTGGAGAACCTGCAGAGCAGCAAAACAAAGCAAAACATGCAAGGTTCGCTAAATTCCCTCAAGAACAGCAACACACCAGTCTGAATCAGCTGGAGTATCATGCCAAGATGCTGAATCAAGTCTTCAAAGTCCGAGTGGTCATTCTCAGCCATGCAACGCTCATGCATCCACCAAGCTTTGTCAGAAAGAGTAACCCATATCTCTTTGGTAATCCGTACCTTCCACAACATAAGTTCACGCTTCACCGTAGACAAAGCAGCCGGGATGGACATGCTGCTCTCAAGAAACTACGCACCCGGGCCTTTCCAAACATCATGGATGATGCTCGCAGCATGCACGGAAAGCAAACACCTTTGCCACATCCTGCGACAAACTCTGCAATGTCTCGAACATTCAAAGGCTGTCCGAACAAATACAAACACTGCGTCAGTGACAAGTTCAGGCGAAAACTCTTTAATCTTCTGTAATCTTCTCCAAGGTTTCCGCATTCTTGATCAGAATCCATATACGAAAATTGGAAATGACATGAAATGACTTGATGCAGCGTCGCGTATGGCTTTACCATGGCAGTTTCGACAAAATACTCAATCTCAGAAGGATACAAACTGTCCCACCGGTCCATCGAGCATCAACAAAGTCAATCCCAATATACAAACAGTGAACATGTAGTACAGTATACCTAGAGACTCATGTATCCAAAATTTCGGGCGCATTCCCAACCTACAAAAAAATCAGGCGCAAGTCCACAAGAATGGCGCAATGTAGAAAACATGGCGCAATTCCACAAAAACGGCGCAATGGAAATTCTGCACGGGCAAGGACGGCGCAATCACGGGCAAAAACGGTGCAATCATTGGCAAAAACGGCGCATTCCAACACCAAAATCTAAAACCATATTTGTTCCCCAAAGAACGGCGCATGCCAGAAATTTCAGCGGCACTCAGATGAAACACTGGTTTGCTAGACCAGCATCAAAATTTTGATGCCGCTCGAGTCTCTAGGTATACTGATATGCTTTTGGGCCGCTGTGATGAGAACTGCGTAAACACGAATGCTTCGATTGTATCTTGAACACTTTTGATACCAAAAACAACACATTCTGTGCAATTGATATTGTTGCAACAAGCTGTTGATGTACCTGGCAAGAAGCTTGTTGCATTCTTGCTGTAAAATGCTTCTTGTGCAATTGAAGTATCTAAACAAGATATTTGGTGAAAACATGCCTTCTGCCAAAAACATGCAGGGCAAAACATCAACATCCGGCACCAAAGGTCTTAAAAGTCTGTATCCTTTAAGGCTCTTGTAGATACAAAGTCTTGGCAGTGCTATACAGGAACCCTTGCTGAGCTTCTCCTGGACCTATGTTGTGCCTACCTTGGCCGGTTGTACTTCATTATCTTCATTTTGTTGAGGCCGTGCTCATGCTAAGCATTGCTAAACCATTTGGATCATGCCCCTACTTTCTTTGTTTGCCGTCAGGGCAGAGCAGTTGCAAGGCTTAACAGTCCTCCGTTGGAACCATCAGGCCTCTTGCGCGAACACACGACCCCGCTGGCCTGGGACTGTTGCCAGCAATGAACCCTGTGCCCATTCGCCTTTCACGTGTTTTTCATATTTTTCCTTTCAAATGTCTGGCTCATTTTCTGCCAAAAAAATCCGTTGAATGACTAGCTGGACTTCTTGCAGCTTTGAGTCGGAGTCCAACACCTGGACTGGAAGAAATGACAATCTCCAGAAAAATCATTCATTGAATGTACTGATAGGCTGTCTATAGTTGTCTGGCAACTTGCCAAACTCTTTGTTCGCATGCAACAGCAAATACAATATATACATACATTAAATTGACATAAACTGACATAGACGACTGTATTATACAAATAACATTTCAAAAAACTATAAAGAATTACAAAGATACAATATAGAAAGCGTGCGCAAAAGTAGCACTTCATGTCTTCGAGGTCTGAACAAACGGGTTGCCATTACCGAGGGTATCATGTGCCCCAGGTTTTGTAGGTACAGTTCTGACTTTAGACCAGTAAACTGCAAAAGTGGGGTCAGTTTCAAAAAAAACGTTACAAAAGAATGTCCCAGTCAAGAAAGGTGCCCCTACAAAAGTATATTGTTTTTTTTGGCCTATGGTTTTTTAAGCAGTTCTTTTTTTTTTGGGGGGGGAAGCCCTAAATTTCCATAATACTTTTGTAGGGCCTTGTTGAGGTATTTTTGATATCTTTTGTAGTGAAATGAAGGTCTTCTTCCTGGATGGTCCTGGAACACTGGTTACTTTTGTAGTGAATCTGAAGGTTCATTTTTTCTCAATTTCTCCTGCCATCCCAGGCATTCCTAAGTTTTTTTTCACGGTCTTCGCGATGGTTTGTTTGCACACATGTTCACGTCTCATCGTTTCTCTGCATAGCTAGGCTATGCACCTAGACGTCCTTGCTTCTATCTACAACTGATAAAAATCTATAGAAATGTCTTGGGATACTTTTTTCGAACACATCACCGGATGGAAATGAGATGGACATGTTTTGGAATGGTGTTCACTGAAGATCATTTCTGTAGATTTGCGAGGCCTTTAGCAATTATAATCAATCATATACATTGCGTTATTGTTTGTTGCTTTTTCATCGTTTTGTTTAATTTTAGTTGTTTTTCTTTAATTCGATGTTTTGTTATTGTGTTGTTTAGTAATGTATTGAAGCTTTGGTCGTTTCCAAACAAACAAACATAAAAAACTGAAATCATTTAAACAAAAAAGGATAATCATTGTCTTGACTGATCTCTGCTAAAACCAAACTGGGCTTTGTGAAGCAAACGATCTCTCCTCCCTCCCCCTTCCTGTGGGATTGAAGATAGGCCTGGCAATACTACAAAACTGTTTAAAACTACAGTTTTTTGGGGCACAGCTTACCTACAAATCGTATTTGGCCACACTTCAGGCCACTACAAAAGACTCTTGGTTTCTAGGAGGCCAACTTCAGGATTCATACAATTTGAACATTTTTTTGGAACCAAACAGAAATGTCTACAAAACTATCGATGTACTACAAAAAGCGTGTACGCACCAAGGTGATCCTTGCAGAATAGGGCCTTACAAAACGTTTTGTAGGGATCACATGAGGAAATGGTATCCCCGATGCATTGGCTACCAATGGAAATCACAATTCACTTGCCTGTTGAAGGCAAAGTCCACATTTTGAGCCACGAAGAAGCTGCTTGCCAACTCTTGTGGCCGGCTCTACTTTGGCATCTTTCGCCTACAATTGCTGCCAAAGTAATTATCAGTCTCGTGTTGATGTTTACTCATCTTGACTCATGGATACTCATGCTGACTATTTTGCTGCTTCTGAGGCGTCAACTTTCTGCTCTTTTGTCTTCTTGGGCTCTGCCGCTGTTTCTTGTGGACCCTGCCAGCTTTTCCTGAGGTGCGTTAATGCCTTCTCATGTCTCGTCATCAATGGCTTGGAATGAAATCATAAAACGCTGACGCCACTGCCAATTCAACTACTATGTTCAAGCAAGTGACTTATACTCCTGGCCAATATTTTGCCACCTCTCCTGTAACTTCGATGCCACTTCGGGTGCATCAGTTGGCTGCACAGGTGGTGCAAAATGGATCGGTAAGAACGAAGGTGCCATGTGAAAGCCGGTCGCATACATCTCTGACTGGTGCTGTTCGCTGTCGCCCATAGCCCCCATCATGTGTCGACTTTCGTACGGCTGCACATGACCTTGCATGCCCTGAGTCTGATGGAGTCTTTGATATCTCATTTCTTTCTCTTCCTCCTTCTGTTTCTCCATCTTTTCCTGTTTCTCTTTCTCCAGCTTCTTCCTCTCCTTCAGCTTTTCAGTGGCATCTGATGGCACCCCAAGCGGCTTCATTGCAAAAAAGCGGTGCCCGGGCTTGTGCACCTCCAAGCGCCTTTTGTAGCATGTCCGGCACAGGCTCACATCTTCACAACTGGTACATTTGAATCGTGCTCCGATGATTGGACACATCTCGCAGTGATCACACTCGGCACCCTCATGTCGTTCAGGATTTGACTCTTCAGAGGAGGACTCAGAGAGCTGTGCTGGTTCCTGTGGTTCCTGTGGTTCCTCGCTCTCAATCCATCCTTCTGGGAGCCCCTTGCATTCTCGGCACAAGTCACGAGTACATTTCTGGCAGTTCCATCGCCACCTTGTTCGCGACTTGGAACCAGAGGACCCACATTCGTGGATATTGTCGCACCACCAGTCCTGTCAAGAAATAAATAAGCCAAGGCCAAGGATAGCCAAGGCAGCAGGCGCAAAGTGGGAATGACAACATAGTTCACGTCCATGTTCTAAAAAGAACAGTTAAGCCGCCATTGCCTCTGAGTAGCCTCCTTCTGCTAAATTGCTCCACAGCATCTCCTGAAACATCAGCACTCGACACTGAACGCTTTACATTGGCAGCACGTGCGATATCATCAAAGAGTATCATGGTGGTTCACGTTCAAGGCATACCAAGGGGCCACGGCTGAAACTGCCCATGTAAGGCAATATACAATAGTTCGGTAGAATTCAGTTGTGCTAATTCCAGTGGCATATTCAGGCTCTTCCTCGCTGCACTGCGGGCACGGTCGGACGACTTTGGCTGCCTGCTGGTCCTCTAGCAAAAGCACACAAATCCAAGGACCATTTGCTGGGAAGCCCCACTGACGCAATCACAAATGCACTGTGGATGAGAGGAATGGGCCAAAAGTCAGGAGTCCTGATCTTCATGACCGGCTTCTGGATTAAGATCTGGCAACGAAAATCAAGTCACAATCAACGCAAAACAACATAATGACAGACAATTTCTGCGAAAGATATGGTTCACCACATATCTCTTGAGCAAACATCGGTCAAGCAGCTTCAAGTGGAAAAGTGTGTACGCTGACAACAGACGCAGAAATCCGAAATGATGCTGAGAATAGACTCTGCATGAGTCGAACCAAACTGGAGAACCCAAATGTTATAATTCGACTTGTCCTTTCTTGAGCTTCTTTGCCGATTGCGTTGAGCTGGACGACGATGAGTCCTTCTTCTTTTTCTTCTTTTTCTCCTGATCTCAAAATGAGAAAGGGAGTTTCTCAATTATAATTATATAAACCATGGAAACAGATTGAAATGCATTCGCCTCCACACCTCACACATTCAAACTGGGTCTCTCCTGCACTTCACCATTCATCTGTCTTTTTCTGCGTTCCACCTCATCTTCCAGCTTCTTAATTTGCTTGGCCAATTTCTTTGCCTTTTTGGATTCCTTCTTCGCTTTTTTCTTTGCCTAATCCAAAATCCGAAGGCTGCATGAACCTCCTCTGCCGTAACCCCAACCCCCCTTTATAGTGTTTTTATTCTTTACCCGACAGTCTCACAGCTTCACAGCTTGTCAACCAAACAAATCACTGAGTTCACCTTCTTGGACTTTTTGTCGACCTTCTTTTTGTCCTAACATCGAGAGCTGGTCACTATGTTTTTGCCTGGTAAATGCATTGATCTGCATTGATTCAATCCAGTTCCCCCAAAACTGGACCCAGCTCCTTGGACTTGGAATCATCTGACTCCGATGAAGTACTCATCTTCAATGCTTTCCCAGGAACCAAACCAACTTCAAGTTTTTGCTGTCAGGCTGGTGCAGGGGTGAATGCTTTTCTATCTGCAGGTTTTAAATTTGCCACAACATTTTAGTTTTGCAAACTAGTTCGACAGGATTGGACAGGTTAAGAGTCAAAGATCGTCAAAACCATTCAAAACCTATATACTTCAAGACTCGAAGCCAAACAAGTTTGCTTGCAGAATTGTAGCCCTCTCATGATTGTCATGGTTGCGCTATGTGTTTTGAGCAGGATACTGCCAAACAACTTGGTGCAAGCCAAACCTGTTGTAGACAATCTTCCACATGTAGTGAAATGCATGAAACTGAGATTTAGGCTGAAGTCCACACCCATTCCATGTAGCTGCCCAATCAGAAAGCACGCCTCACACAAGGAACCAGAATGCAGGGTTTCCTTTTCCCTCTGTGACTCTGTGACCAACTTTTTATCGCAAACTTTAGGCCGTACTCCTCTTTCATACCAGCTCGGAACCTCTCGCCAACGAGCTGCTGCACTGCTGGCTGCCATAACCTCCAGAATTGCGCTCCGCAGTCTCTACAGCTACAGGTGTTCCAACACTTCAACATCACTGAGCGGGACAAAACATCCACGACCTGTTCAAGCTGGTCCAGCTTCAGGGGCAATGCAGCATCCTGAGTGGAAAGCATGGCGGAGCATGGCGGAGCTGTGCCGCTCTGTATGCTGTGTGCCGTGTTTGCAGTAGAGCTTTCGCCCAGCTCTGTCAGGCTCTGACACGAAGGTCCTGGAGAGCAAGTAGTTCTAGCCATGAAAGCGTGATCCAGCTGCAAAGAGTAAGCTCAAAAGGTGCAAAGATGATCAAAGATGTGCTTAGTATGTGTTTAGTATGTGCTTAGTCAAGCAACACTCATCCACGGCCTGAGTGAGGTCCAATGAATCCTGAAATGATTTGGTCATTTTGGTCCCATGGGTTCTGGGAATGAGTTGTAGATGTGACTCTGCAGGAAATCAAATGCTACAAGACATGTCGGGGCTCACCTGCCAGCCTTGAGCGTGAGTAAAGGCTTTAGCGACATTGACATATGCATCATACCTGCGAAGTTGTACAGCAAGCAACTTCATCATATGCAGCATACTCTACTCCCTCTACTGAGCTGCCAGGTTGAAACAGTTGAAACAGCTGTGAGAAGTCCTCCTATCTTCTCGCAGAAGTTTCTTCAGCTGCCGCCTTTGCCAAAAGCATTCAGATCTTTTGTCATGCCACACTGACTTCACTTTCTACAATCCTTTTACCATTTCTAATCTTATTTCTACTAATCTTTCCCGTTGCTTCTTCAATCAGAGCCGGCAGGACATGTGGGCGAGTTGACCAGCAGATGCCAGGGCGTTGAATGTTCGGCCAGTGCCAGCGACAGTCTGCGGACCCTCCTGGTGCAAGTGCAGCAGCAATCTACTTCCATTTACTTTAAAATTCTTTTGTTTGGTACCTCTTCGGACCTCTCCGGTCCCCGGTCTTTGTTTTTCTTGGTATTTCTCAGTCATTCTCTAATCATTGACTGTGCTTGTTCGTCCTTTGGTGATTTGCACCACCAGCTACCTGTCCTCCAGAAACTGGGCAAGTGCAACCTGCCAAAGCAGACCTCAAAGCACTCAAAATCACTTAACAGTCGCCGCTTGGCCACGTGTTTTCACTCAGCCAGCAGCGCTTTCCATTGATTTCCAGGAGCGCACCATGTGCTACCTCAGGCTCTTAGCCCTGGTTCCAGATAGTTTCTGACAGTTTCTGACCAACACAAAAGTAGAAAACGCAGAAAAGATCAGAAAAGAACCGTAGACTTCAGAAAGGCTCAACTACACCATCTCCAAGGAGATTGCATTGTCCAGCATCAAGCGCTCGTGGTGCATGCCTTCTATTACGACCTTGCATTGTGGAGTGCAACGTTATGGAATTCTCGAGACGGGTGGTACAGCTTCTGCAATTGAGACCAATTTAGCCTGCGGCAAGAGATGATGCCCAAGACAAGCCCCTAATGAATGCCCTCAGCAATACTCTCTGACACACAGACACACACAGTCACACACTTGGAAACACACACGAGACAAGAAGGGCTAATATTCAACTCAGTGGCCAAATTTGGCCAAATGGTACGTAGATTTCTGATGTTTTCCTCAACGCTGCATGTTGCACCCAGCATGCGTGATAAGGTCTTGGCTCTGCCGTGTATCCACATCCTCTGCTGTTTGTCTTGACCCCGGACTGCCTTCGTGATTCAACAGATCCATGGATACAAACAGGTCATAACAGGTCTATGGTGGTTTAATGGGATTTAATATGATATACCACCATAGATACTGTTTCAAGGCATGGTAAGAGATGGAATCCTCCAAAAACAAGGCGGTGCGGCTGCATGAACTGCCATAGGTAGACTGCCTGCAAGCTCTTACAATCTTTTGCTGTTTACGGAACTGTTATCGACTCTTCTCTTTCATTCTTTCATTTTGGCATATTTTGACCATTTGGATCAATCTAGAGGATATAGTACTCGAGAGATATTGGACATGTATCATTTCTGCATGGTAGGAAAGCCTGTGACAAGCGCAGAACTATCAGCAACTACTGGGGGATCCTTTCATATCTTCCATGTCAACTGCATATCCGCCTCTTTCCAGAACTTCTTCACAACAGAGCGAAGGATGCGCGTGCAGTGAGGAACACTGAGAGACGGATAGCTGATCCTGCCTCACACATGTGTGATGCGAAACAATGTGAACTATTGCGAGCTATCAAATCTACAGTACAAGGACACTAACTAATAGAATACTAACTATTGATTTTACTAGTGGATGCTGCATGATGCTGCAACCCTGCTGGCCTTGTAGCTCTTCCAAGACATTTTGCACGTCATCCTTAGGACAATAAGCATACGTAGTTCAGTCTGAATGAAACAACCTTTCATCGGGCCTGCTGCGCTCTACGCTTTCGCTCAAGAAGATTTGCGACCTCTGTTGGAAATAATAAGTGTATGATTTGATATATATATATAATTATGTATACGTATAATTTGTATATATATAACTCTAACATGGGCAATCGAGTGGAAAGCATCACAAGATTTTGACATGGAGAGCCAATCATGCCTCATTGAGAACCCGGTCGGTGTCAATGACCTGAATATCATGGGACTTTACCCTGTAGGCTTTCACATACCCTACAAAAAAATCCAAATAAAATCAAATAAATACATATAAATACAAACAATAGTGTGCCAAATGCTCAATCTGGACCACCTCTGCTCCCCGGAATCCAGAGGGAGCTCCTGCAAATCTCAAGCCTGTGAACTCTAAGGCAACAAACCGATAGGGGCAAACTAAAGCCAAGTTCAAGTCAAAACAAAATCACATCCAAATTAGATAAATGACATGAACCTGTGGAAGAAAAACTACAAGTAGCCCGTGTAGGGTTGAGACCAATGACAATTTGACCATATTTGACCAGTCCTTCGAAGAACCTGCTTGGAAAACGTCTTTGCCTTCCCTGAGGAGTCGCAATATCTGAAGTGTCCCCACAGCACTCTGTGCAAGCAGAATGGAAGATATGGAAGCCTGCATACGAAAAACGCACAGGCGCAGCGGAGGTCATGCTGCTCCTGACAGATTCAGAGATTTTGCTTGGGGTATTACATGGTATTACTAGGTGATTACCAATAGCTTACACTTTGTGCACCAAATTCGTGAGCGAAAGGAATAGGGTAGGTGTGTCTACAGGTAAGATGCATTTACGATCGTTGACTCACTTTCTACCTCAGAAAGCTACCTGTAAAGATTACAGCTGCATGGAAAATGATTGTCGCTCCTGTCCAATTTGACTCCCACTTCTGCGCAAAACATGAGGAGGTTGAACTCCAAGGACAACCTCAGTTTCACCAAAGGGACCTTCATATTTTAATGTCGACTACGAGTCTACATGCAATCGGACCAGTCTTGCAGGTGTTCATTTTTTTCTCTCGATACAGCCGTGTCGTTGGACGCTTCAAGACTACTTTGATCATGGGCAGTGTCCTCAATCTGAGCAAGCAAGATAGCCGGGACCATTTGAAGAGCTTTGCGGTCTTGTCTGACTGCGGCGTTGACAATCTCAAGATCATGGTGCAACTGTGATGTGACAAATTGCAAGGCTCTCCAGTCGCGTGCTATCGCCGTCAGGCAAACTTCCTTGTCTGCTAGGATATCTTTGGCGGCAAAGCGTAACGCAAGTCCATTTTGCTGCACTGCCAAGAGCATGATTTCCCTGTTCTTGCGGAATTTGCCACCAGCAAATCTAATAGCCTTCCAGTTCTGATCCACAGCTCGTCTCACGATGGCAACTTCATCACTGAATGTCTCGTTCAAATACTCAAGTACAAGTCCGTTGACGCTGACTGCCTCAAAAACAAATTGGCGGTCGTTTTGGAGCCTGCTTGAAGCGCTTGAAAAAGCAGAACTTTGCTGCTTGATGGCTTCAAGGGCAACTTCACGATCTCCCTGCAAATCTGCGCTTGCGTGCATCAGAATCCCGCCATTTCGTGAGGCTGCTGCTATCACAAAGTCTCGCTCATTGTGCAAGACGTCAGCTGGGGAATGAAGCAAAGCGCTGGCGTTACATTGCACTACGTCCAGCATTAAGGCTCTGTCCGTGAGCAAATGTGGCGAAACATACTGAAGTCCAAGCACAACACCATGGGGTTTGATGGAGCTTAAAATAATTTTCTTGTCTTCGCGAAGATGATCGTCTGCATGTTGCAGAGCTGCATCGTTTTCGCTGACAGCCTGAAGTACCAAGTCTCGATCAGAACGAAGCCACCTCGGAGCATATTGCAAGGCCAACCCGTTCTGCGTGACAGCGGCGGCCACAATATCACGATCACCTTGGAATTCCGCAGATAGATGCGCGAGAGTGTCTCCATTCTGCTCAACTGCTTCGAATACGAACGAACGGCTTTGCTGCAAGTATGGCGGAACAACTTTGAACACCAAACTGTTTCGGCGGATGGCCGATAGAAGAAAGCGCTCGTCTTTCCGAAGATTTTCAGAAGCAAAACACAGCGCTTCAGCGTCCTTTCTGACGGCTGCAAGAACGACCTCTGGATCAGATTGCCAAGTTTTCGATGCAAATTCCAGAGCAGAACCGGCCTCTTGAACTGCTGCCAAAACAATCCGGTAATCATCTTGGCAAGAGCTTGCAGCATATGCTAAAGCCAAGCCGCTGTCATGAACAGCAGCCAAGACAATCTCAGCATCATCTCTATGTGTGGCATGTTGAAGCAGTACACCATTCTGCTGCACAGCGGCTAGTTCAATGTGCTTTTCCATCCTGACCCATGCAGGTGCTGTTTCAAAAGCCTGCGCGTCTTCTTCAACAATTCGGTGCCATTCGTCAGATGTCAAGCTCTTTCTCACTAGAGTGACTTCCAAGTGACTGTCGGGGGAATGCATTGAATGCATTGACCGCATATCCAAAAGTTTTTCGGGTTTTAGATTCCCGGCGACCAAGTGCTGCTCCCACTTGGAGATACCTGTCGCTTTTTGAATCGCTAGCTGGATCTCCTCAAGGCTCCACTGCCTGTGCACCAAAAGAGTGCAAAGGTTCCCTGAGAGGCCCAGGACGTGCAACTCCTGCAACTCGTGGAAGTCCATGGCGGCGTGGCCAAGCGGATCAAGCATATCAAACCACCGAACTGGCCACCGCCAAACCAAACATACATGCAACAAATCGCAAAATTGTCAAAAGTAGCACCGTGTATCTGTCGAAAAGAAGATAAAGAAGAGTGATGCAAAAATAAATTGAACCAGATCGCCTGAAATCAGGTTTAGCCTTGATTGGCTCGTGCCGAGCTTCTCATTTGAGTAACAAACTACACCACATCTTTCCGGTAGCAACAAATCGTGCATCCGGAAAATATAAAGCACGCGACAAGTCACAAATTGAAACCACAGTGAAGGACGACTACCTCAATCGAGTCTGTTTCTGGCATTCTATCTGGCATCTATTCTGACATTCTTTATGGCATCGATTATGGCGTCTTTCAGGCATTCATTCTGGGATTCTATCTGGCATCTACTATTCTGATATTCTATCTGGCATCATATACCCTGACATGCTTTCTGGCATTCTATATGACATATGTTCTGACATTCTATCTGGCCGTCTTTCTGGCGTATATTCTAACATTGTGTCTGGCATTCTATAAGGTGAAGGAGGAGTTGAACCTTTGTTAAAATCTACAGTAGAGACCCTCACCTGGCAGGTGGGGAAAAATGCTGAAAACACCAAGCGTACTACTATACAACGAAATCATATGAAATCCGTAGGTGCCGACAAGAAGGATGAAAAAACTGATGACTCTAAAAAGCGAATTGCCAATAACAAGACTTCATGTATTCAAAGTGCCCTTTGCTTTTGAGATTTCTCAGACCTTTAAATCTTGCATCGCTTGGTCAAATCAATTCTGCCGAGTCATTCTGCAAACCAATATATTGGAGGATATTGGAGGTCACGACTTTTTTGGCTCATTAGTCATTTGTCTGCCCATGGCACTGAGTCTGCCACCTCACTAGCAACGCGCTGGCATGTGTGGCACCAAATGGTGCAAACGGTGCAGCTGAAGCAGGTTTGAAATGTGGAATAAACTATGTCGTGATCTGCTCTGATAGTCATTTAAAACACGGAGATTTCTGGTTCTGGTACTTGTAGCCACTGTCAGAACAGACATGTTGATGGCTCATCCCAGGTTCAAAACGCAATTCAGCACTGATGGATATCCTTCGCACATATTTTGTGTGACATGGAGAGAATCCGTTTTCTTAAATTTCTTGAGCAATGCCAGGAGTCAGTGCACATGGTCAAGTTAATTACAGGTATAGGTGGTATGTTCATGGTGGGAATCCTTTTAATAGGCAATATGAATGCCTCTTGATGGATTCATGACTTCGATAGACAGAAGTCGCTTCTGGGTGTGGTCATACGCAAATCTTTTCTTTCCGTCACGTGCCGACAAAGAACTTATCAGATATGAATGCCCAGCAAGGCAAATATCTGAGATTCTCAGTAGGGCATGCGATCACTCCACCTGGCCAAGTGCTGTTCGGAACAATCAACCCCTGTCACAGAGGAAATGCAACTTTTAAAATAACATAAAATAACATATTGAACATCTTGAACATAGTTGATAGATGATAAACACATGTCTAATTGCGATCTGCCACTCTTCTGAACTCAGCCCAGAACCCAGCCCTTCTTGCACTTTGACTTCGTGCCTCAAAGCTTGTACTTCAGAGTTGGAAGGTCTGTCAAGTGGCTGTCTGAAACTAATTATAAATGCATATAATCGTATCATATCGATTCATATCGTATCTAAATATCATATTAACTTATTATTATGATAAATATAATTATATGAACTATTAATTATTATATGTATAAGATTGTAGAATATATATATATGTTACATTATGTTACTAAGACCATCAATCATTGCCTGACCTCTGGGTTTGCGGCCGATCTCCCAAACTCCACAGAGCGGGTCCCAGGGTGTCTCCTCTCACCAGCCAAGCACGAGGCACCTCAGCAGCGTCACTGGAATCCTATGAAAAACGAAGAGGTATGGCATGAGATGGCATGAGTAATATGAGTATGACAGGATGATTTCTAGACACTTGGAACGTGCACAGTGCACTTCTGATTTGGAATAGGTGGAAATAGATTGAGAGTGAACTGCTGAGGAAACCACACAACGGACATCAACCCCACGAGGTTCAGAAGCGTCTGTCGTACACACCGCGCCTGCCCGACTGATCAAAGCGCAAATGTTGGAACTTTGCCGAAATCCGTTGAATTTTCGGATTATTTCATATAGTTTCTGGATGTGTCTATTTTCTTCTGGCCTAGTGCCACGTAGAGATCGCTTGGAGGGACTGGCCGCCACACATATAGGCCTTCTCCACCTGCACTGTGAAACGTGGAGACATGATTATCATGATTATATATATATACGATTATCATGATTGTCATGCTTTTCTGATGTCATGTGATTTCTGGATATTTAATAATTATTTTGTTTAATGATATTGAATGGTGCTTTTGGTGGCAACAAACATGCACATCTGCACACACACACACATGGAACATCACTGACTATCACTGACCATCTGATCATCTTTGCTGGTACCTGGAGATGATCCTCCAAATGCATCCTTGGCAAACACGCTGACAATATCTGACAATGGCATGCAAAGGTCTAGTGATGTCTAGAAAAATGAACCCGGCCCTGGCAAAGTGACTTGAAGCAACTCCTGATTCTGGGCTCTACACTCCCAGCTCACCTTTTTCATCCACTTTCACACACTTTCAGCATCTTTCAGCTTATATACATTTATATATCTTGTATATTTGGGGACTTGGCAAGTCTTAGCATTCTTAGCATATTTCTTTTCTAGTGCTGAGGATGTTGAGGCTTGCACAGCACATGATCCACGCCGATCATGCCAAAGCAAACGAAAAGCCACTGGTCGCCTCAGGGCTCCGAAGCCCAAAGCTTCCGTGATGTTCCGAGTTCCGAGCAAGTTCCGCGTATTTCTGCGAGCTTTTATCGCTCTTTATCGTGCTTTCGAAATCTTTCGAACTTCAAACTTGTGTCCAAATGTGTCCAAATGATGTCCAAATTATTTCCCCAATGATCCAAGATGGAGATCCCTGCACTTCCCGGAAGCAACGGAAACGCGGTCTTTTTATTGGTATGCAAGATAATAGGCATTGTCTTGATGGTCTCTGTCTACTGTACATTGTTGGGGCATGTCAGAGAAGCCTGACGCACCAACTACAAACGCTACAAAGACACAGTTTGGAGATCCAAAGTCCTCTAAGAGCCTCTTAGAGCCTCTAAGCCTTTCAGACTGCCTTTCAGAGCTCACGCAGGATGCTAGTCAAAGATCGCTTCTCTTGTGCTGCTGCCTTTTGCAGCCCGTCCAGAAACTCAACAATCAATTTCAAGGATTCCCGAGCCTGTTCGATGTCTGCACAATCGGCGACCTTCACTCGCACCAAGCGTCTGAGCGCCACAGCTCTCTGCACGAGATCCTGTCGCTCGCGATCTGTCATCAAACCATCGAGCTCGCGGCTGCCCAGAGGTGCATCATGCGGTGCATCCACAGCACTGTTGGCTATGTTGGCTTGGTCTCCAGAATCAGTGTCTGAATTGAACGGCAGCAAAAGCCGAGACAAAGCTCCTTTGCGCATGCCTAGCTTCACTGAGTAATCATCTAAAATGTCCAGAAACTCCATACACCCCTCAGCAGTTCTGGCTGTGGCCAGGATAGTGCTATCGTCTGCAAGGGCTTCCAAGCCATCACGTAGCAGAAACTGCACCAAAGACCACTGCTGCTTCAGAGTTCCAATTCCAGATATTTCAGTGTTAAGACTACTGCTCTCGACTTCTGGGCTTTGAGGCCAAACCATTCGTGGTCTGGACCTATTGTAGGATGCCACGCTGAAGCCTGTGTCTCCTTGGCCATTGGGGCTGGCTTGCCGCCTTCCAAGCTGATCTGTAAAGTACACCATGTGCTCTTTGGGCGGCTTTGGTCGAGACTTCAGCCCAGCACAAATCGGCACATGCCGAGCAGCAGCTTCACGAGAAAACCTCCTGGAGCAGTGCGGGCACTGTTCCGTTGCGGTCAGTTCGGAGAGTCCCACGGCTGCTGCTATTCGACTGTCAAATGCACCGCTTTTGTGACTCGCTTGGCTCGCTGTGCGGCTCACTTCAGCTCCATCGCCGCCATCATCCAGAGCTTCGAGTCGCAAAGCTTGCGACTCCGTCGATTTTTGCCGATTCCGAGGATCTGGATCAGTCGCTGCCCAACCGCGATCTGCGCGATCTGCCTGCTTTCGTGAAGGCAGTCTGCAGCGACGATCCTGCTCCGGCCTGGCTAAATGTGGATTATGACTTTTCAGCAGCCGCAAGTAATGCGCAGGTGCATGGCAAGGCTCCTGTGCCATAATCTGTGAATATCTAAAGCCAAGTGTCACTTACTTCTTCTCAAAAGGGTCACTGATTTGTCTGGTTGTACATCGTCATATTATCACGTATCCTGAAAGTATCACTATGTGGAGAGTTTGAAACTAACCTCCGAATGTCCGTTGTGCTTCTGCAATGTCAAAGCATGTCCAGTTTTTTGCCAATATAATCATTGGTTGAAGCACGGTGTTGTTGACCATTCTTGCTTTGAATTATTTTCAACTGTTCAATCTGTAAAGCAGCATTCTCTGTCGGAGAGGCCATGACCTCTCTCTCTCTCTCTCGCTGGAACGCACTGTTTGGAAAGAACACAGCAGCAAATGAAACAATTCACTTTTAAAAGCTGCAGTATTTAAGAGTAAACAGACCTGGCAGCCACTAGTGGAATACCAATTTAGTTCTTGAGTGTCTTAAGCCTCTTTCGCCCTTTGTTTTTGGACAGGTGCTCTGCAACAAATGCGAATCAAATCAGTGTCTGAAGTACGTGAAAATCACAATATAGTATATATGCCCTGCTCTGCAAATAGCTTCAGCATATCTTCATCAAGTTGCCTTACTTATTTTTATGATCGTCTCATATCATGTAATTACAACATATTCCCTTCTTCTTTACTAGTAATTATCATGAATCATAACCCTTAATAACATTTAATAACCCTTATCAAGTCAAAACTTGGCTCTGAGTTCATGAAGTCTGTCAAGTTGCGGGAGAAATCGTGACATCCAAGCATCGAGACCTGGAGTAGAGCGAGGAGGGAAGTAACATGAAGTAACTCAAAATGGGAAGCCGAACACCTATGAAAAAATATGAAGAAGAAGCCAAAAAACGTGTTTGAACATCCTCTGAACATCCTCTGAACATCCTTTGAACATCCTTTGAACATCCTTTGAACATGTTTGAACAGTCGAACAATGTCGAACATGTTATGTTCGGTAGAATCATGTGGAATAATTACATTGGAATACATTGGAATACCATAGAATACCTGCTGTATCATGACTGCGACCATGCCTAGACCAATGCCAGCCCCTCTGGGAGGACTCTTTGCCAGCTTGATCTTAGCAACCAGACCTTGGTTAGACACTTCCACGTAAAGGAAGCCGTGGACAGCCGTGGACATCCGTGGACCTACAGGCTTGAGAAACTGTTCACCAACAGGAAATGATACAACATGATACAACGAAGCGAACGGCATGATGATTTTCAACGATGATTTTCAGTCCTGCCGTCCTGCGGTGTTGTCTTTACTCTGACCATTTGAATTGAGCAAACCATGGCACACCGTACCACACCACCAGTCATCGACACAACTTATCGCTCATGGCTAAGTCGCAGACATGTGTTTGGTGCATCATGGCCCTTTTTGCCAATGTCACCGAGAAAGAAAGGTCCTGGCAAGCAAAAAAAGTTAAAAGGAGGACAAGTACACACAGTACAGACTGTACTTCCGTAAAGCCATGGTGCTGAAGCTTTGATGACGTCCACGAAACAGGACGGTTTGGCGTCCCACCCCAGCACCAACCAGACTCCTGGAAATCACGGCAGTTTACCAAGGTAAACGGTGTCAAAGGCTAAATGAGCAGAGTTGTACAGTAGTATGTTGGTATGATTTGGACATATTTGGAATATTTTGGAATGCTTTTCAGTCCTGAGCCCCTGTTGGAAGGTATTTCCTCCAGCAGCGGCACCAGACTGGCACGATTCTCGGCTACAAGTACATGGACAGAGTGTGTGAGAGATTGTTCAGCATGCGCGAGTGTTCACTCTCAAACTCGCTTGAACCCACTGCGAAGTGCCCTTTCGCCATGATTTCGGATACAGTAGCCAGGAGTTCCCACAAGTGAGGATTCCATGTTGAAGCCCTTTATTGGTATTCGAAACATGTCGAAACAGCTCGCTGTAGTTTGTAGAATTGCCCACTTGTCCAGTGCATTCGCTGCCTTCAGGTCAGGCCGCCAAATACTGAAAGGGCGTGCCTGGGGATCATTCGCCCATTGGCCATCATTGACTATCATTGATCATCACTGACACTCATCATCGTTGCACAGCGAACCTATCTGAATGCAGCAGTCAGCCCAGCCCGCCTCCGTACCAGGGACCTTCTTGGAGCTCCAGACTTCCATCATGCGATCGTGTGGAACTATCTTGATTGCCCATCGGCCAACCTACCAAACAGCAAAGCTTAAGAGTTTTGAGCTTGGCATTGGCTACATTACATTATTTTAGAATCAATCAATGTCAATGTATCAGAAAAGGAAGACTTGATCTGCCATGATAAGACGGTGTGATTCCGCTATATACTATACTACATATACTACATAACTATATATATAATTATCGTAATCATTGGTATTCATGTTATGATCATTTATGATCACTCTGATTATTTTCATGATCTGTACAATATCCCCCTCAATCACAATAGCTTCATATTAGTTTAGGTCGAGATGGATTGGATCGTGAAATATCGTCAATTTCGAAGGCACGGTTGCCTCAAGATTGATCTGGGTTTCGGCCAATGTTGCGCTGGGGGAAGATGCCACCTCAGCTGAGTGCCCTGACGCCACGTGGGAACCAAACAAATTACGTGGAACTTCTTATCCTTTCGCCAAGGGACATCTATTGTGGCGTGGTGGTCGTCTTCATCGTCTTCAACCTTCAAATTGCATCGAAGTGAAATGCACTTTCGGGCTGCCGAACCCTCAAAATAAATCGAAGGGATGCAACTGATACAACGTACTATCTCGTCCTATGCTGATGCCCTGACATACTCTTACCATCTCTTACCATCTCTTACCATCTCTTACCATCTCTTACCATCTCTTACCTGAAATCATGATTTCTATTGATTTCTATCGATTTCTCATGTCTCGCTGAGGGCCATGCCAAGCTTCCAGGAACTGTTCCCATGAGCTTCACGAAGTTCTCCAGGCTCACCGACAAGTTCCTGGTGTTGCGTGCGACCTTCATACCTTCTCCACTGCGTGCCATCCGTGCGTTGCTGAGCAAAAACATCAGCGAATGTCAGTGACCCAGAGTTTCCATAGGGCCAAAGCTTGTCTGCAAGGAAGCTTTGGCGCTCGAACCTATGGACAGGCGCCGTGAAAATGCATGAATTCAAGAAAGTCATGCATCTTAGTTTGCTCAAAAATCAATGGCTCATCGGCTCATATTGTCCATGATTTCCGGGAGAATCGCTAGCAAACCAACACATTGAAGATGAATACCTAGACAGGACACTTTGCAGCTGCTAAAGCCAATCGTCCAGCTTCTGCTTGATCCAGAAGGCCAAATTGTTGAAGCCTCAGAACAGTTATAACTGTTATCGTTTCATTGTAGTCACTAGTTAAAGTGCTTGTTGGGGGGACATGTGGTTATCGTTTTCCGGATCTGAGCATCTCTTGCGAGACTCGCTTGAGCGACCGGCCGACCAGCACTTGCTGGGTGCGTCTGAGCTTCCCACCCCTGGGCTAGTTCGTGGACGCTCATGTGCAGCGACTTCCGCCCAGCCTTGGGTCCCACGGGTCATCAGGTCGTCACCACTTCAATGCCATCTCCTCTAATGTCCCATGACTTTCTTATTGTTTCTGTTTGTTTCTCACATTTTCTTTCTGTGCCTGTGACATGCTGTCATGGCACAAACTAAACGGGGCTCTTGTAGAAATATAGAAAACCAGTGAAAAACAATGAAAAGCAGGCAAAGTACTGTAGATGAGTCGATGAGCAATTGTAAGTGCTTGCTCTGCACCTCGCACCTGCAGAGCAAATAGTTGCTTGGCAGAAGTGCCTCGACGCCGGAGGACAGCCTTGACCTTTACCAGCGGCATTTCGAGCTGATCGCAAGATCAAATGTGCCAATGTGATAGCAGTAGCGCGTGATAAACCATGATAAACATTGAATAAACATATTGATAAACCATGGTAAGCCTTTGTGCCAGTGCGACCATGTGTGACCCACCTTCGTGATAGAGCTCTCCAAACGTGCCTGGACACCACCCAGCGACTCAGCTGCTACCCGGCTCTTCCTTTTCTTTTCTCGAAGGAAAACACGCTTAAAACTTAAAACCAAAAACAATTTTCAAAAACTGTGTTTAAACTTAAACTCATTAAAGAAATCCTGCACCTTGTAGCGTATGGATGGCGGAAGTAGCAAGGCTGAAACTGAAAGGGATGGCACCTCAATTCTAAGTTCCAACTGGAAGCAGTGTCTGTGCAGAAACCGTGCAAACGTATGCTCTGTCAATGTTGCACTTTGTATTGGATGATGCAGTGGACGTGGATAGAATGCAATTGCATGGTGAAGGCTTTTGCAAGCTGTAAGCTCATAGCAGGACGTGCTTGTGCTCGACGCCGGCACCGGCGCACATGCTCCCACCAATCCATGCGCCTTGCAATGGTTGAAGCATGCTGAAGCTCTACTCCAGGAATCTCATTGGACTTTCCTAAAACATCCTAAAACAACAAGAATCACGAGAGACAGCCTAGCAGCCTAAGACCCAAGCTCGTCATGCGGACTCTTGATGTTGAGGTCAACAGAACAAAGCTCTCGCGAGCTAAAGGAAGCCTGCCCGTGAAATTGCTTGAAATCGCTTGAAACCCTAAATATGCCGACTATTGCTGACTTCTTTTTGGCCAGTGAGTTTGTGATTGGATTCATTGGCATAGAACAACAATCCAATGGCTTTATGTTTGTTTCTGGCTCCCGAATTCAGAGTGCTGCCTCCGAATCCACAAACCGGCAAAGCTGCGCTGCCTTTGCAGCCAATGCATTGGTTGGCACAAGCGTCGAGGTGTTGTGTTTCAGACTGCAACTATTTTATACTATTTATTAGGATGATGCAACATGATGCAACGGGGTCATTCTGCAAGCATCATTACTCCCAGCTTAAGTTGGCACCCTACAGCATATTACAAAATAATATAATAATATATTACAATTATTTGCAATTATTTACGTGTATATATATATAATTATATACATATATAAATTATAGATTGCCAAAGGAAGCTGAGCTTCCCTGCTGCATATGCTTGAAAGGGCGGCCCCAATGAGAAGTCATTGCTGGTGTCCAAAGGCTGATTTTCCAGCGCTGAAGGCGATCGCCTGGAAGTCACAAACTCAATCGACCAATGAACTCCTAACAACATTAACAACTAGATACAACTAGCATGCGAGTCTACTTTGATGTTCGCACACCTTTCTTGTCCAGGAATTTGTTCTACTTTTTCTTTCCAACCTGAGGCAGCAACAGTGCAATTCCCATTGGAAAGGGTGGCCGTAGGTGCAGTACCTCACAGAGCATGCAGCTCACGGAAGTCCAATGGTAGCATGTCCGCAGGTAGCAAGACTCCTTCTTGGCTTCAGACAGCGCGTAAATGCCTTGAGCTGATGTGGTCACTTCCCACATCTTCCCATCTTCCCACTTTCAGTCTTTCCAAGTGATATGCTTCTTTGCCAGCAAGTAGGCAGGCGTTGCTGTCGATTGCTCGAAAATCTAGTTCTCTCACTACAAATGAAACTTGAGCTTCATCATGACTATGCTTACAAGCGTGAAGTGGCTAGAACACCCTTGGAAATTCACTGACAAACACTTCTCCAAAGCATCCAATAACTCTATACTTCTAACCGTGGTGGCCGAGCGGCTCTGCTTCGATGAGAGACACCAAACAGAAATGTCGTCCGGGCTGGACGGGACACCTGAGCGATTGCTATCTGTGACACCATGTGATACCATATTAAGCCATATTAATATTTTAAGCCATATTATATAATATTGCTGTATGGAAATTGCAGCATAGCATGCCTCGTCGGCCTAGTTTCCACATGAAATTGCAAATCACCAGACTGCGCCCTTGTCTGCAGTCGAATTCGCACCGGTGCATTGCTCAAGGTGAATGCAATGAGGATGCTGCACTGGACATTCTGCTGCCACAAATTGCTTCAGCTCGGTGACACTCCTAGCAGCGCTTTCAAAAACCCATGGAGCAGAAGCGTGAGCGGATTGTCAAATATTGCAAATAGTCCACAACCACAGGCAACATCATGTAATATCATGTAATCATATGTAATTAAGAAAAAATAAGTTTGAGTAATTCTTGTTCATTCCTAAACATGACCTACGTGCTAGTCCTCGTACAATGTTTCTTAAAATTGCCAAAGCTCCTTGGCAGTCTCAAATCGCCACCTATGCCGGTTGAAGGCGACAGGTGCAAGCCTGAAGCGACATGTCACTTTGTGACATGCGGTGAGTCGATGTGAGTCGTGAGCATGAAATTTGCTTTGAACATCTTTGAAATACAAGTACTGGATATTACATGATATTACTGGATAGTACTGGACAGTGGACCAAGCATGACCAAGCCCCAGGCATTCCAATAGTGACTTTGCTTGTGCTTCAGTCAAGTCCTGGAAAGAAAAGCTGCAAAAGGATGCAAAAGGAATGAAAAGGATAGCGACGGCAACTCTTTGAAATTCTTTGAACATGCTTGGACTACACCAATTGGTTCCTTGAATTCAATTCATAAATCATGATTCCCCAGTCCTCAGTTCCATCCAGTTCGCAAGCGCTCACAGCAGCTTGAATGGCTTCTTCAGGTGTAACACCCTGCAAAAGCTAAAGACTCTCGAATGGAAACGAGCATCCGCGACTATCACTCGTGTGGTTTGCTTTTTCCCTGGGTAGTGTCTTCGAATCATTCTAATCCAAGAATCTCCACTCCACAAGAGTTTCGCTACGGGCGTCGAACATGTTCTGCGGCCTGAAGCTGCTGCCACATATCTTTTGTGCGGCCTCCTGGTGCCTGTCACACTGCGCAAGCAACGCGTGCAAACAAACATCCGGTACTTGCGAACCTAGTGGACAAATTGCACCATATTCAAAGTGAGAGTTGGCTCTCCGCGTAAACAGTACTGGGATATACTGAGAATGCAGCCCACTCCACCAACATGATGCTGTTCTTCAGTCTTCGCACCTAACCATTTCAAAAAAGCAATGCAACCCGTGATCACCTGATATTACCATATATTACCTGTGTAAGCTGCGGTATCCTCCAACTCTGCTTTCCTAGGGCACATGCAGTTTTCAGTCGCCACTGCTGCCGAAAGTAGTTCCTTCGGGTTGGACGTCAACAAAATTCAGAAATCATGGAAAATGTGGCGGCACTCTGGCAGGCCAAATTATTGAAGAATGTTGAAGAAGTGTCTCTTCGCTTGGCAGCAGCATGCTTCAACTTAGCCGGTGTGACTGCGATGCCAAAAACCAGCGTGGAAAGCCCAAGCACTTTTGCGCCTGGCAAAGGGAGAATGGCCAGCCCATGCCAGCATACAGCTCAAAAATGCTCAAAAGCAAAAGTCATGAGGAGTCATGCATAGTCATGCTATACACAATTTTGATCAAATTTGATCAAAATTGCCAGACCTGTAACAGCTTCCCGTTGAAGACTGAAAGTCCATCACCTGTGCTGAGGCCCCAGGATTGGGTCTTGACGGTCCCAACAACATGAACCAGCCTCCGTTTCAACAAACTCTCCATGCCACTATGCCATACTCCCCCCACATCCCCAACACCAGGGAGCGCACAGCAGGCGTAAAAGGCCCCACTACTATCATTCAACTTCGGTTCATGTGAGAGGATCTCTGGATTCCACGGTGTTTCACCTTGCATGAGACAAAGCAGGAATGCGCAGGGAATGCGGAACACCATGGAACACCTCAAAGAAGTGCTAACAATTACGATCTCTCGCAATGTCAGTAGACTGGTTCGAATTATATAAACACATTCGAACAATGTCTAGAAAAAACTCTTCCTGCGTGCCCTCGTCATCTCGTTATATGATCATGGTCTGCAGACAAGTCATTGAACAAGTCACCCTCATCTTCGCGGGAGTACTTCTGCTCCAGCGGAGCTTCCTGGGCAAGTGCTAGTGCTGACAGAAGTCAAACGCTTCCAACTTGCTTGTAGAGTCTGTGCGAGTCTGTTTGACGAGTGTTTGACGGCTTGAGTTGTGTGCCTCTTCATCCTCTTGTTCAACCTCCTCTTCCTGCTGCTGTTCTTCCTCTTGTTCCTGCTCCTGTTCCTCTTCTTGCTCTTCTTCCTGCACCTGAAGGAGGCTCGTGTTGGCTCATGGATTCAACAGCCCCAACTTCGCTCATTGGTGAAACTAAACTCCACGGCGTCCACTGTGCAGTTCGCCCACCTGCTCCTGGTCCATCTTGGAACCTGCTCCACGTCGGGCCTTTTCCGGAGCACATCCCTTTGGATGATTTGGATGTGGACTGGAACAGCAACTGCAGCAATATGTACTGCCACAGTGAATTCTGAGTTCGCCAGGCCCGCAATTGTCTTGTCAGACCATCAGCCTCAAGGAAGAAAGAAGACTTGAAATAATCTCCGATCCAGAACAAATGCAAACATATGCAAAAACAACTAAACACCAAGGTCATGTTAGGTCAGGGTCGTGACTTAACACCAAAGTCATGAAAACACTGAATGATGAAACTACTAGTAGTATCTAGTAACCTAGTAGTTCTGTGCTGTGCCACTTAACAGGCTAATAATGGCATTATGTTCTACTCTAGTGAGACACAGTGAGACATACAATCCACTGACTTCAACATGGGATCAACACATGGTATGCAATAAAGTGTAGCACAGTCGTTCCTTAGACCCCTCTGATGTGCCTCCGCTATAAGCTGCTTTCCGCTCTGGTTGGCCTTGCATCTGAAGGTCCCATGATGTCTCATTCTCTCGTTGTCAAGTGGCTTTTGTGGGTTTCAGCTCTGCGCTTCTGGTGTTATCCAATGCGCATTGGCCTGAGCTCTCAGGAATTCTCAAGACACTGAGCATAAATTGACACCTGGAACAGTCCTGGAACCACTTGACATGACAATTAGGCACCACACCCGAAGTCTTTCTGACAACCTTTCACCCAAAGTCCTCTCCTGTATTCCAGTAGCACGCATATTACAGAGAGATTGAGCATCCTTGCTCAATATATTCCCATAGCCATACACTCCTACACTGTGGTACACGAAATCCAACAAAGTGACGGTCTGGCAATTCCTCCACAAGTGGATCAGGATCGTTGGGAATGACCTCAGCAGATATGGAATAACATAAATAACTGAATGACTAGATATTGATAGATATTGACTAGTAACGAGGCAGGAGTGTCACAAGCATCTTGCTTGCACATGTGCAATTTTGAAACACGTCGAACTGTGCGACAGTTCACAAAACCTGGATGACACTAAGATGTCCAACATCTTCTCGTGGGGTTCGAAGCACAGTCAAGCTTGCAGAGACTCCCAATCCGACAGCTGCTTGCAAACCCTCAGCGTGAACCAAAGAGTATCAAATGCGCCATCCAAATCTTGCCAATAAAATGAGTTTCATGGAATTTCCTTGAAATTCAGCTGAATTTTCCACATCATGCAGCATCTCTGGTTGATTCATCACCGGTGTGAACTTTGCATCGGCCTCCCCGCGGCCCTGTACAACGGCCCATGCTTTGCTCCTCGCGAACTTAGGACGCTGAAAAGTGCAAGGCTCAGCAAGGCTCAGCAAGGCTCAGCAATGCTCAGCAAGGCTCAGCAAGGCTCAGCAAGGCTCAGCAAGGCTCAGCAAGGCTCAGCACAACCCACAGCACAGTGCACAATGCATTGCTGGACAAGATTGGCTCCTCCAGAGCGCTTCGACATTCTGCTCGCACAGGAGCGCAAACTGCTTGATATCACTGTCCAGAGTGTTGCATCCTTCCAATCACAATAAAAATGCAACAGGTATAGCAGGTAGCAAGATGTGCAATTCTGTAGGTTTTCTAATGTTTTCTAGGTCGTCTTCCATCGCAATGCCTGTCCAACGAAGTGCTGCTGCGAGCTCTTTGTTGTGCTCGATACTATTTTCCTGGCTTGAATTAGATCCTTGAAGATACAATGGAAGACATGACATAAATGTCAAAAAATGTCAAAACATGTGCAAGGACCTAAAAAGAAAATCTGGTCAGCAGGAAGTCTGTCTTTGCAGGACCAAAAGGCCAAGTCTTGCCAGAGCAACCGTCCAATGTGCAGTTTGAAGCCGTGGAACTTGCGGAAAGGATGTAGTTTCAGCAACTCTGGGCTGAAAGAAGTCAAACTCCTTGAAGCATCTTCAATCAGTGAAATGTACAATGTCCAATACTGTCCAACATGTTCGATTACGAAGTGCCTGTTAGGTATTGATTGACTGCGTGCAAGTGGCCGATAACGAGTCCAATCCAGAAGAGAGCACCGGAGGCCTTTGTCGACAAATTGCTGCCATGGTCCCAGTGACATCAAACAGTGATAAGCAGTGTATCCAAATGATTCCTGTATCAAAGCCTATCAAAGCCCAAGATGATGCAAAACAAAAGACATTTAACAATATTTAACACATTTTAAAACATTTTAAACTCAGATCAGTATTATAATCAGTTCACCGGCGCAAGCGCGCGTAGCTACTTTCAAGATCTTTCAAGATCATGCAGTTCTCAAGATGGGCCACAAGCCATGAGACAAAACTCCAAAGAGATCACGCAAATCTATCAGGATCTATCAGGGTATCAGGCTGCTGTGCAAATCCAGGACTTTGCAGGACTGGGCCTCAGCGGCTGTTGCAATTGACATGTCAACTGGTGCCTACCAAATTCCACATGCAACGTCAATGCAAAGGTTCAAGCCCAAAGAGATCAAATCCTCGTTGATATCCAAACCTGTGGACATGAATTTGCACACAAACGCTATCCTGGGATGTATATTTATACTGTATCAAGCTGAATCTCAGGCTAGGCCAGGCTGATTTGGTGCTGACCGACTGATCTGGTAGTGCTAATTCATTCTGATTCACACTAATTCGCCTTTTCATGCCTTTTCTTGATTCGAATTGTCGAGTCTGAAGGAATCCATAGTCGAATGCAAAATGCAGTGGGACCAGAAGGGTCAAGAATGTACAACGTCCTACACTGCATGTGCCCGGCACCTTGCGAGCCAGCTGGCTGCATGGGTTGCACTTGCAGCATGGGTTCCATGGGAGGGGCGACTTGATCTGCTGCCTGTGTACCATCGAGTGTTGCTGAGATCACCAACAGGCAATGCAAAGAGATGCGAGTCATTGTAAGCCGAATATACGTATCAAGGATGGGATGGGAACACACTCATAACTCATAGAGTAAATTCATGTAATTTCACCAAGGGACTGCGATCAGATGTCGAATTTCTGGAGGCACCAACCTCTACGTAGTGGCACAGCAAGATTCGTGTGAACACGCATCGTGGACTATGACTGCCACGAGTGCATCACAGTCTGGTTGCTTGGAAAGATCACACAAACTCTTTCGGAACCTTTCAATGCAAAAATCCTGCGGTCGCTGCAAAACAAATTGTCCAATTTCATGCAAAGTCAGCGTGCAGGGTCTCAAAGAAGCCTCAAGAACCATTCAGGTTCGATTCTTCTGAGTCCAGCAGTACACACTGTATGAATTGGCAGATATTTGCAGCATGTTTTGTTGAATTATTTGGCGACCAGCAAGTAAGCAAATTTCAAACGGATCGAAAGATCAGAATATTTCAAGAATTCTGAGATGGTGAGATGTGAGACGGTCAGAATGACCTGAGTGACTCAACGCAACCGTGGAATCCCGTGGATGAGGTGCACAAAAGGAAGTCAAAAGGCAGAATACAAAGATCAAGATGGATGCAGCCTTGAGATTTCATTGGCCCCAAAAGCGTGCGCTTCAACATCCTGCTGCTTTGGCTGCCTCAACAATCCGGACCTCACCATTTCAGCTTGCCGTCAATGTTGTACTTCTTCAAGAGGGAAGCATAGTATGGCTTCAACTTCTCAACATCTGGAAGAGCATCACCCTTGGAGTAGAGATCGAACTTGTTGAACTCCTTGATCCATTTCAAGGTCTCTGCATCCTCTGGGCACTCAAAGTGGGTGTATGCACGCTTGTCATGCCAGGGATAGAAGGAGTGAAGACGGATCATGTTGAGGCCACATTCCGGAAGGGTGCACCCGTTGAACTTCAGCATCTGGTACATGTACTCATCGTGCCCCCAGGAGAGCATCAAATTGCTGATGCCGCAGCCAGGTTTGTAGATGCCAAACTTGCTCCCATAGATTGGGTGATTGTAGTCAGGGTTGGCCTGGAAGGACTCAGGGAAAACCACTGCATCTTCGGCAAAAGCACATCCCACCGGAAAGGTGTCCCCGACAACTGCCCACTGCTCCAGGATGTCATCTCCAGCCATCTTTGGCAATGCCATGACTTTGCCCATGTCATGGAGCAAACCAACCAGGTGGAACCAGTCATATTCCTCCCCTGGCCACTGCTCTCGAATCCTTTCGGCGGTCTGAAAGTCATGAATGCTGTTGGGGATGTCCACATCCGGATCAGAGTCATCAACTAGCTCATCCAGCAGTTCAATTGCTTCCATGATGGTATACTCACCCTTGTCAAATTTCATCCACTTCTCACGCATGCCCTTCACAAATGCCACAGTCTGATTGATGTGCATGTCAGAGTAGGTCTTCTCAACTGTGCTCTGGCGAGTCGACGACTCATAGTTTCGGTAGGTGCCACCAAACATGTTCTTTTCCGAGAACGGTGCAACAGATGAGACGTCTCCTGCATAGCCACCAGCTGGGACAGCTACGAGCGCCATGATAGTAGACTGCAACAAAGACGACAGAGCCACGGAAGCTGTTAAGCCAACACTTCGAACATAAATCAAAATCATCCAACGGTTGTAAAACATGTTGCAACACGTGGAAACTGTATGCAGACTCCAACAACATGACATCACTAAGTATTCCTCACACTCAGAAACAACGATCAAGATCTCATTTCTGAGCTGCACACAAGTGGAGTGTTTGGGCCTCAGTAACAGTCAGTAGCTTAAATGGAGGGCTCAACGAGTTCCGTGTCCAGGGCGCTTTTTTTGTTGACATTCACCATATGACAAAAGGATTGCGAGAAGGCAGAGTGGACTATTCTAAACATCTCGACTTTGAAAACGGTTCTGCTGGAATCCACTGGAAAATCCTGCATAGCACTGCGTAGAGTCTAGGTGCCCTGCCCCAGGGCCAAGACCACGCATCCGGAACGCAGCCTTTGGTCATTCAGCACCAGCACCATGTCGAAAAACAGAATTTGCTGCCAAAAGAAGTTCACCAAAAATGGAAAGGGCAAAGGCTTCTGGGTACATTTGCAGGGTAGCTAGTAGATTAGATTGTACACAGTTTGTGCTGGTATGGAACGCCCAACAAGACCCAAGAACTTTAGCAATCAGTCTGACACGGTCTACAGTGATGAAATGAACAAACACATATAAAAAAAGTTATCGTGGGAGTTTGAACAACATGCAGGAAGAGAAAAGCAGCATTGAAAGCTGAAGCGGCAGGGGCAAGCCAAGTCTTACATGCCAAGGGTATCAACAAACAGGGCGGGCAGTGACAAGAATCAGCAAGGACCAAGAACTCATAGTCATAGAAGAATGTAGAAGGATGTAGAAGGTATCCTACCAGGTATCCAGTTGATTCGGAAAAGCCATGCCAGTTGCCTGGGAGGTGCTGGCAATATGTAATACTCAAAGTATTCGTCGCAAGTAGTATTGATTAATCAAGAAATGGTTAGTATATGTTAGTATTGATTACTGTAGTTTTATTTTTAAGTTGTATATATATAATCAACAATAATATGTAGCGAATATTAGTCAACATGGCTGACTATATTGTTTGCATGAACCTGGTCTGACTATGAGTGAGCGGAGCTTGGGGCACGACTTGGTGGCATGAAGCAGGAAAGTGACAGGACTTGCACTACAATGGCATACAATGGGTCATTTAATCCGAGGGATAACAAGGCCAGGCAAGGCGAGCCAGTGCGGTGAGAATTATCAGAGTATCAGATATTATGAGATAGTATCAGTATCACTCTCAAACAGTAGGAGATAGGAGGAGATAGGTGAGATAGGAGATAGGAGATAGGAGTGTGCATGCTGAGCATGCTGCCTTTGGACCTGGGGGGATCCGATCTGCTTGGAAGGGTCAGGGTCGTATGATGAAAACACATGAAAAAACTAGCCAATGAGGTCCTGGAGCTGCAGCTCTATTGCAATCGAAAACGAAATTTGACTCCGATTCATCTCCGATTCAACATATTTCAAGTTGATTTAATGAAGCCGCCACTATCCCATGCCTGGGCATAGTCCCTCCAAAGCATGTCCTTGCCTCACCCAATGCCACAGGCAGGTTTCTACCGCACCAAAGGGGTCTTTGGTCATCGTCCAAGAAGTATCTATTGACACAGATGCGATCCTACTACTGTGAGCTGCTTCAAATTTCATCAAATAGGATGCTGAATAGGACGCGGACCCAGGGTCAATGCAGCCCTGGCATATGGAGCTTGATGGACATCAAGGCCAGTGGTGTGAACATGATCGTAAAACCTCAGACAGCTCAACTCATCCGAATCTGCACAACCGAAAAGTGGAAGACTACAAGGCACTGATTGGAGTTTCCCTTTTGTGACTGTGCATCAGCGATGTCTTTTCATGCTCGGTTCTATGTGAGAATGTGCCTGTAAGAATGTGCCTATGCTCCAAACTTGTCAGATATTGAGAGCTGTGCGTGAATCTCTGCGACGGAGAGAGGCCACAATCAGCCAGTGGCAAGATTCGCCCATCCTTGATGACTCTGGTAGGAAGAACAGGGCATTCAAAATGCACCAAATCTGCTTTGAGTGTTCAAGGTCAGGTTTGAAACTCAGAGGGACGGGCTCGAAGCAGCACCACAGACTCATCCGCTTCTGTGAGAAAGACCACGCCCAGAAATGTCATTGGTAAGCACCTGACCGAATCACCGCAATCAGATAGTCACAGCATCACAGCAAGCTGGCAACCGATGGCAACCAGTATAAATCAAATTTACTCAAATTTGAGCAAAAACAGAGCGTTTGAGGTTTCGGCTCCAAGAGCTTTGTCGCAGCCTGAGTGGAAAAAGGGCGCTTGTGATAGACTGCGGTGCTGCCATCGGCTGCCGTACAGTACAAGTACGGCTGACAAATCATGACAAACACTATAAGAATCACTAAGATAACACAATCATTATTACAGCATTCGGAAGCAATTCCTTTGCTGAAGACACTGAGGAACATTGAGGACATTTGAGGACCCTGCTGTAAAGTTGGAAAATCCAACAATAAGAGCGCCGGCATCAATAAGCCTTCCCCAATACAGGAGTACACTTCATTAAGCACAATGAACTTCCAAAGCAATGCATTCAACAGCAACTCTTGAAGCTCCCACGCATGAAAGTCACCCTTCGCAGCCCGCTGCAATAGCCACTGTGGGTCCTGGCAGTTCATCTCGTGGTACCCAGTGAGAATCAGTTGCAGTAGGTATCTGAACTTGAAACTGTAGAGGAGTTTTTGTTTTCATTGAGGTAGCAGCGGTGTTCTTCTATCAAGCTCATCTTTTCAACCAACACCGTCCCTGACAAATTGACAGGCTCAACTTCACTGCATGGCTAGTCCGTCGGTTGAAACAGCAAGGAGCACCCAGCCGACAGGTAGGGTTTCTGTTCTGGTGACGACCTGCATCCAATGAGTTACCCAAACATATCCTAAATCTAATATAGACGAGGCTCAACAGCCAATGCTAGAATAACTTAAACTATGTAATATGTAACAATGTAAAAGCTTCAAAGAATGAACTTCGCAGAAGCACGCTGCTGGCCACTACCATGCCTTTGGGTTCAGCAAGGTGCTCAAAATCTTTGCATCACATCCATGCTCATAGTGGATTTGACCCATGCCTTAGAGCACGTCAACCCTTGCAATTTGGGAACTGCAACATTCAAAAACGATCAATTTCTGAGACATTCTGAAACTCTTAAGCCTGTTGCCTTATCTCTCCTTATCTCTTCTTGGCCTCTTAAGCATCTTAAGCCTATTAAGCCCCTTGCTCGCTGGCAACACTTCTGAAGGAGTTCCGCTGAACCCAAGCCTGCGGCCTGACAGGTGCAAAGAGGATCAGGCAACACTGCGAAGGACAGAAACTCAAGGAAACATACGGCAGAGCACTCGACCGTGTTCTCAGACATCTATCCGAGGAGATGGCTGAAAAGGACATTGCTTCCAAGCTCCTGACTTGGCTTCTTGGCTTTAATCGTTGAGCTGCTTCCCGCAACATCCACAACCCTCTTTTTGCATGTTCCATGTGTTGGGTCAATGTCACATTGCAGCATGCAAGTATGTGCAAGTCGCGATCCTGAGCTGTACAAGACAGAAGGGAATCGCTGAGACCCATGACGCCGGGGAAGACCTCGCTTTTTATGCTTCTTGTGGGCACTCTTGGGCACTCTGGGAAGAAGGCAAACATCTTGCTGCTGAGGAAGCCACATGCTCGTACAAATAGTGTCTGACCTGCAGGGCCCAAACGGATCCAAACGGTGTTTGACAAAGTCAAAGGCTGTCCGCCAAAAGAATACTTCTAAGTTCTCAGCTGCACCGGCAGATCGCCACAGTAATCGCCAGAGTACATGCACCTGTACAAGAAATGCTCAAACATGTTCAGACGAAGTCACTACGTGCAAACCACCATATCTTTACACTGAGGATTGTGTGCATGCATCTTCCAGAACTGCATTGTGTGGCAGCCTGCCTGGTGCTTGTCTTTTAGACTGACCCTTTCCAATGGCCAAACGTTGTTTCGAAGCCTCACAAACAGCTTCATCGTTGGTGCTCCAGATGTGCTTGGTGCTGCATCGCGCCAAACAAGTGATGTTTCAAATAGCTTCCAATACCTCGGGAGGCTCTAGGACTGGCACTCCTCAAGTCCATCTTCCAACTGAATCTGATGAGCTGGAGGAGCGTCCAGGCGCACTTCATCCTGCTCTGATGACTCTGGGTAGTTTCAGGGTCTTGGCTCAAGTGACTCATCACACTTCAGCTACCTGTTGCATTAGGTCGTTGCGTCCTTTGGCATGTCGGCCAAGAGTCTTCCACCCTTGGCAGAAGCTGAGAGCGAATCCAACCAGCTTCCACGCACCAGCTTCAACAATGAGCCCTGAACCCAACTGAAGCCAGTGACACGGCCTCCAGCTTCCCTCACCCATGAAACCCAGCGCAGGCAGCTTGGCCTACCAAGGCCACAGTCTTGTTATGTCTTGTTATGGCCAACTCTGTTGCCAACTCTGTTCTTCGCCTCCGTGCAAGAGGCCCTCTCTCCTCCTCCATCTCCGCCTCACATGTCACGTGCCGTGTGTTCTTGTCTTGTTGGACCTGTGCTTACCTTTTTGACTCACATTATTGCGTGCACCAGCTGAGACGATGGCTCGCAGCAATTTGAGCAGAAGGACAAAGTCTTGCTTTCTCAAGCCCTCAAAGTGGTAGGAGAAGATCGTAAGCCTGGACTGATCCGGACTAGGCATCTGGCAGGAAAATGTCTAAAGTCTAAACGCAGAGTCCTCAAGACGTACTGCTAAGTAGGCTACATGCCAGTCACTGTCACAGGAGTCACTGGGAGGCTGACCCAATAGCAACGTCTGGGTGTGCAAACTCCGAGGCAGCTGATGGGCAATCTTTCCCAATGAAGGGAACAGCCTGAGCTTTGGAGCAGCGAGTAAGCTCTTGCAACCCAGTCTCATTGGTGATAAGGGAGCAGCATGGAGCAGCTGTTTTGACCATGTTGTCCACGAAGTACCCGTAATTTCTATGAGACTTTACAAATCCAGAATGAAAGATCGTGTTGCAAGAAAGAGCTCAGAATGGCACCAGCAATGCTCTGCGTGCAGCACGACCTTTTGTGGATAGACGGCCGTCAGAAGCAGAGGTGCTGCCCTGCAGAAGCAGTGCGGGACTTTCTCCAAATGCATCTCCAAGGTCACTGTCACTCAATGTCACAGTGTCACAGTGTCAATCTGACAACTGCAAGTGTCCTTGTCTGAGAGCAAACCATATCGGATCCTGTGTGGAAGTCCTGGCAAGCTTCTAATCAAATACGAGGTCATCCGCTTTCGCTTTTTCAGAGGCGAATTTTGATGTCGGTGCACAATCAGGTCAAGAGGTCCCAAAAGGTGAGGAAGGACCTTGCCACAGAAAAGTCTTCCATGAACTTCCATGTAGGTCCAGGATTTCATACATTGGGACTTGAATTCCGATATATTCCGATCTTTGACAGGACCTATCTGCTCCAATGCGTTTTATTTGCATGGAGATGCATGGGTTGTGGGACCGGTTGTGCGGCATGAGTCGCGAATGTTGCGTTAGGCCGTTCTCTCTGCTAAGACGAGCACGCTGTGGAGCAGCTGGCGAGCCAGGGTGGCAAGCTTTGTCTCTTGGTCCGGCAACCTCTATCCAAGAACATGGAAGAACATCGAAGAACATTGAATATCTCAATAGCTGAACTCTCATCCGGTTGATCACTCGGCAAAATGCAATCTCAATCGCTGCCAGCCCATCTAGCAGTGAGAAACATCAGCAGACTGGGAAGCACATCTGATATCATTTCATATCATCTGATCACGCCAGAACCGCATGCAAAATGCCTTGTCAAGGTCGGCCCACATCGGCCTTGGAGGTTACAAGTTGCAATTTGACACCGTGTTCTTCCAGAGGTGTAACCTCAAATGCCTCAATCTGTGCTTTAGCCCATGTTTCATTCGATTGATCTGTTGATATCAGTTGATATCAGTTGTGTCCATTTGATGTACAGAATATGTACAGTGTACAGACACCTTTGGGTCATGTCTAGTCATGTCTTAGCTCCAAACCTTGTCCCAGAAACTCCAGCAGCTCATCACGAGGCACAGCAGCTCGTGGACCCAGAAAGTCTCAGCACCGTTGCTCGACATTGGTCACATCCCAAGGCATCCCAAGGCCCTCGTGAAAATTTGTCATTTATTTTCTTTGTTTTCTGCAAATTCGTGAAATTTGTCAAGTTTAATTTTATTTAATTATTATGTTTAATTGATATACATAATATATATATATATATACATAATTATATATATATATATTTATATGTTTAATTTCTAAAATAGAACAGAACGACCAAGAATGATGAAATAAATGGACTCGATCTTTTGAAAGTATAACAATAATGATTAAGTAAAAGTAAAAGACATGATGTGTGCAATGCCCGAACAGGTACAGACCTGCATAGAATGCTTGGGCTCTGGGTGCATGACTTGCCAACTCATTGCAAAGCAAGGGCAACAAAACAGCAAAGTACCACCTACAGTCACGCGTCACTAGTCACTGACGGTCAACAAATGCTGTTTGGACTTTGCTGTTTGGTTTTGCTTGCAATCGTTGGATATGGCATTATGGCATATGGCGCACTGGTTGTCAAGCACCACGGGGTTTGGCTTGAGCATCACCTTGTGCTCCAATTGGCCAGCCTGCACCCCAACACATTTGCAAGTGGTCTGGAATTTCACAAGTTTAAGGCGAGATTGCGCACATCTACTGCAGCGTTTTAGCATTGTCTGCTTCCACCTCCAAAGCAGTCCAGACCTGTCCAGTGCGATCTAGTATGCTGTCCACCTAGGACAAGAATTGTCGAGCAAACAAGCCCACGAGTCCACAATTACATTCTTTGTAGCAACGTGCAGTGCAAACATCTCTGGCTAGAAGGCCTTTGCACCTAACTTTGGATACTGTTGGTACAAGTACTGTATGGGAAACACTTCACCTCAGCCTCTTTAGAAGTTCTCGCGTCATCATATCCTTCAAAGGTTGCGTTCTCGGTTCCCGAACCAAACATCCTGTGATCCGCCATCGCCTTGAACAAGGGGCAAGCACCAAACGTGCCAGACGTCCAACACTCTGATCGTTCGGCAATGCACCAGGCTGAACCATTCACCATTCGGCAACATGCATGCTGCGTCTAAATCCACCATTTACATCCATTTACTCCTTCTGCAAAATGAGTGAGCTGAGCTCCCTGCAGGCCAGATTCAGCAGACGTGACCTCGCCAAATTGAATCACGCAGCACATCGGCAAATGTAAGCCCCATTGTATGTGCCCTTGCCACTCGTGTGTTGTTTCCACTACAGTTTTGAAACAAAAGCTGCAGCAGCTGTTGGGCTGGAAACATGTCCTCACTGCAAAAGGCCCTTTCACGCTTTGCCCATGCTGTACCAATGCTGCAGAGGGGCGGTGGCTTCAGCTAAGTCCAATGGTCTCACAGGTCCACAAGGCCAATGCAGTTCACTCTTCAACGGGTGCATCACCTCGAGGAAAAACAGCCATCGTGCGTTGTCTGAACGTAACATGATCATTGTATGTATATAATAGCATATATTTAGCATGTAACTTATTATATGACTGAGTGTGTATATACCAAGGACCGCACCCAATCAATCTCATCAATCAGGGCAACTGCTCCTCTGAAGATCTCAAGCATCTTTTGCGCGACCTGACAAAACGGGCAGAGTTTTCTGCAGCTGTGCCCGCATTGACAGCCCCCATGCCCCAAGACATGTCATGACAGAAATGTCATGACTCTGAGGTGCTGTCCTGCAAGGCTTGCTCCTGATTCCCTTCAAAGCGCTTTGACCCTGTCACAAACCGACATCACCCACGTCCACTGTTTTGGAACATTTGGGCAAAGCAAACATGACGAACCAGGTTCAAAGTCGTGATATCTCTGGACACTCAGTCGCTCTGATTGAAATTTAGCACTATTTAGCGGGAAAAAAAGTGTCTTTTGGTTGTCTGTGGTCTGATTTTCTTCTCGTGTGCTATCTGTGGACCAATGCTGCCAAAAGGATCCACCACTACGAAGACCGAACAAGGGTGTTGTAGCATCGTCGGGCACATTGGTCCAACAGGCCTTCTGATCGCATTCCCACTGCACCTGAGTTGCGTTCTCTTGCATGCAAAGTCATATTGTGCGGAGACATCAGAGCTTGGGAACATCTGCTGGCCGTTGGGATCGTTGAAGCATACCCACATGTGTCCTTTGCTGGATTCGACTCGACAGTTCCCTGAGTGATCCCGAGAATATTAAAATTTGGGGATTGAGGCACTGAGGTGTCCAAGGACGTGACTGAGAAATCTCTGCATCCTTCCAGTATTGGCAGGAGCAACCGTGGCACTTTGCTGCGCGGCAAGTTCTGCTACACGTAGCAACCTGGCACGTCTATTTTACTTTTTGTAAAGACAGGCTTTAATCAAACCGAAATGCAACTACAATATATTATTGTTATATTGTCATTGTCATTATTATGATTGTTAATTATATTGCAGCTCCATGTGCAAGGCTGGATGTCGCCTGATCAACTCATCATACCTTTTTTTCACACTTTTGGCGATTTGGGTGAGATTTTCAAAGACCTACTGTGACCCGCAAGGCCCTCTACGACGCTTGAACTCAGCGCAGTGGCACTGAAGACAAGCATGAAAGAAAATGCTTGTGGACTGACAAAGTCTTCTGGAAGAGATTGGCACGGTTGTAGAGGGCTTGCTGGAAGACAGGGAGCGGCAGTGGCATGTACACTCCCGAAGCCCAAAAATCCTCTCTTGCAACTGCTGACGGCAGAAAGGCGCACCACACACACACACACATACACTCACCAACACGCCCAGAACGGTTCCAGCTGCAAAGTTTTAGTAACAGTACCAGCTCTGGTTGCTGCGCGACATGTGCAACTGGGCGAGCTGAATGAGATGTTATCTTATTCTTTCTATGTACACTACAGTGGGAGTCAATCTGTACAATCTCCAAAGCAGACCGTTGGGCAAAACCTCCCAGTATCTACAAGGTGTTAAGGTGTTCAGCCCAAACCATTGAAGGGCGAGGCTGTGCATTCAGCCCGTGATGTCGAAATCTCATGATCCCACTGGGGGCGTCCATGGTGCGCATCGATTGTTTTCTGATGCTACACTCAGGAGCCGCCAGTGTGGCATGTCCCAAAAGGCCAAAAGATCAAAAGGATCTACAGCATCCAAATCAAGGTGACATCAAGGGGTGCCATGTTGCTGCCGCTTGTTGGGTGTGTAAACTCTGCATCCCAAAGCCTGCCGAAGACTAGTCAGTCAGGAAAACGAAGGACGTACCGCGTACGATCAATATCTTGCTTTGCACATTTTTGCACTGATTCCGCAGGAGGCGCCTTCTGGTCTTAATACGCAAAGGGGCTGCAATCCTTGGTGGCACTGCCACGCACAACCCACACTGGACTTGATCCAGGAGTTCAGAACGAACACATCCTGGAAAAGATGCAACACCTAGCACCCAGCCTTAAAGATTTCTGTACTGTTGTAAGGATGGAGATGCAGCTGTCCTGGACATTCTCAAGATTCACGAAGGTAAAGATGGTAAAGAGTACAGAACTGAAAGGCGGCAAAGCATGCAAACTTGAGCATAAAGGAGAAACCCTGAGATGAGACTGCCGCATATTACTGCATACTACCGTGTGTAGTGTAACTATCATCTCCTTTCACTCAACTTGGAAACGGTTGGTACTTACAGGATCTTACAGGTATGCAAGCAATAATGCGACCAGGTCCTCTGACCAGCGTGGTACGACCTGTCAACATACACCATGATTCTTTTTGCGCCTTCTGTGATCTTCTGTCAACTCAGACAAGCAGTGCAATTTTTCTTTTAATCTTTTTATCTCTTAGATAGGCAATGCACTGCCGTCTTGAGCTCACTGCCATCAGGATTTCAAGCCCCATCGAGTACTCTACCGCTGCCTGAAACTTGCTCAAGACAAGCCAGAATGAACTGTGGACAAATTTGGACAAGATCAAAATTGTAGGCCAGAGTCTTCTGTTGTCCATAGCATTCCTGCCTTCTCCAGCCAGCAATCCAGCTGAGACCAAGGTGGATTGAGGTAAACGCGATTGTGCCCATAGGGCGTTGCCAGCAGCTGCCAACTGCACTTCAGCCCATCAAAGGCCTGGCAGTTTTGAATCCATATAATTAATATACGTATATATATATAATATATATATAACTATATATATATAATTATATATATAATACATAAAAGAAGGGAAACACGTAATAATATGATTCATAGTCATTCATTGGCATTCACTACCAGTAGTACCGCACAAGGCGGTGGCGGAAGTTTCAAAAATAGGAAACCTATAGGAAAGGTTGGTTGTTGTGAATCACGGATGGCCTCTGCCCTGCTCTGCTTTTCATCTGTCCATATTGTCGGAAGTTTGACTTCTAAACTTCCTTCGATTATCATTTATTATATAAGAATCATTTAAGATCATTTAAGGATATATCAATGTCATTGCAAAATGATGCAACTCTGAAACATGTCGGATGCTCCCGAGGTACGGGCCAAGGACAAGGGTCGGCTGCATGACCTGAACCCGGAGGATATTGGGGGTTTACCGGTACTGTATGGTACTGTATGCTGCTGTATGTTACTGTATCATTGTCTCAGACAGATTCAGACAGCACAAACCAGTGCGGCATTGAAGTGGACTGGGACCCATTCACGTCAACATCAACCTTCCAATGTCGCTGGCCTCCTCGCCAATCTTGACCAGTCCAATCTTTGCAAATGTCGAAAATGCTCTGGGAGGTGAGGCGAATGTCACTGACGCGAATTCCATACCTGGGTCGACAAGACAGCACACAAATCCCATCAAATCCTGTCTTACTCATCTTGCTCTTAGCGACTTTTTGATGCACTGTAACATACACCAAAGGAGAACTTTCTGAGGCTGGCGCCTTTGCACTGCAGCTAGAATCTCTGGAGTTGGAATAATTTCCTGTCAGCGACACTGCATCACGATGGGGCACTCTGCAGGGCCCGAAAGTCTCATGATATCTCATTATGGACCTTACATAGACCTTACATAGTCCTTACATGACCTTTCAAAATGTTCAAACACCAGACCTCCACTCTGTGAGTACTACCGCGATGAAGGTGGGTCAAGTAGTTGTTCAGCCTGCTGCAGTGAAACTTGTCAAGGTTTCACTAGGAACGCTGCATCGTCCATGCATATCTATGCAAATCATGAAAAAAACACCATGAAACACCTTCCCAGCAAGAAACATCAAGAAACATCAAGAAACATCAAAAAACATCAAAAACATCAAGTTGCACAGTTTGCTGCTGATTTCATCTGATTTCTCATTGTTTCTGAGCTGCCTTCCGGCGCTCAAGGGTCGGCATCGAGGAGGTCCTCAGTGCTCAACGTCAAGTGCCACGTGCATCCGAATGCATCCGAATGCACTGAACGCATAGAAAGAACATAGAAAGAACATAGAAAGAACATAGAAAGAACATAGAAAGAACATGAAACTCACGTTACAGTAACTCAAGTCAACTGAAGGCTCCTGATTGCCAACCAGCCCATTCCTTGCAGAAGTCTTGACATTGCTTCCAGAAATCCTGCGAAGTTTTGTGCTTGAATCAATTCATTCGATTCCGAGATGCAAACAGTTGGCATACAGTTGGCATGAGCACAAGAAACTTCAGGAATTCCAACGTCGCCACATGTCGAATGATTCGAATGAATTCGAATGAATCCGATCCAAATCGATGGGCAAAATCTCCCTGGCCTTTTCCCTGGATACCAGGCATCGAGGACCTTTCGGAAATGTGCCACGCAAAGCTCTGACCGTGCTTGCGACCTGATTGCAGTTCAGCTCGCTTCATGTTAAACGGATGAAGATCGCAGGTTGGATCAGGCTTTTGCATTTTGCAAATACAGATTCGAGCTAGCGCATGCTTGCGCTATGGTAAGACTGCTGCCATGTTGTTGACCACTTATCATCGAGAGCGAGCTTCTCGCGAAAATAGCGAACCGCCTACCATGTCTGCCGCGTGAAAGTCTAATACTAAGAAACAAACAGGAGACAATCCAATGACCAGAAGCCGGAAACATCCGGAAACCAAAGGTCTGGGTTTGCAAACCAGCTCAATGCAAGAGCAAGTCTCTCAACACTGCAGTTCAATTTCTGTACAACTGGCATGGAGAAGGACTCTACCTTGCCAAGCAAACACGCGATCCATCGCACGACAAACCCGGGAGCCTCTTCCTTTGCCCATGCAGAAAGACCGGGAGAATTTTGCGGCACTGGTCCTGGTGGACGAGGTCGCGGAGCTTCAGCTGTGTCCTCAATGCTCTGTGGGAACAGGAGAATTGGCTATGCTTAACATATCTTGACATATCTTGACATATCTTGACATCCAGTGTACTATTTGATACTATTTCGCCAAGTTACACATTAACCATGAATCATGAATGTATTCTGTCATTTTGAGGCTGCGGCGGTGGCCACATGGCTAGTTGTCGGAGATTGGTGCAAGTCGATGTTGCCACCCGGTTCAGCTGGTTTGGGTGGGGCCGCAAGGGGCGTTTGCTCAGTTTGCTCGTGTGATTCACTTGACTCACTACACCCAGTAGAACGTTCATCGCTTGACTCACTCAGAACTTTCTGAGAAAATTCCACTTGCAGCTCTTCTGACTTCTCTGAGTCTGGATGGAGCAGTTTGGCAACAACTCTGCACATGCTTCGCAGCGCTTCATCTGCTGAGTCAAGGGGAGCCATGGCGCACTTCTGTACAGTGATTTGAAGCGTCACTTAGATCTTCCATGATCCTCCGGATGATCCTCCAAATCATTCAACTGTGTAATCCTTCCTATCCTTCCTTGCATTTTGTGGCTAATCGGCTAATCGAGCTCATGAGCATTTATGATGCTCATGAAAACTTCCTGATTGACTCAGCAATTCCACTGCACTGCAAAAGGTGGCGGAAAGGAGACGCAAACTTTCGGCTCTAACGGTTGCATCCAAATCGAGCAACGATCTGCATTTGGGGCGTTGTCACTCTGGACTCTCCCTGGTAAACATGAAAGAGGCGCAAAGACCTTGGCATGTGGAAATTCTTGCCGGGTACAACAAAGGAGACAGAACGAGTCATATCATATATCGGTGATAATATATATATATACATAGAGTTATAATATGATGATATATCATGTATATATGTATGTATATATATATTATGTATTTAACTATACGTATTTATTTAATCGTATTTATACAATGCAGTGAACTCAAGCATCCAACAAACACAGGACATTTGTTTGTCACCAACAAACATGACCAGAGACCGCCACAACTCACAACGTTTTCACCGACATCAACCGACTGCGATGACCTGAGTCCCATGACTTGATGCTCTGCGGCGATGCACAAATTGCGCTTCGGCGTCTTCGTGCGTGCTCCAGGCGAAGCAGCAGCTGAGACGCCACCTGAGATGGCAAGATCTGGCAATGAACCGTTCAGAATCTGAAACACTATGAATATAAATGAAATTAAATGAAAAGACGTAAACGAAACAACATCAAACAATTACAATTCCAAGGATGTAGTGACACTCCAAAGTCTCAGGTCTGCACCCTGGTTTCGCGAGAAAACTCAAATGTAAGCACCTTTTGGCCAAACAAAATGTTTCTTAAGATCTCATGATGAAGACATGTGCAAATTATTTATGGCATGTCATGCAGTATGAAAAGTGTTCATTAATATAAATTCCCTGTAGGGAGCTTGGGATCTCTTAAGGGTTTAGGTTTAGGCTTTAGCAAGGTTTAGACTTTTTACACGTTTGGGATTCTGGATTCCTGTGTAGAATGGACTTGCAAGCATCCAACATGCTTGCAAAGGGGGGGGTTCCCGATTGCATATTGCAAGACCACGGCGTCGTCAGAGGAGGAAGGAACTATCAGACCATCAAGATACGTCAAATTCCACCATTCATTCCAAACACCGCGTCCACGTTTACAGGGTGCTGATTTTTTTTTGCTTTATCTCCGTGCGACAGCAATGACAGTGATACATGGTGATACAAAGTCCCTCTTTCCCTCTTGGTTGTGGACTGGAAGCCCCAGAGATGGGCTACAAAGCCGACTTCTGAGCCTCAATGTTATGGCACTCTGCAAGACAAGTAATGTGTTGCAAAGCAACATGTTGCATCATGTTGCTAAGAGGACGAGAAGCAGAAAAACACGACTAAAGTAACTATAAACCAACATTACCATACAAATTCTCTTCAACATCGTCTTCAACATTCTACTTCCAGATCCTGTCAAGTGTCTGTTGCCGAGAGAAGGTCAACAAACTCGGCCTGACTTGCAGCATTCTTATAAGTCTTGGGCTCTCTGTCTGCCATTAAAATCCACTCAGGAGCAGTGAACTCATCGCACATGACGCAAAATGCAAGAAAAAAACATGTCAGCTTCACGGAACAATCGCAACAAAAAGGCGTGTCGGCCTGGCCCACTCAGAAGGATACGGGTAGATGGTGTAAACACACTGGAAACCGACAAAACATGTCAACGGACGACAGCATTATGTTTCATCAATCATAATTTTCAATATATATATATATATATATTACATTATTATACAGTATACTTATCGGCATTATGAACACAGTGCAATGTCATTATCAATCAATTTTGACTATGGGCGATGATTGGACACTTGAATATCATTGAATTCTCCAAATAGACGAGCCGAAGCATGCTGGAACCGCGTTGATAGGAGAGCGGCTGTGATGGGGGCGACCACCTGAATGGAATGTCTTGGAAAAATGGCCAAGCCAGCTGCAGGATTTGCAAGCAAAAAACATGTATTGACAGTGTACGAATCACAGTAAAACAATGTAAAGCATGGCATAACCTTTAAACTTTAAACATTCATACATGATCATACATGTACTGGTACGGATTGAGCTGGTTGAAAGTCACATCAAATTAAATTGGACCCTGAGGTCCAAGCACAGGTCTTTCCTCCTCCCATCAGCATCTGATGAACCCAGGCATCCTAGCAGCAGCTAGGACCAAATCTACAAATTGCTAAGACGACCCTATTCATGTTGATTGGATTTCATCTGATAGCAACCTTGACCGAAAAACTTCAGATTGCGCCTCCTTTCCATTGACGAACGAGTGGAGGACCTCTCGTTGTGACTGGACACAGTGAACCTGAACCTGAACCCATCAACCTGGAAGGCAATTCTGGGCCTTACCTGCACTTGAGGCTCCCGAAGCATTATGCCGAAAATGAACTCCACAGCTAACAGTCGTGGATCTGGCAGGAGTCAGTTGGGAATCTGCTATGAGTCTCCAACTCTCATGAAGTCTGTTTGGAGTCCCCAACGCGCTCAGCAACAGTATCAACAGCCCAGAGAATGAATACACAAATTCATGAAAATATGCATCCCGGTGCGTTCAAACTTGCACCAAATCGGCATTTGGCAATCAAATGTTCAAGCAGCGAACCCACAGTGGCATTCATGCTGTCCAAAGATAGGAAGTAGCGTTCCTGGCAGCATCTTGCACTGAAAACCGCAAAATCTTGACAAACTTGTCTCGTTCCCAGTATCTGGCCTTGGCCACTTCTTCTGCAACAACTTTCCCTTTCAATTCCAGAGATCTGCCATCCTGCAAGCATTTGATCTTGATGATATTGACATATATTGACTTACCTTTGCATATATGGCATACCTCTGCGAAGGACATATTATGACATATTTGTTCTTGCTTATTATGCTTATTTATGACAGGTTGCAGTCCCTCTGGTTTCCGTTTGGTCACGACAGCTCAGTGCACTTTTGGAAGTTCCTATCCTCTTCTCGAAGTACTCGCAATGCGGAGGCACACTGAGTTGCCCGAACCTGTGGCTGTAGCTATAGTCAATGTCAATCAATGTGGATCTCCTTTTGTTTTCATGGCTTTCCTAAATTACTTAATAATTAGTAAATTACAGGATCTTACAGGCAGCCGACTACATAAACCGCCAGCCGCCTGGAGAAACAGTGCCTCTGCCACCAGCCTTCAGAGTGTATAGATCGGACTTGAAGAACCGATGACTTTGGCACCACAGCTCAACTTGCTGCAAAGCTGCGCAAAGGTCTTCATGTCATCAATGCCAAGCGCTGTGAGTATGTCTGAACCTCAATCAGATCAAAGCAACTACTAAGGAGAAAACAAGTGCTGCGAGCAGTTCGTACTTCAGAGAATGAACAGTCTGAATCCATGTGTTGAAAGTGAAACCGGTGACTTGCACCCAAGAGAGGTGAGGATAATGGATTCGGAGAGACACAAATGGAGTTCTATGAAGTTCTAGGACCTTTGTGGGGCTTGGAACCCCCCCTGCTTAGCGTCGTATGTCGCATGACGATGACCAGCCTGTGATGTTTGCCCAGCCTGTTTCTGCCATGAACAGCCGCACCAAGCCAAAGAATTCCAAACGTGGCCTCGATGCGCGAGATTCCACGAGTGTATGCTTTGTGTCTTTGACATAAACCGATCTATATGGCTACACAATGTATTATTATTATTAATTATATTATTATGATTATTATTATTGTTATTATGATTATAGTTATTATTGTTATTATGAGTATTATTATTATGATTGTTATTATTATCATTATTATTGTTATTTATTATTATTATCATATATCGTATATTATTGTATGATCATGTTATTGTATAACGAAAAGAATTTACAATATTTAAGTCGTCCCCGTCTGGAAGCGATCAAAACCAAACAGGACAATTGATTACGACATACTACGACTTGCTGACAAGTAACGCCATGCCAGCCAGGAGCTGCAGGGACCGCAAAGCGGAATTACTCTGACTGTAGCTTTCCTCAGTGACTTTGGGAGAGTAAGAAAAAGTCAACTCATGTCGGAGCCTCGTTCAAAGAGATAAACTATGATAAACGAATGACTATCTGATTGTGATAGAACAGGATAGAAGTATGTTTCTCTCGCGTGACAAGCATCTGGTGCCAAAGACGAAGCTGCCTCTTCTGCGGCCGTAAGTGCCTTCCACAGTCAACAGAATCAGAAACTCATACATATATACTAATACACTTCAACTTCAACCTTGCGCAACCATCCATTGGGGTAATCAAAACTGTAAAAATCCAACAAGAGACCCAAAATCCTCTAATCATGTGATCGATCTGAAAAGTCGGCCTCCGATGCCTTTTGCCGGTCAAAATTCAGCTGCCTTGCAGCGCCAACTGCCCCCAACCGCCGTATATAATTTGAATAGATATGAATAGATTAGATGTGTCTCCATTTTCTTCTCGATGACTTCAAGTGGCTTGTTATGGCCTTTGCAACGCATTTGCGATCTCTGCCATTCCGCATCGCAGAACTGCTGCCTGGAGCTTTGGCTTTCAATATTTTCAATCACAACAACAGCGTTCACAGCACACAACAGTCGACTACCACTAAGCAACCCAAAGATGTTGGGAGTCCTGCAGATTGTCTCAATATGTTTCAATGCTACAGTATTGTACCAGTACCAGTATCTTGATGGTCTACTTCAAACCAGGAACCTGTGATGGCATTTGGAGCTCCGTCAAGGAGTTCTGCAGGCGGTTTACCTACAGTACAGCATAGTACAGCTTTTGCATATCACGGTGTCGATGTTTGGTGTGTGATACCGTTATGCTTGAACAGATTTGTGTGCCATGGAGTAGGCAAGTGCTCTGTAGAATTCTGTAGACTACACAATCCATTGCAAACAAAAAGATGCGCGCAAAACGGCCCAGCGTGTCAGGAGTGCACAGTCCAGCCCCGAATAAAATGAGAGTCAGGATACACACAGCATCACCCAGAGCGTAGTTACAAAATGTTACGAAAGGACTGCACCCCTCTGACGCAAACAGCTGAGGCAAACACCCATTGAGCTCCTCGAGATGTGCAGTGACTGTCAGCCTGCCACGCCACATAACTTCTCAAGATTTAGGCCATTCAGACAGTCCAAAACTTGTTGACTCCAAGAGTTTCACAAGTGCTCAGCCAGCCTGAATCTTTTGTAGGACCCAGGAGGCAAAGTCCTTGCACTCACCAAGATACTCAATGTCAAAGCAGCTGTTTCAAAGCACTGACTTCAAATCCGAGCTTGACACAGGTATCTCTTGAGGCAGGTGAACTCGGGATAGGAGTCCCTGGGCGATCTCCTTCAAATTAAGTGTCTTTCAAAGGCATCTGAATGCTACAGCTGCTACAGCTGCTACAGGTAAATTATGGTCTGAATTGGTCTGATCTTTGGCCTGGTGACATACATAAACATGTGTGCTCATAGTGCTACTTCACAGTCCTGCAAAGGCATTCTCAAAGATGCCACTCCAGAAACCTTGACACATTGAAGCAAACTACAGAATTCAAACAGGCGGGACTGGAGTAAAATCGGAAAGCCTTCAGACTGCAGTAATACTGCACACCACTGCATACCTGCATACGCCTGCGGCAAAATCTGAGGAGAACGCGAACCTCCTTTCGCAATCAGAAACTTGCACCAAAGGCCAGGCCTCAAAACGTTGTCACTCGACTGACACGTTGCCTCTTGTCCATCGAGAGAAAGCAAGGGCTCGGCCGCAAGTCTTAGAGCATCATGTTTCAGTAGTACCTGGACCGAAAGAATCACACACCAACACAGCCATCAGCACCCGTTTCATCCCGTTTCATCCCGTCTCTTTCTATCATTTTCTAATGTTTTCTTAATTTGTTTATACTTGCTTGCTTTCTTCTCATCACATCTTCAAAATTTTATCCTCCAAAATGAAGTCATTGAAGTCTCCTCTCCTTCCTCCGAGTCTCCCCGGCCTCTCTTGGCACAGCTGCAGGTGCCGGTGGCTCTGGCAAGGGGTTGCTGACAGCGGCGGCCAACTTCTCCCTGACCTGTCAAATGTCTCGCAAAGGCCATCATATTTTCAGCGTATCTATCCAACATCTATCCAAATGTATCAGGCAACTGAGCCCGATTGACTAAGCCGACCAAACTTCTACAACCATGATAAATATGAAATAATATAAATTTATCAGTTGATTTCTTTTGAGCCTCATGGAGCCATCGTTTCTGAGCAGCTGAGGGCAAGAGTCCTTGCTTCTTCGGCCTCGCATCCACGTGTAGTTTGAAATCGAATCTTCACAGCCCACATTATCCACGTCCGTTAAAATCGTCAAAGGATCTGGCGGCTTTGGCAGGCTTTCTGCCAAACCTTCATCACCTCAGATATTTCGAATGAAAACTGAAAGTGAGATTAATGACGACTATAGTGACTAGAACACAAAACAACATGTCAGATAAATGCTGATAACATGACAACATGAGTGACTCATGATGAGTCATTTCAAGCGGCTTCAAACGATTAGAAGCGCAGGGTATTTGATTCACGAGTCCATGACGGGCAAGTAGCGCCAACGCCGCTGAAGCTGGGCCATAGGCTCTGGCCTTAGGTTGTGCGTAGTTGTGTTTCGAGATGTCCCTTTCCAGTCAGATACTTGCCGTTTTATTCAAACTTACGTTGCTTGTCATTGCAAACATGTACACAATTTCTACCAGTAGTACCGCACAAGGCGGTGGCGGAAGTTTCAAAAATAGGAAACCTATAGGAAAGGTTGGTTGTTGTGAATCACGGATGGCAGAGCGAAGCCACTGATGGATCGAAAGGTGATTGATGTCTCCTCTCTTTCTCTCTCTTTCTCTGACTATCTACCTACCTACCTATCTACCTATGCATCTATCGATCGGTCTATCTATCAATCTATCTACCTATCTATCGATCTATCGATCTATGGATCTAGCGATCTAGCGATCTAGCGATCTAGCGATCTATCGATCTATCAATCTATCAATCTATCAATCTATCAGTCTATCAATCTATCAATCTATCAATCTATCAATCAATCAATCAATCTATCTATCTATCTATCTATCAAACCTATCTACCTATCTACCTATCTACCTTTCTATCTATCTATCTATCTGTCTGTCTGTCTATCTATCTATCTATGTATGCATCCATCTATCCATCTTTCTACCTACTATCTATCTATGTATCCATCTATCCATCTTTCTATCTACCTATCTATCTATCTATCCATCCATCTATCTCTCTCTCTCTCTGTTTCATCTGTCTATCTGTCTAGCTGTCTATCTGTCTATCTATCTATCTGTCTATCTGTCTACCTGTCTATCTGTGGTGCAGTGTCATTCAGTGTAATGTAGTGTAGTGTGGTGGAGTGTAGTGGAATGTAGTGTAGTGTGGTGTAATGTAGCGTAGTGTAGTGTAATTTAGTGTAGTGGAGTGTAGTGGAGTGTAGTTAGTTGTAGTTGTAGTTGCAGTTGTAGTGTAGTTGAGTGTATTGTAGTGTAACGTAGTGAAGTGTAGTGGAAGGTAGCGTAGTGTAGTGTAGTGTAATGTAGTGTAGAATAGTGGAGTGTAGTGTAGTGTGATGTAGTGTAGTGTAGTGTAATTTAGTCTAGTGGAGTGTAGTGTAGTGTAACGTTGTGTAGTGTAGTGGAGTGTAGTGTAGTGTAATGTAGTGTAATTGAGTGTAATTGAGCGTAATTGAATGTAATTGAATGTAGTGTATTGGAGTGTAGTGTGGTGTAGTGGTGGTTGTAGTTGAAAATGCTACAAAACCTCCACGTTTTGCTCACTTTTGACAAGGTGCACAATCCCTTGCGCCTGCCACGCGAAGCGACATCTGAACCTCCAAAAGTGGTCCGAACCCCTGGTGTTTTTAACATGTTGACTTGGAAATGTGCTTCGCGCCACAACGGCGTGCACTTTTTCGACATCTGAACTTCCAATAGTGGTCCGAACCCCTGGTGTTTTTAACATTTTGACTTCGAAATGTGCTTCGCGCCACAACCGCGTGCACTTTTTCGGCATCTCAACTGGCAAAAGTAGTCCGGAGGTGTGTTTTGTACATTTTGACTTCGAAATGTGCTTCGCGCTACAACGGCCGGCACTTTTTCGACATCTCAACTTCCAAAAGTGGTCCGAACCCCTGGTGTTTTTAACATGTTGACTTGGAAATGTGCTTCGCGCCACAATGGCGCGTACTTTTTCGACATCTGAACTTTTAAAAGTGGTCCGAACCCCTGGTGTTTTTAACATTTTGACTTCGAAATGTGCTTCGCGCCACAACGGCGTGCAATTTTTCATCTGTCATCTGGCCAGCTGGCTCCGCACCCGCCGCTTTAGCGAGCCTACGTTTCGACCCTCCGGAGCCACAAATCATTCGAAAAACACAGTGTTTCGCGACTTTCCTACCTTTTCGCGCATCTGCATCTTCTTTCTTCTGACTCTTCTCTCTTCTACTCTTCTCTATTCTAATCTTTCTCTTCTCTCTGCCTCTGCCCTACTCTGCTTTTCATCTGTCCATTTTGTCGGAAGTTTGACTTCAAAAAAACTTCCTTCGATCAAACTATCTAACTATCTATCTCTCTCTCTCTCTCTTTATCTATCTATCTCTCTAACTCTCTATCTGTCTGTCTGTCTGTCTGTCTGTCTATCTATCTATCTCTCTCTCTCTCTCTTTATCTATCTATCTCTCTAACTCTCTATCTGTCTGTCTGTCTGTCTGTCTGTCTGTCTGTCTGTCTGTCTGTCTGTCTGTCTGTCTCTCTGTCTGTCTGTCTGTCTGTCTGTCTATTTATCTACCTGTCTATCTGCAAGCTTGAAAACAAAACTATTCTGTGAGACGTCCTGAAGTTTTGAGTTTTGAGAACTTGACAACATCAAAAACGAAGCAAGTCTGCGAGACTTCCTCATTTGTCGAAGTTGTCAACATCAAAAACGAAGCAATTCTGCCAGACTTCCTCAGTCATCATTTTTGAACTGGACAGCATCCAAAACAAAGCAATTCTGCGAGACTTCCTTCAAAAATAAAAAGTTGAGTGCCGAGCTGACAGTCTCGTACCAATGCTTTTTGCGATTTTTCCAGTCCACCTGTCGAAAGTACTGCGCCTGCCACGAAAAAGTGATGCCAGGTCATACGAAGTGCTGCACCTGTCACGCAAAATCATCTCAGCAAACCTGAAAATCTGATGCTCCAAAATGCAACCCCTCTCAGGAAATCAGCGCCCTCACCTCCTAACAGCTCCGACGAAGATGTCTCTTGTACTGCGCCTGCCACAGAAAATGCATCTTTGCAGATCCTCTTCAAATGTCCCACGCCTGCCATCGTTTTTGGAAATGCTACAAACCCCCCCACGTTTTGCTGAGTTTTGACAAGGTGCACAATCCCTTGCACCTGCCACGCGGAAGCACATCTGAACGTCCAAAAGTGCTCCATACCCGTCAGTTTTTTGCACTTTTGACTTCGATATGTGCTTCACGCCGCAGCAGCGTGCACTTTTTCGAGATCTCAACTTCCAAAAGTGGTCCGAACCCCTGGTGTTTTTAACATGTTGACTTGGAAATGTGCTTCGCGCCACAACGGCGTGCACTTTTTCGACATCTCAACTTCCAAAAGTGGTCCGAGAATGGTGTGTTTTGTACATTTTGACTTCCAAATGTGCTTTGCGCCACAACGGCGTGCAATTTTTCATCTGTCATCTGGCCAGCTGGCTCCGCACCCGCGGCTTTAGCGAACCTACGTTTCGACCCTCCGGAGCCATAAATCATTGGAAAAACACAGTGTTTCGCGACTTTCCTACCTTTTCTGCATCTTCTTTCTTCTTACTCTTCTTTTTTCTAATCTTTCTCTTCTCTCTGCCTCTTCCCTGCTCTGCCTTTCATCTGTCCATATTGTCGGACGTTTGACTTCTAAACTTCCTTCGATTATACAATTATTATAGTATATGTTCTGTTGATTTCTGTTAATCAATCTCTGTACTCTATACTCTATACTGTATACCAGTAGTACCGCACAAGGCGGTGGCGGAAGTTTCAGAATAGGAAACCTATAGGAGACGTTGGTTGTTGTGAATCACGGATGGCAGAGCGAATCCACTGATTGACCGAAAGGTGGTTGGAGTTGTGTTTGCTGGAGTGGTTGCAATGGTTGCAGTGGTCACCTCACCCACAACTGCTGGATGTAGTGTGATGTAGTGCAACTGTAGTTGTAGTTGTAGCGTAGTGGAGTTGTAGTTGTGGTGTAATGTAATTAGTGTAGTGTAGTTGCAGTCATATAGTTGTAGCTGTAGTTGTTTTGTAGTTGTAGTTGTTGTAGTTGTAGTTGTTGTAGTAGTTGTTGTAGTAGTAGTTGTTGTTGTAGTTGTAGCTGTAGTTGTTGTGTGGTTGTAGTTGTTGTGTAGTGTAGTTGTAGTAGTAGTAGTAGTAGTTGTTGTTGTTGTTGTAGTTGTTGTAGTTGTAGTTGTTGTTGCTGTTGTTGTTGTTGTTGCTGCTGTTGTTGTTGTTGTTGTAGTTGTTGTTAGTTAAGTTAGTCAAGTTAGTTAAGTAAATCAGTATCTACTTTTTCGACATCTTAACGTCAAAAAAGGCTCAAAACCCTCAGTTTTTTACACTTTTGACTTCGAAATGTGCTTCGCGCCACAACGGCGTGCACTTTTTAGACACTTTTTCGACATCTGAACCTCCAAAAGTGGTCCGAGACCGTCAGTTTTTAACACTTTTGACTTGGAAATGTGCTTCGCGCCACAACGGCGTGCACTTTTTCGACATCTCAACTTCCAAAAGTGGTCCGGGAATGGTGTGTTTTGTACATTTTGACGTCCAAATGTGCTTCGCGCCACAACGGCGTGCAACTTTTCATCTCTCATCTGGCCAGCTGGCTCCGCACCCGCCGCTTTAGCGAGCCTACGTTTCGACCCTCCGGAGCCACAAATCATTGGAAAAACACAGTGTTTCGCGACTTTCCTACCTTTTCGCGCATCTGCATCTTCTTTCTTCTGATCTTTTCTCTTCTGACTCTTCTCACCTCTGCTTTTCAACTGTCCATATTGTCGGAAGTTTCACTTCTAAACTTCCTTCGACTATGTCTACTTGGCTCCCACCTCATCTCATTAGCTGTAGGTCCTTGGGGTCAAACAAGGCATGCTGCAACCATATGCGGAGGGTCTTCAGGAAATGGTTGTAGCATTGTGGCCTCAGAACATCTCAGAACCAGATGCTTTACTTTTGAAACGATCAAAATGGCTTTGTGTTGGAATCACCAATGAAATGCGTTTTACGCTGTGGCAGCCTGTGGCATGATGACAACATGGGGCAATTTTAGCTCAGCTGGAGACGCGCGTGAGCATTTCGAAAACCAGTTGCATTGGGAGACAGTTGCTCCCAGCTGATGACAGCCTAAAGGCTTGGCAAATCTGGAGGCCGTGGAAATGAACGTATGCCATAGGTGAAACTGACACTGACCTCTGTGGCAGTTCTGGTATACACGTGCAGGGTCTGTGACAGCAACTGGGAAGCGAACTGCTGGTCAATGTAGCGCAGGGCTGCTGCACCAGTCTTTGAAAGTTCCTGCAATTTCTGCAGCAAATTGCAGCAAGATTCACAGATTCAAACAATTCAAAGACACCACGCATAAGTCATCAGATGTCATCAGTGATCTCCAGTACCTCCGCAGGTGCGACCACACCTTGGTATTTTTGGTGACTTCCGGACTGGAAGTGCTTGCAAAGGGCTGCTTAGGCCATGACTGACAGCATTTGCCCAGTCAGGAGTGGCTGCTTCAGAGAAGACCTTGACTTCGTAGCCTGACTTTGCCAGAGGCACTATGTGGCACTTCATAAGACTTGTCACAAGACTTTCCATCAGATTTCTTTTCATGCGCAATTCTCCAGTCCAACCATTCCTGGACAGTTTCTCTCGCTATCACTCGCCATGCATTGGTATCTTGGAACCTTGCCATCACCTGGTGCAGTTGGTGGTGGCTCTAAAGCGACCAACACCTCAAGTGCCAATGTTGGCGTCAGCAATGCCAAGCAGTCCCCAAGCTACGTCCACTGAGGCAGTCACTCCACTGGGTGCCTCAAGGACTCGTTTCCGATTGCGCAAGAGCCAGCTGATACCGTCCTGGAATGGTCAGCGAAATCAAAAAATCGTCTGTCCGCTCAGGTCTATAAATCTCTTTCAGACCTCATACGTACAAACCAAATTCAACCAGATTCCACTGGTCATTCTGCTCAGCATTTCCAAAGTATTCCAAACATGTGAGCCACACCAGCTCCGGCAGCATCTGAATCACCTGTTCAGAATTTCAGCCGGTAGCTACTACCTTTGCAAATCAAAGCCCTTCTTTACTTAGCGATGAACCATAAACAAACAATAAACAACCCGTCGGGGGGAAAACCGCGCCAGCGGTTGTGAGCGTTTTGAAAAGAAAATGTCGTTTTCGCCATGGCGAAACTGTTGATTTATTCCAGAAAAAAGTGACTAAAATTCCCCGGGAATTTTCAATGAATTTTTGCTCAACTCCTGCAACTTACAGGAAATCTGGTTTGCCAGACTCGCGCGGTGTTTTCCTCCTTTCACATGGCCATGCCCTTCTGCAAAGAGCGACCAGTGATCTCGAAAAGGTTTTCTGCATTGGAGTTCATCCAACGCCATTGCCAGACCCTGATGCTTCGCATCAGCTTTGGGTTCACTTGGCTGTTGACTCTGGTTGCAAGACTACACGGAATGGCCTGTACAAAATACACCAGGTTCGGACCACTTTTGGAAGTTGTGATGTCGAAAAAGTGCACGCTGTTGTGGCGCGCAGCACGTTTCCAAGTCAAAATGTTAAAGACACCAGGGGTTCGGACCACTTTTGGACATCAGATCTTCAGGTTTGCGAAGATGATTTTGCGTGACAGGTGCAGCACTTTGTATGACTTGGCATCACTTTTCGTGGCAGACGCAGTACTTTAGACAGATGGAGTGAAAAAATCGCAAAACGCAGTGGTACGAGGCCCATTCTTGAAGGAAGTCTCGCAGAATTCTTTCGTTTTTGACGTTGCTAAGTTCAAAAATTGAGGAAGTCTCGTTGAATTGCTTCGTTTTTGACGCTGTCAGATTGGCAAAAGTGAAGAAGTCTCGCAGAATAGTTTCGTTTTCAATCTTGCAGATAGACAGATAGACAGATAGACAGACAGACAGACAGATAGATAGACAACTACAACTACCACTACCACTCACTACACTACTACTACAATTACAACTACAAAATAGTACACTACATTACACTACACATCACTATACTAATTACACTACACTGCACTAATAACATCTAATTACACCACACTACACTACACTAATTGCACTACTTGCACCAATTACACAACAACAACTACTACTACTGCTACTGCTACTGCTACTGCTACTACTACTACTACTACTTCTACTACTACTACTACTACCACCAGCACCACCACTACCACCACCACCACAGCTACAACTACACTTACCACTACACTTCATTACACTACACTAATTACGCTGCAGCACACTACAACCACAATTGCAAATACAACTACAACTGCACTACAACTACAACTACGAGTACCACTACATTACACTACATTACGCTAGACTACACTACACTACACTAATTACACTACACTACAACTACAACTACACTACTTTACACTACACTACACTAGGCTACACTACACTATACCACACTACAATACACATCGCTAAGGTACACTACACTAGACTACACTGATTACACCACACCACAACCACAGCTACAACACAACCAACCTCTCCTATAGGTTTCCTATTTTTGAAACTTCCGCCACTGCCTTGTGCGGCACTACTGGTAGATTGCCTCCGGGAAGGTTTTCCGTGGCTTGCCCGGCCACTTGAAGATATGGGTTGATCATGGTTTATCTAGGTTCAAAACATATAAAACCAATTAAAACATATTAAAACCATATGTTTCTTAGAGGCATGCGTGCGGTCAGGGGGTACTGTGGGTTGGGTGCGGGGTACGATGGGGAGGTACGGTGGGTACGGTGGAGGAGTACGGTGGGTGCGGTGGGTACGGTGGGCGTGGACACGGTGTTTTGTAGTGTATTCATGGTTGTTCTGCAGCGGATTTATGGCGGTTTTGTGATGGATTTGTGGTGGTTTTGTAATGGTTTTATGGTGGTTTTGTAGTTGATATATGGTGTTTTTGTAGTGGATTCATGGTAATTGTGTAGTGGATTTATGGTGGTTTTGTAGTGGATTTATGGCGGTTTTGTAGTTGATTTATGGTGGTTTTGTATTGGATTCATGGTGGTTTTGCATAGATTTATGGTTGTTTTTTATGGTGGACTGGTGGTGGTTTTGTTGTGGGTTTATGGTTGTTGTGTGGTGGATTTATGGTGGTTGTGTGGTGGAATTATGGTGGCTTTGTAGTGGATCTATGGTGGTTTTGAAAATCCTCACCATGTGTACCCTTTAAGAACTAACCCCTTCTAAACATCAGGGCCCACTCACTTACTATCCCCATATTCCCACCTATAGCCTATATAGTACTTTACGAACTCCAGGGTAGGCTGAAAATTTCTTAGGCGGTCCTTAGCTAATGGTCCAACTGTGCTTGAATCGACATTTAAATATGCAGAACAGGCCAGCCGATTTAAATATACGGATGGAATGGTGTTTCATACTACCTCCGGGGCCTCGCAGTCTGGCCCGCCGCCCCGCCCTCCACATATTTAAATGTCGTTACCGTATATAGTTCTATCAAACTGGCTCAAACAATTTCAAAGTGTTTCTATAAGATTCTATAAGTGTCTATGGTTGGAAACGAAAATGGCGTGTGATGTATGATTTCTGCTGTTCCCAACTGAGACTCTGAATCAATCCCATGGCCTGAAGCTCAACTTCCGGTGGGAGTATGCAGCTGGAAGAGCAGCGTTGACGATTCAAAACAAACCTCGTTAAAGAACCCCAAAGGGGAACGGTTCAAAGAGGCAGCAACACAACAATCATCAACAATCACAACATAACATTGGAAAGTGCAACTGTGCATTGGAATGTCTGTCATAGTCCACCCAGGTTCTGCACTGTATGTAGGCATCTCGTGTTGACCATGGTGGATCCAGACCTTGCAACGTAAGAGCTAAAGCGCTATGGTGTGATATTTGCTAGCTGGTGCGCTTAAGTGTGCGCTCCGTGTCCCTGTGTCCACATACCACACCTAGTGGCTGCAGCGCCGTCGAAAGATGCAAGCGACAGGCTTGTGCGTCGACCTCTCTACAAAGACACTTCTTCAAGTCTTCGGGCATGCAGTGTCCGAAAAAGCCCAGTACACAGGGCTCCCAGCGTGTTGGTCATGGGATGTTTCTGTGCCCAGTCGGTTCCACAATTCGGCCTGACATGAAACGGGCAAACAACCTGTGAATGTTGCTCCAGAACTTTGTTATTTGAGGGCCATTTGGGATTGAACGAAGTAAAGATAAGTAATGTAGTTCCATGTAGTTCCCCCAAACTGCTGCACAAACTGAGGTTGAGATGGCTCTCTGTCGAGGGATGGCTCTCTGTCGAGGGCCTCCTCTTGAGTCAAGCTATCGCAGCCCAAGAAACTAGAAGCACGAACGACCTCCGCTCTAGTGGTTGAAACGATTCAAAATGCGGCAATGTTTCAACCACGAAACCTAACATACTGCTCGGTGCAACTTCAGTATCTGTTTCAGTAAAACAAAATATATACACAATACATATATACATACTAGCTTCTGATTGAAAAAATCCTTCGAACAAAGCCGGCAACTTTGCAAATGTGGCCTCTTCGTATCTGTGCATAAGCCAACAGCAAGTCAACCGATAGAGCTCAGCAGCCAGGTCCTTGCAGGGATCTGGGACCCCAGCACATGGCTGACAGTAGCTCTGATAGAATCTTGACATATCTTGACATACTTGTATCTTGAATTATCTTGACATCTTGGTCGTAACATGCTGAAACTGGTTTCAACTGTCATCGCCTGGGCAGAAACATAGCAATGAGACGGATGGATAGAAAAGAAGTAGTGCCCAGACTTCTCATTGCTTCTTGAACCTCAGGATCTAATGAGCTGACAAGAGACTGTTACAACTTTGAAGCTGCAATTTCAAGCAGCCAGGCAGCTGATCGATTCACTTCGGTCAAACACCAAAGGTGCCACCCACTCCAATGGGAATGGCCTCACGCAGGATTTCATACTGAGTCATGTTTTTCTGGTAGAACGCAGATCAAGACTCCTGAAACCCTCCGAGCACATGATTCGAGTGAAGGAATGAAATTGGACTCGATATCATAGGGCCATGAAGGAGATCCATCTTGCGCAGCCCATCACAGTCCCTTCATTGAAACATCAAGGCTCCGGCCCTCCACCAGGCCGGCGGGGCCGTTGCAATGCCGAGCAAAGGACTCCAAGCTCTCCGTCTGGTCCCTTTGTGGAGCACTTACACGACTTAGATTATGCGGAATGCAATGAAAGTTGTACAAAGGTCTTGGGCCTTGAGGAGCAAAGCTGCCCGACCAAATTGTGCTAGCATGTGCCTCACCTGAGTAAGTGGTAAAGATGCGAAGCACCGTCTCTACTTCCTTTGCATGCTTGCACATTTCTGCGCGTCACAAAGGCTACAAGGAGCTTGGAGGTCCACTCTGAACGGAAGACCGGACAAGTCGTCGACACCGATACCTGAGTCCATCTTGAGTTGCAAGACAGCACTGCTCTGATTCACGCAAGCACAACTGTGTTCAAAATTCCTTTTGATCTCCTGACCGAGAATTCAAAGCTTACGTCGTTCGCTTACGTTTTTCAAGGTTTTGCTTACGACGCAACAACTTCAAAGAGCTTGCGCATCTCTTACGGCAAACCAGCGTTGGGGATATGTAATGATTCTGATATGTCAGCAGTGGTAAAGCCAGAAGCCTTGGCCAACGCCAGGTGGAAGGCTGAACTGACGGGAAGGTTCGAGTAGACGGCCAACCACTGGGGACTGGGGACGCGGGGCTTTGCAGCCGGGGATGAAAAGAAGATTTCTCACACAAGAACCTGCAAGTTGCCGCAGCCGGGCGAGAGCAACGAAGAAACAAGCGACCTTCGCAGAGAAAAATCATCTCTAGTGCAACCTGCTGCCAAGGTGAGGTCAGCAGGTTGGGGGGAGTATGAAAGGATGTGCATAGCCCCTAGGTCCTTAAGGTGCACGCGTCACATGGGTAGAGGCAGCCTTGAATAGTAGCTGTGCTCACTTGTATGGGTGGGTAGAGAAAACCTAAAGGTAGATTCGCTTGCAAAGGATTGCAAAGGAACCACAATGGGCCAGGGGTCATGAATGCAACCTTCGCTTGCGACTAGCTTACGGATTGCTTACGCCGAGCTTACGGCTAATTCCGACCTCATTTAAAAAAAAAAACTAGGGCCGTGAAGAAAGTCGCATTTGTTCTGGTCTGCTTTCCCTACATGCAATGGCATCATCATCATCATCATCATCGTCGTCGTCGTCGTCGTCGTCGTCCTCGTCCTCGTCCTCGTCCTCGTCCTCGTCCTCGTCCTCGTCCTCATCATCATCATCATCATCATCAACATCAACGTTAAATAGCACGCACCAAACAAAGCACACAACCTTATTTGAGCCTCAGCTCTCATGGCCCGACATGGACTTCCGAATGGCTTAGGGCAACATGTTCGTGACCAATGCTTACGTCAAACCTTTCGCACTGCTTGCGAAACCCAGGGAAAGTCTTACGATTTGATGGAATTTATAACAGCCCAATACTAAACAAGTAAACTGTTCAATCTACAACTGCAAACAGAAACATTGCAGAAAAGGATAAGTGTCAGGCAAAGTCCACCAAAGCCCAAGCACTCCAATCCACCTTTTGAATTTGCCTTGCCAGTCTGCCAGTCTGCCAATGGATGTGGGTGCTCTTTCCCATTGTGTATTGTATTTCATAATTGTTCATCATATTGTATTCGAACGCAACTCAAACTTTGAAGAGACGACAAAAGGGCTTGTAGGGATTCCAGGCCAGTGTATAGTCTTAAAATGTTTGGTTCTTGTCTGCAAATCTCTTGGATCTGGTAAAATCCTCTGCAAGGGGCCTTGAACCGCAAGCCCAAGCGAGGAAGTTCAATTTCCACTATATGACCTGTGCCAATTTGTGCCAAACAAGCTTGTTCAATATCACAGACGAAAGAGAAAAAGGCATTGGTACAACAAAACCAATGACCCGACCTGCTTCATCTGCCCAGCATAAAATGAAGGCTAGATCTTCCACGCGAATCAACATTTCAGCCTTGACAAACGTGCGCAAATTAACAATCATCAATATATTCTTCTATCATCTCATTCCAGTTGGATATCTATTATAACAAAATACATAAAATTACAACATTACCAAAAATGTGTCGTGTTAGATTTGCACTGGGCACAGCACTAACCGCCGCAAAGGAGACGTCGAGCTGCAAAGCATCAGATTTACCAGGACCTGCCTGGGAAAATTCGCCAATCAGGAATCGGCACAAACAAACACGCACACACACACACGCAATATGTATAATATTATATAGACAATTATAATATATAATTATGTGTATATAATTATATATATATATGATTATATATAATGATTATATATAATGTGATTATATATAATATGATTATATATAATATGATTATATACAATTATATATAATCATATCATATTATACATAATTTGTACAACTATCTAGACATAGTGATATTTACAAACACAATAGACATGATGATCTGTTTGTCCACACATCATTTTTTTTAGGATCATTGAATAGAGGCATTGCCATTGATGCAAAACAATGATTCAGACTAGGCACCTGCATGGTTTCCCTTGAGCCAGGGATGGCACTGTCTGTGATGGCCTTTGCACCAAGGAAGGTGGCTGGGTAATGTGGAAAACTCTACAGCTGTTTGAATTCGTTTCTTTGATTTTCCACCCTTTTCCACCCTGGGGATCCCTGGGGAATCAACAGGAGGCGTACAACTTTGGCACGATTGCCATCAAGAGGTTCCACCTGCAAAACAAATGACCCAGAACTGTGCTCCGCAACCGGTCCGCAACCACAAATCATCATCCAACTCCAATCCCTCTATAGTAACTAGCTGCTCAAGCCTTTTCAAATGTCCAATGTCGTGACCAACTCAAAACAGAACCATCCTTTGCCCTCAAAAATGGCTCTGCTACGACTCCACCTGCAACTTTGGCGGTAGTCCCTGTGTTGGATTCTTCTCCTGTTGGCCAAATTCTGAATCCGAGAAAAGTGCTTGGCAAAATCCAGAGCTAAAACATGTTGACACATGTTGAAACTATGTGCCATGATTTGCATATGTTCTTCAGATTCCGCTGTGTGCTTTGACAGCTGTGTGACCTCGGCACGGAGAATTCCATCGCTGCCCCTCCAGAAGCGGAATGCACCTCAATGGGATGCAAAACTGGCATCTTGAGTCACTTTTGATACTTTTTGAGGCTTTGCAAATCTTTTTCCAATCTTTGTTGTCTTCCATAGGTCTTCCATAGGCTTCCATAGGTCTTCCATAGTCTTCCGCGGAGTTTGGATATATATTTCACTACTATCACACACTTAGTGTGCTACTTACATCATCCTACTTCGCCACTGATGTCTCCACTGTTCGCCATGGCTCTAGGGGACTGGCGCAGCAAGGCTTCTGGAAGAAGTCCTCTCATTAAAGTGGACCTCACCAGCCAATTTGATTCTCTGTTGACGTGGACTGCTGTGGACTGACATTATGAGATGACATTTTGAGTGGACTTAGTATATTACGCTCATTCTGGCTATTTATGCTCACTTGAACTTTGAAAAAACACAAAGTTGAATCATAATACTAGAAGTGTTGCAATTACGCTCATTTGGGAGAACATACTCTCAAAAGACATAAATCTGTCAAGTCGGCATTTATTCGTGCTTATATATATATATATATCATAATATCACATCCCCAAGCCCGGGCATACTGAGCATGAGTCATGATAGCACCATGGCACCATGTGCAAGTTGTCCATTTTTTTTCCAATGCGCCCAGTAGAAATTTCATTCAGCTCTGGGGTGCTGGCGGGAGCAAAGTCTCACGACCTCCTTTGGCTCCAACATCAAATGCGTCCTGTGAAAGGACAAGAAACTCAAACATACTCAAACTCAAAATAGCGTGAAAAGAGAATATATATAAACATGAATAAAAGAGATCATCATATATCTAGTTGGAGAAGAGATGCATGTCATCTTGTTACAGCTTTTTACATCTTGTTACAGCGTCCATGGCACTACATCAGTCATTCCGGCCTGGTCCTGTGTTTGTTCTCTGACAATTAGGACCGTCTCTTGGCTAGCAGGTGCTGGTTGCTGCTTCACAGACGAACCAGGCAAACCTTCGGCCAGAAGGCCAGATGAAAGCCAGAAGTTGGTGTTGGAATGGTGTTGGAATATGTTGGAATTCATGCTGAAAAAATTGATCACTGAATATCACTGATGATGCTCTTCCAACTGTCCAGTGAATCAGGCAGGGACCCCCTTCGCCAGAACATAGATTCCACACACCGGACCTGCGACAGGGGTCATAGAGCGCAAGTGGAGGCAACCCAAATCTCCGTGTTAAAGGAACATGAGGATAATGAGGCAACAAGATAAAAAGGATAGACAAACAAAACAATAAAAAACATCAAACACAATCATAATCAACATCCATCAACAAGAATAGTTCTTCGCGTGGGTGCCATGACCTCATATTATGATCTCGATTGCAATTCCTACATGCTGCCAAGCAACTCAGAGCACCAGGGCTCCTGGAGAACACTCATCTGACATACCAAAAATGTGTTCAGTAGTAAGGAATGTATTTGATACCTTTCCCCTAAAAGTTCTGCGGCCGTACTTTTTGAGTCCTTGCCGAAAGCGGCACAAAAAAGGATCATCGCCGAGAAAGCATAGCAATGCCGAGGTTCTACGGCCGAGGGTTTATAGCAATGTTGTTGGATTGCACGGCGTGCAGGAGGAAGAAAAGGAAGGGGGGAAAGATCAAAGGGGAAGAAGGGATGCACGGCCGAGTGTTTATAGCAATATCATGGGTTCTACGGCCAAGGGTTTATAGCAATGTTCACTCACGATTCACTCACGATTTCTCACGGTTTTTGAGCCGCTATGTGTACCTTTCAGGGTCTTTACGTACCTTTTAGGGCCCTAGGGCCGTACTTTTCAGGGTCCTGCTCACGATTACTCACGATTAAGGATGCTATATAGCAAGTGTTCCTTTTGAGGTCTGGGACCTTAAAAGGTATATCTGATGTATCAGACATGGACGTACTTTTTTGGCCCACTTTCTACGGATATTCGATATTCATGAGGACGTACTTTTTGAGTCCTTGGACTTTCAGGGCTTCATTTTCTTTGGAAGGCAAGGTCTGTGAAGTGTCTTACAGTTACAATATGTTACAATAGTCCGTCATTCGGCCATTCGGAGTGGTTCGTTCTCATATGTTGGCGGTGAGTAGAAGTTGGTAAGAGAGACATAGAGAGACCATAAACATTTCACAGCTTTCCACTTTTTATGCATGGCTTGGAACAGGATGAAACTTCAACATCCACGGCATGCAACTGTCCTGAAGTGGGAAGCTTGACAAGCACCAGCAAGCGTCACTTGTCCATCTCAACTTCTTGTAGATCATCCGAGCCTTGGCACTGCCATGTTTTGGCTGTGCAATTTTGCATCATTTTGCCCATTCTAGAGATTTACTGCCAGATACTGCTAGCATCTGCTAGCATACATAGAGCAGCTGCTAAGGATTGAACATGAGACAACTGCTCGAAAATCTGCAGGACAGGTGGATCCCGGATCACCATGACCTGACATCAAATGACAATGGTATGAAATACACCGGGAGTAGTGCTGCACACAGTACTCGCCACTTGCAGCACCTCAAGTCCTTCCAATTCACAAGCCAATCTGGCCATCCTCGCCATGTGCAAGGACACATTTCTTTGGACAAGCTTTCAACAATCATCAAACATATCAAACATATCTATTAGATTCTATTAGATTCTATTAGATTCTATTAGAATTCTATTAGATTCTATTAGATTCTATTAAACATATCTATTAGTCTGTATTTGATCTGTATTTGAGTGGGGCAATGTCAAGGTCCGGGGATGCCACTGTGCATACTGTGCGTCCTGTCTGTAGCATCCAACAGTCTCGGTGCTCCAAGACTGGCAGGAAAGCCTGTGCTGCAAGTTTCAAGCTGGGCAGACCTTTGCAATTCCTTTTGCAACCTTTTGTTGCATGTTGCACATGGGAATGAAAGAAATCAAAGTGATAGACATTGATAGACTATGGAGATAAGGGAGCTGTACCATGCTATGCGCAGAACCTCCAGCAGTCTTGACCTCAAAATTTCAGATGAAGCTCCGGAAAACGAAAACGGACGTTGGGCCAACATTGATTGACACATGTTGACATATCATCCATAATGGTCCATTATCATCCATTATTATGGATGATATGTCAACATTAAATTAATGAGATTATTATGGATTATCCATTATCATATTATTATCATTAAATGATAATCCATTGGTCCATTCATGTTCATTCCAACAGTTGGGATCGATTCGATGCTGAGATATGGTCAGCTTCATCAAGCCAGGAACATCTGGCATCCCTGGCCTTGGATTGAGGTACAGCACCGAGGCCAAATTGGAATGCTGATGCTGGTTGCATCATACAATGTTACAAGTATTGCATATATTGCATCCGATTTGCATCCGGGAGAGACTGCTTGGCAGCATGCTGCAAATTGCAGCTTGCGACAGCTTGCACTAGACTCACCAAACGGACCGGATTCCTCCTAACCAAAAGATGTTAGCATCGCCCAGTGCCTGGTTTGTTCCAGAGCTTCATGAGCTTTTGAACTTGCTCAGATCAGTCAAATCTGCTCCGATATGCTCCGATCGACTTAGACTCGAACAGATGTTTGAATCGGCCAGGGCCGAGGGTCTGGAGTCCAGCGGTGCATATCGCAACCTGAGTCAATACATGTCAGTATACCACTAGCCTGGCATATCATGGCATATCTCAAGGCATCTCTCAAGGCATATCTCAAGGCATATCCATGTATATCATTCCTGTACATCCGTTGATTCCACCAAACCGGGGGTTCCGCATGCCAGGAATCCATACTGAGCACAGTAATGAACTATTCCAACGTATTCCAACACAATTCCATTCAGACATTGAACATATTTGAACATAATTACATGGTATCCATACATGGTATCCATACATGGTATCCATACATGGTATCCATACATGGTATCCATACATGGTATCCATACATGGTATCCATACATGGTATCCATACATGGTATCGAGATGTGAGATGTATCGAGGCGTGGGCGTTCACCTGCAAGGTTCAAACATTCGCGATGCTCTGTCCTTTGGACGAGGCCTCAGCAAACGGCAATACAATGATCGAAGAATGTGTGTGAACAGTTGTTAACACATGAAATACATTGAAAATCATTGAAAATCATTGAAATAAAGATGAGAATAAGATGAGGATATCAGACTCAACAGTTTCAAATGTTAATGCTGATTTCCTCAACAAAGGATCCAGCTTGCGAGCACTCCTTGCAGTCGTTCAGGGCCAAACAGCTCTTGAAGTTCTGGGCAATTCACTGCCCAACCTGGATGCATTTGCCCCTCATGCCAATTCAGAGAATAGATTTCCCAAGTACTGTAGTGGAATTGGTTCAATGCTTCATGATGCTTCATGGCAACGTTGAGAGCTGCTGATATCAAGCAGACGAAAGGATATGAAAGGATCGCGATGATCGGGAACAAGATCCAGCAACTTCAACGCACCCCTTGGAGGTACGTCCAACACAGTTATCCAGTGCATTATTCCTGTCAGACTTACATCTTCGGTCAATGTCTCTTGCGCCTTTGCGCGATGGATGATTGTACGACATTGTACGTATAGCCGCATAGCTGTATCGCCGTATAGCCGTTATCCTATGCCTATGACGACATAAATCTAAACAGATCGACAATCAAACAATCAATCTTTATCATGACGTACAACTGAGAAATAGTATGCGTCCCGAGCCCAATGAATTCGACCTGGCAGTACCTGAAGTTCTCCCTGCTGCATGGCAAAGCTACCTTCCAGAATCTTCCAGGCACATCTGGTCAAATTCTGTGATGTCATCGCCAAACTTCTCTGACTATCTCTTTTCTCTCTCACTTTCTCTCTCACTTTCTCTCTCACTTTCTCTCTCATCTCGCATCTCTCATCTCTCTCTCATTCTCTCATTCTCTCATTCTCTCATTCTCTCATTCTCTCTCTCATCTTCTCATCTCTCTCTCTCTCTATCTCTCTCTTTCTTCTGTCCTTCTCTCTCTCTCTCTATCTCTGTTTGTGGATACTTTTCCGCGGAAGCTGGGACTCGTGCCAAGGTTTGTGTCAAAGGCTAACTTGGGGAGAGATGCCACTTTTTGCAGATACTCTTCTACCTGGGACAAAGAAGGGGGCAATTGCAAACACCGCCGTGTAAAGCTTTCACAAAGACAAACCCAAGGTGAGAAGCTTAGCGTGACAAAGCTGCATCAAAGTCTTGTTCGAAAATTACGTGACTATGCGAAGACGACGCTTGGACAAACCCAAGTTGAGTGGGAAACTCTCCAATTCAATGGTCATGGTCTTCAATCTCTACACACAAGCAGGTTTCAAGCATCTCCCATCATTGTGGAAGCTAAGGTCCCAACACTCTCTCCAGCCTTCAGCTTCAGTTTGTCCTCTGGGATTTGTCTTTCAGATATGTTCAGATCAAAGGAGTTCAGAATAGTGTAGAATAGTGCAGAATAGTGCAGAATGCAAATGAATGCAAAAGCTGATACCAATTTAGACGAAGTGAAGCTGCTATAGTATGCCATAGTTGCCTGAGACGGAGCTTCGGCCGCTCGCATGAAGACACCTGGCCAAGGGCCAAGGTGAAGCAAAGTCCTTTACAGATCTTCAGAGCAGTTTCTGCGTGTTTCTGCAATAGTACAGTAAATGAGAATTCAGATGAACTCAGTGTTGGAGTCTAAGCACAAAAGGGTAGTACTAGTCTCAGCACAAAAGAGTAAATGATGGTATATATAAATGTATATATATATGTGTCTGTGTGTGTAAATGTGATTACTGACCGCCAACTGCCTGGCTGATTGTGCCACTTATTTGCACAGCAAAAAAAAATCTGCCTGGTCGGATTTCTGTCCACAATCCAACCTCGGTGCTCGCAAAACCGTGAAGAGCTCAGTGTTTGGATGATTGAATCCACACATCCTTCTCTGCACGGGTTCCCGCTCACGATGAGCATGGATAAGCAATACACAAAGCTTTCATCGTCAAGTCAAAGTATGTACATGTATGTGCCATGTGCTGCTTGACACTGAGGGGAAACGCTGCATTGATGAGATACCAGTGGCTCCGTAGGATTAGAGCAAAGCACAACATGGGAACTCAAGGAGTGAATCTCCGTGGCCCAAACTCGTAGGCAACATGAAACGCTTTAGGCCTTAAGCCCAGAACGTTGCTGCTGAAATCAGTCTCGGTGGAGAGAGAGGCGATCGCAACTGCTTGCTCCAAAGCAGTAGCTGCTTTGCTACCTTCAGGAAGTTCATTGAACTGGACATTCTTGTGGCACGATGTGAATCGTATATATGAACGACTAGCGACGGAAATCATTTGAGCTTACCGCAAAAGGCAGGGTGGACCCTGCCACTTTTTCCATTCCCTGATCTCGTTTTCCAACTCCACGGTTTTCATCAATTTTCTAATTCTTCAATTTGGACAATTTTGGACATACCTCATTTTTCAGGCGGACCCCCGACCTAGTTCTGAGGTTACGGAAAGTAATTCCAAATGAAGACCGGGTTTTCTTACTGTACATGTGCGCAAATAAATGCCGTTGCTCATACAAGTGAACTCTGTGAGATCCAACGCGGACAAGAAAGCTGTAAACAAGGCAAAGAGAGGTAACATGAGGTAACATGAGGTAACATATATGTAGAAAATCGTAGGATTAAAGGTTTGACAGATTTTGACAGTACTGCAGGTCTTGGCAGAACAGTTGGGTGGTCACGGTTAGTGTTGCAATTTTAAGCCATGCGAATCTGCTCGCCTCCATGCCGAAGCCACTCCGTGAGAGCATCACGCTCCTGAAGGTGAAGCGATGATGGATCAAAACTGCAGCTGAGCAGCTTTCTTGTTGAATCAGTTGATCCAGCTATTCACAGCTTTTTATATCTTTTTATCACAGTTTTTTTCACAGCTTGTCACTGATTGCAGGTGACCTTGACAAAAACCTCGCTGCGCGCTGAAACATACTGATCTGGAAGGCTTCAAAAAAGGATGGAGATCCACTAGCCACCGAACTCCTTTGTTTCTTCCAACTTCCCGGAAACACCGATGCAATCCATTGCAATCCTTCATCAATCTCACAGGTTTCCCGCCCAGTCCTCTGCAAAGATGGTAAACATTTCCGAAGCTGAAGCTCCACCCAACGGGTCCTCTCAACACAAATCGCGCATGTATTTGTACCTTCTCGGTATTATACTAATATGTTTATTATACATATATATATATATCATGTATCATGTATCATATGCCTATTGATTATACTATCTTTATTTCATCGGTCAGGCGTGTGATGCCGTGTGAGAGGCGCATGAAGAACGCAAAGCCATCACTTCACATCTCCTGGTCCACTGCTGGCCTCAGCTCCCAAAATACAGCCTATCTCGTGGTGTACAGTTGGTCAAAAGAAGTCAAGTCACTAAGCGTGTACACTGAATTAGATGTATATATATATATATATAATAATTGAATGTAAATATGTTATAATAATGATAATATAATACAAAGTATTAATTAATATTAATTAATATGTATTAATAATATGTATTAATACAGTATTGTGTAGTCAGATTCTGTGAGATTCCAAGATATTCCAAGGCCCTTGCGCGCTCTGCGAGACAGAGCTGGGATGTGGAGACAAAACAATCTCACTGATGCTGCTTCGTAGCTCATGCCGCTCCACCTCGGAACGGAAAGCACCAAACAAAACACCAAACTTGGAATATCTTGGAATATCTTGGAATACATTCAAACATCATTCAAACCATTTCAAAACCAGATCAGAGAGGTCACTGCAAACGAATTTCTCCGGGGCTGCAGCATGCACATGCATAGAAGTCCTGACATTTGTTCCATGTAGCGTGGATTGGAGCAACCTTGTCTTGAATTCGAGTCATATATCAAGATGCTTTGACTACACTCGCAGCACTTAGGGCGATTAGACTCAATTAGACATGCTGTGCTTTGCTTTTCAAACCGGATCAAAACGACAAAATGCAATCGCTGACATCTGCTGACATCTGCTGACTGCCGTGCAATCGCTTCAAACTTGCCGGCAGCGCAGCAACTGGGCGGCCAGCAAAGCTACTGGCGCTTCTCCTTCGGCTCCCTGAAAACGACACGATTTGATACGATTTGGGCATTTGAATAAATTTGAATACTAAGGGGTTCTAATATATTCTAATGGATTCAGGTGGATTCCACTAGATCCACTAGTATCACGGCAACTAATTTAAAAGATTTTAAAAGACTCTGACAAAGGCGAGGACAAGTTGAAAGTCGTCGAAAGTCGTCCTGCATGTATTAGCCATCGCCGCCATCGCCAGATCTCACCAGCCTTGCTAGTCTTTTCAGTCTGTTCTTTCCATCCGAGGCTTGACCTCGCGTGGTGATGGGGTCACTTGCAGCATCTTGCAGCTATGCAATTTGACAAATAGCAACTCCCTCTGTAACATTCTGTAACTCTGTCTTTCTCCGTCTCAATAGAGCGGGGATCACTGGATCATCGCCAAATGGCACCAAACTGCAGAGGCAAGTCCAGCCTGGTGGAGCTCTTGACAGTGTGAACATTGTCAAATCCAAGTAACATGTTTAATATGACTCAATGCCCCTTATGCATACTTATACATTATCATTATCCCTGTATAAACGGTGCCCTTGCTACTAGTATCAAAACAATTGCGATGTCGGGAGGGTGTTTCCTTTCACACAGTGTCAGCTGTCCGCTGTCCAGAATCTTTTAATGCTGGCTTGAAAGGAGTCTTCGAAAAGGCCAGCTTCAACATCTTCAACAAACCTGCCATAGTATTCGCCACTTGGAGCGAAGCAGCGAAGCACCTTCCTATGTTCAGCAGCTTCAGTTGCCCAGCGCTGCAGGCTTCGCCTGCAGCATTCCATACATTACAAACCGCTCCGTCAAATCTTACTGGAGCATAGTGATACGTTGTAGGGAGATACAAGTAGCAGCAACAACTGAAGCCAGAAGGAGTCTGATTCCAATTGTACAAGACACATTTCAAGACCATCCGTTGGAGTCAGCTCCACGCTCCTGGCTGACAGAAGCTGCTTTTGCAAAGGCCCCAAGGCAGCCTGGCCGATTGCAATATTTAATCATGGCCATGTTGCCTCCAATCTCCAAAGAAGATCAAAGAAGCACAAATTGACAAATGAACCCGATCCTCCAGGCATGGCCGACCGGCACCAAGAGATAGTGCCACCCGAAGGGAGCTGCGCGGGTCACTGTCAGACCTCATCATCCATGCGGCTCATCATCCATGCGGCTTCACACTGGCTCGAATGGATGGTATTTAAAAATATTAAGAAAATTTAAGAATGCATTTCAATGCCAAGTTCCCAGCTCAAGCAATGTCTGGGCCTTAGATCAACGCATTGTTCAATGATGTTCAATTCACAACCATCAGGGTCTTGGAATGCCAGCTACCTGCTATTCTGCTTTCAACATCTTGAATGGCTTCTCTGAGCAACAGTGTACATACAGTAGCGGAGGAAGAAGTGTGGGTGTGCGTGAGGGAGGGGTGTGTGTGTGTGCGTGTGTGAGCCAATGCTGTCTGTGCTGTCTGCGCATGAAGGATGGGAAAAACTCAGCATGCAAACCATTTGCAAACCTACACCTGTGCTTTCATTGCGATATGATGCGATATGTATGCAGTGGTATGCAGGAAAAAAGTTAGAACAAACATTGATTTTCTGCTTCCATGATTTCCATGACATTAAACTGCAACAATCTGCAACATGCAACACGGTACCGTCTTGGAGGTCTGGGGCGGGTCGTGCTGTTGGAAGAAGCAAATCAAAGGCTCGAAGCCTGCCTGTCCAACCTAATCAGCATTCTCAAGGCAAAACAAGTACAACGCAATCAATTAAGCTTGAGGCGTAAAAGTATATCCTGCAACAAAGCCGTATAGCCTGATCTAGCATGTCCAGTAGCAAACGCAAACAGTTGAAAATGAGAAAGCCTCCACGAGCTTCAAAGGTGGCCCCAATAAGTACTCAATTGACATGCTCCAATGCTCCAGCCGGGACATGCCGAAATCATTTATCGCTCTTCCAATGCATGTTGAATGTACGAGTATGTTGTGCAAATACTGCTGGGAGTGGAACAAAAAGAATGAGTCCCACAGGAGCTGCGGCTGCCTGTCAAGCACATCAAAGTAATTTTCATCCAGGGCATCAAAGTAGGGCCCAAACTCTCTGTTTTCCTTGCAGGTGGACTCCGCATTGGTTCAGTTTGTGATTCAATATCATCCTATATCAATATGTGTAGGCTTTCTTGACCCTACAATTGACAATAGGCTGAATGGACCACTCTACAGAATCCTTAGAACCTGTCTGCGTAAATCGCAGCTCTGGACAACTGTACTGTGCTCAAGAATCGTTCTTCGTCCTAAGCCAACAGTTCCAAAATGTTCCAAAGGCATGTTTTGAAAAAGACTAGCCAGGCACACTCGCCCGGTATCCCGCTCTAATGAGCTTTGGAGAAGGCTCGATGCTCCAGTCCTCAACATGCAATTGAATTTTGTTTCAAGCTGAGAGGTCTTGCTTAATCCATCTCAATCGACGACGAATCTTGCTGAACACTTCAGAAGATTCATTGAATCAATGAAGTATTTTTGTCGCTCAGCCAGATCCAATGGCTGTAAGTCCGTTACGTGGTGGCCTGTGGAGCATTGCATAGCCTTGCGAGCTGCAATTACTCGAGCACTTCTCTCTCCATCTCTGCCAACTTCTCCACTGCAAAAGAAATAAAAATTGAATGACACTGACGGTCAATGCACAAACAACCATGCTATATCCAACGGGAAGGTCAGGCAATGTGCTGTTCTGCTACTTTGGTTTGCTGTACTATGTTGTACGGAAGCAAATTATGAAGAATCGGCAAAGATTGCTGCAAGAACCACTATTTCATCTTTGTGCTTGCCATGAATTCACTAAACACTCCCAAAGCATAGAAATCAAACTCAAAACCAGGCCCAACACTCGTTGATGAGCAGGCCACACGTAGTTGCTAGATGGCTTCGTGTCGGGGCCTTGGCCAAAGTGCAAAAAAAAAAGACTCTGAAAGCTTAAAGGAAGAAACAGTGATGCAGTGATGCTGTGATTCCTCCGAGGATTTCCGGATTCCCCAAGAAAATAGGCAGAATGTTCAACATTGTTCAACTAAGTCCTGTGCTGGGATCACCTCAGGTGTGCATAGGCACTAGTATCATATGAGCGGTGTTCAAAACTTCAATTAAAACTGAATGGAAATTATTCATCCTTGCGCGAAATCCTTGCGCCATCCTTGCGCGACCACAATGGGAGCTTGCGCGCGGTCAATTTTTCAAACGGAGCTTGCGCGACCTTGCGCGAAGATGAAGTCCTGAGTTTTCGTGCACTTTTGCTTGCGCGATGTAGGCGCGAAGCTGTTTTCGGACTTGGTTTTCTAGGCTTCTCAGATTCTCGGCTCCTTGGCTCGTTCGGTGGTTTCTCGGCTTCTCGACTTCTCGGCTTGTTCGATGGCTTCTCGACTTCTAGGCTCCGCAGTTCTTATTTTGCCAGGAGTCTAGTCCCTGATGGCCTCCAGTGAGTGTATCGCCTTCAGCCAAAGTACAATCAGTACACGCAGCTTTGCGAGGTATTTGATGCTACAAGGTGGTTTTGCTTGTTTGCGAGTCTACGATCATCTTGCTACCGGTTGCTGGGGGGCATAGTGGCCAGGAACCCCTTTGCTTGCGCGAAGCTTGCGCGAAGCTTGCGCGAAATTCCCTGAGCAATTCTTGTAACCCGAGCCCAAAGCCTACAGATTGCTCGAATGTTGGTTTACGCCATAGGAGCCACCATGTTGTGTAACCCTTTTCGTTGTATATTAATTTAGATTTAAATTTATGTTTAAAGTGTTTACGTGATTTCGGGCTTGCGCGAAGCTTGCGCGTACATGAGCTTGCGCGAAGCTTGTGAAAAGCTTGCGCGCGTGTGACGCCATTCAAGTTTTGGAAGAATAAATTCCACCGAATACTAAAATCAATTGCCGAGAGTTTTGAACGCGGCTCATATGAATCTTCAAACATGCTATAACATATTATAACACGCTAGTCAAATTAGTGAATAAGGATGTCAAAGGATTACCGGCCTTGGGCACTTCCCGAGGACAAGTCGTTGATCGCCATGGACCGGGCTCAAACACTGCAGCTTCCAGGACACCCTCGGCATGAAGATGGCGTGGTGCTGTCACCCGCTTCCGATTTGCTAAGCCGGTTTCAAAAGACGTACGACCAGAAACAACATCAAACATCAGAAGACAACGTCAAACAGAGTCATACAAATGTCATACATGTATATTATATAATTACTCATAATTACTCTATCACAGAAGCATACCATCAGCATGGATCGGTCATTGAGAGACTGACCTGCAGCCGATCGTCTGCGAGGGCACCCACGCGTTGCGAAGTCCCCAAGAAACCCAATAGGAGTGGTATCCGCAGATATGGAGCCAACCTGTCGCGAAAGGTCTCATATGCGTCACAGGAAGACATGACAATTTCCAGCGCAATTTGATGAGGCAAGAGTCTGTAAGAGCAACAAATTAGTTCAACAGGCAGGATGACAGCATTGTCAGCACAACTTCTGCTTCCTTAGCTCTGCATGCTGGATTCATCAGAGGTGATCTTCCTGACATAGCATCACAAACCCTAAAAGGCTCTAAGGCCAATACCGATGCAGATAGACCTTCAAATCCACGTAGCTTGGCAGATGGAAGGAAGAGCACATCCTGAAGTGAGGGAAAAGGAAAGTTTGACATCGAGCCATGCCATATCATGCCATGCCCTCAACGCCTATGATTTTCATGTTGCACCTCCTCTGTACGGAGCTTTTCTCCGATGAGAGCGCCAGGATCTGCCTCTCAGAGCCGTGGAATGCTATCAACAAAGAGAGTTCTTTTTGACTCTTGCAGTTACAAAGTAGGATCATGTAGTCTATGTCGAGATTTTTTGGAAAAACATGTGTCTTAGCATCTGGTGCAGCTGGTGGCCAAGTCTTCTACCTATTGCTACTGACATGAGCATGCAACAGCCACCTGTGAAGCTGCAGCACCACGCCTTGCTGCAAGTACAACAGCACAAAGTTCAACGATTCCAATTGCATTATATACAATTAAATTATAATTTACAATAGTTATATAATGTGTATAAATAAATATATATATATATATGTAATTATATATGTAATATACTGATACTGCATCATCTACTTGGGAGATCGCTTCCGGCTCTGTTCCCCAACTCAGCCACGGACCGTTCAGCACCAGTCAGGCCCAAAAGGCCCTTCTTCATTCTGGCCAAGACCCGCTCTGCCCCAGTCTGTTTGTCCTGGAGGATAAACCAAACTTGGGAGCCCAGGCACTTAAAAAAACGCTATTCCTATAAGGTGTGTTAGGAGGTGTGTAAGGCGTGCGGCAGAATTGATGGGTGAGACAGCAGAGACCGCGGCCACACACTGGACAAAGACTTCAAATTGTCCTTTGATCCATGGGCTGCAACTGGCAGAAGTGATTCCAAAGCCTCAAGAGTATCATGCATTGCATCCCACCATGACGAAAGTTAGAATTGCAACAACATTTTTTGATAAATTGTCCATGTCCCTCTGTGCTCCAAACTGTGTTCTGTCCTTGCCCAAGTCCGCGCACCTCGCAGTACTGCTTTAAAAACAGCCCAAAAAGCCGCAAGAAAATACTGTACATTGTTGCATAAAGTGTCATGCTCCGTTGTAAGTGTACTTGGGGTGTTTCGTTCGTTTCGTTTAGTGCGGGGCCGCTGAGTTTTGCACAGTCAGCGAAGTACTTCCTTCTTGACTTTTCCATGTCCTCGCAGCGTGCGGATGCAGATACTACTCAGTTCCAGCTGGCTCTCTGGGATCCCGTGCAAGACCACGCTTTGTTGGGTGCACCCTCTGGGCCTTCACACATAGACCCAACACTTCATGGGACATTGAGGGTTGACATACTATGATACTGTGAATTGAATATATCATATGAAATAGTATGGGTTAATATAAATATGTTAATATGACAAGAGCATACAAGAGCACTGTAACTGAAACCTTCTTCCCCAATCATGTATCAGCACACTGGACCCTAAGCTGGACAAGGGATGCATACGGAATCCTGAGTTGGCCACGCAGTGAATGGCAAAGATCCGCTTCGGGAAAGCAGCCTCAAGCACACGTGTGTGAACGAAAAGCAGCACTGGGAATGGCCCGGAAGTCATGACTGTACAAAGACTGCGTTTCAATGACCAAGCAGCTGGGAAATAAAGGCCACATCTCGCATCATGGCCAGTTGAGGCCTCACCACAGGTTCCATCGGGGTGCAAATGCTTTTTCCATCTCCAACAGCTGTCTAACAGCCTAACAAGCTGAAAAAAAAACAACTCTGCACAGATTCCAAGCAGGCGGCAACTGGCTGACCAGTGCTGGGTCCTTTGAAACTGGTTCATCACAAAAAAATGTCTTACAATCATTGTCTTACTCTCCTCTAGTTGTCTTTGCTGAACTTTAGGTTTCTTGCAATTTCTTGCAGTATCTGTGAGTTGCTGAGTCTTCCAGGTGGCTCCTCTCCGGACAACAGCTGAGCTGCTCGAGAGCGGACAGGGCCCAGACCTTGACTGCAAAAGCGAAGCCCAAAGATCCCAAAGAAGAGCTGATAAGTTGCTGATACAAAAATGTCACAGAACAAGTTGAGAACGAGAGGGCAATAGTCCAAGTGCTGCTTTCCCAGATAGAAAGGATGTGAGAACATAGTGGCAGCATGGGGCAGCTTCAGCTCAGTATAGAACCCAACAGCAACGAGCAACCATTGACGAGGCGTTGCTCAGTCTCACCTACCTCACCACGTTGGAAAAAGATGGAAGACCAGTCACTGAGTCTAGCCAGCGAAGTATCTACGCATGGTACAATGCATGAAAAAATCATAAGAAATCTAGTTTGCAGGAGACAGGGTTTGGTGTCGTGACATGTTGTAGTTGCGAAATTAATAAGTTACGTAAGATTACGCAAGTACCAGGAGGAATTTCTCGAGCAACCTACGGAATGTTGAATTGTGAGCTGTCATACCAAAAATGATGCTACCAGCCTCTGCTGCAAGAAACACAGGCTGCTGGCCAGCAACAGATGCGGCCTCCATCTTGTGCTGGCAGCAGGCAGTCTAATTCTTTCGATCTCTATGATCTCTGTTTTAAGTTTGAATCGTCTACTTCAAAAATGGATATCCAGGACTGTGGTTTCTCTTCTGCGATCAACAGCAGAGTGCTGCCTCGAAGTATTCCAGAATTGCACTGCGTGCTCGTGCTGCGGAAGGACGGGTGATCACCTATCAATCTGCTGGTGTCGATGGTTCAAGAATTCTTGAAAAAAGACTAGCTGTGATTATGCAGCTATGGCTATGTATCTTTTAATCTTAAGTATTCTTGCTTGTGAAAATCAGATTGTGCAACTGGTGCCTGCTCGGAGGTCTCGCTTGCAAAGCAGCCTTGCCCAAGACCAAGCCTTTGACCCAGAGCCTGCCAAGGAGAGGTCGGATCAGCACAGTTCAGTTTGCATGAACCTCACCTTCAAATTGGTGCATACAAAAAAGATTAAAATGACAAAGACAAATTATGAAAAAAAAACATTGATCAAAACAGGCAACGTCTTCGTGGGTTTCCCTCATTCCGCCGGCAGTGGAAGCCTGCGCAAGCACTGATGGGATGTTGTCAGTTGCTTGTCGGGCAACTGCATCAAAGACAACCGCCGCAGCCATGGCAGAGACTGCTCGAAGAGCAACATCACCTGAAAAAAAAGCATGTCCTTGTCCCTCAACCATCGCTACCAAATAGTATCAAAGTATATCAAATAGTGATCCAAACAATATAACAATATCATACAATATCACATTATCAGAAGTAATCACTATTTAATCACTACCTAATTCATCAGTATCGCACAAGCATGCTGGTCATGTTGAAACACATGACTCCAAATTCAATGAGCAAAAAGCGGCCTGCTGAACCGAGCAATAGTGCCGAGAATGCCAACTGACGCACCAGCGAATGCAAGCCTAGGATTCTCGAGTTTATGCCACTGAGCTTCTGGGGCATTTGAAGACTGCAAGGGACAAAGTACTTGAACTCGGATTGCTGAGATTTGCTGAGCATACTACGATCCAAAATGAAGTTCTGCACTTCCAGGGTCCACTTGAAGCTGGGATGGACATACCTCTCTGCCGCATGATGATAAACAATGATAAACATCCTCCAGTGTTGCAGCCAGAAAGACTCCAAATTCGATCAAGGCACCAAGTATAATCCAACGGGACGGACACCAGCACTCTGGCAATGAGCGAGAAGCATAGGTGAGGCGCACCTTTGGCAAAGGATCGTGGTGCCATCTGCAGTGATGGCCAAACCCAAAATGTTGCAGCTTCTACTTAGAACATCTTAGAACATCTTAGAACATCTTAGAACCTCCAGTAACTCAGGGTTGGACTCTTCAAGAGGTTCTGCTGGTTCAACCTGTCATTACTTCAAACATGTTGCCCAGGATCGTGTCATGTCGTTGAGACATGAAGCCGCCTGTAATCCTGCCAGCCTCACAACCTTGAGCAGGACAAGGCAGCTCTCCCGAGCCTAGCTTTTGCCACAGCAAAGGGATGCAAAGTGCAAAGGGATGACAATGATGTGGTCATGTCGTGCATTTAGATCATTTAGTCTGCAGGCTGGATGACAAATCTGGGTCCCTCGCAGCTGCGCCAACTCCGAAGGAGTGTTCACCTGCTTTCTGAACGATACATCCAAAAAAAGAATTGTAAGACTCTATTATGAAACTTGATGAAACTATACAATAGAGTCAATAGAGATGCAACATGATGCAAACAACAAATCAAATGCTTTGAACAGATTGAACACAGGACACATCATCGCATGCTATCTACATCTATCCTCTGTCCCGGTGGCTCTACTGAGAAGTCTAGCGCCTCGAAAGGCCCCACATCCGACAAGTCTGGTGGGCAGAGCAGGTCCGCCTGAGCCCGCCGAGGTCTAGCATAGTAGCATCTCGCTATAATATATCTAGCCATATCATGCCATATCTAGCTTATACATGCTTAAATATCTTAAATAGCACATAGACACATAGAGCAGAAAGCATAGTATAGCAATGTCCAGCATTTATAGCTGTCCAGTCTGAGTCACAGAGGTGGTATGACTCGCGAGTCTGAGATACAAACAGAAAGCGGTTGTCCAGCAAACTCTTCCGCTTTGTCCAAAGCATCGCCTTGAAAACCAGCTCCAAAGAAGAGATACCTCAACACTCATAGAATTGAGACAAGAAAATGTCCGGACTCTGGGCGATATGGAAATAACATCAGACACCTGTCAGTTTGTGGCCATCCAAGGACTTTGGAAGGGTGCGGCCAAAGCCTTGCTTTGAGATTCCTGCTCACAGTCAGTAGGAGTGACAGACACAGGCCCTTGACTTAGCAAAGGCAAGTCCTGTCACAGCTATGGCTGCGTCAACACAGTTTGATGGAACAGGCTGACTGCAACAAAATCAAACACCTTCGCTTGAAAGGACATCATAGGTGGATATATGGACTGCTTCAAAGTCAAATGATGTCAATTGCAAGTCCAGTGGTGTGCTATGTTTGATGTCAAAGTCATGCCAAATAAGAAACCGTCAAACATAGTCAAAAAAAACGAACAAAGTCCATGCTCAGTGAGGCCCAAGCCATGGTCCGAGACTGGGTTGAAGATACCTGTACATACAATTCACAGAGATGAATACTCTATGTCCCAAACTACTGCCACGAAACCAAAGGGGTTTCTTCTGAATCCTCAGTCTGTTGATATTTGTTGTATTTGAGTCAACCATTCAAGCCTCTATGGTGGGCCACATTAGGGCCGAAGGAATGACAAGTGGCCAATCAACACATTCCATCCAAATCCATCCAAATCCACTATGGCAGGGAATGCTGGGTGATTTCCAGTGGTTTCCATTGGTTCGATATGTTCGCTTTAGGGCCATTCAACAGACAGTCATTCAGCCTTTGTCCTCAACTCGTTCACGGCCAGATTCAAATCTGGGGCTACAGATCTTGGATCATCCTCATCCTTGCGCCCGAATCGGTCCATGGTTTTGGTTTGAAAGTATCACTTGATGAATTCGATGCCGTAAAGATACATACATGACAAGATTGACAAGAACATATTTTTGAAAATAAAGAGACTTAAAGAGACCGAAGTCAATGCCTGGGGCCTGGGATCCTGGGATATCAGTCCTTGATGCTGGATGCTTCGACAGCATGGCGAGCACAGCTCGTCAAAGCAAGCTCCTTTGGACAACACATGCGTGGGTCTAGGCTCACTTTCCATCACTTTGAGCTTCCAACCCAAGAATGATCCATGAATCGTAAATATTCGCAGCAATTCAACCTGAATTCTCCTGGACCAGTGCTTGTGTTGATGCTGAAGCACCTGCTGCCATAACTCTTTGTTTGCATGCGTTCGAGAGAGTAATGTTCTGAATCAAAAATGCAGATGGAGTAACTTAGTTGAAGATACCATCCGGGGAGTGAGATGGAATCAACTCTCAGCATTGCCCTAGACAGCGCTTCTTTAACCATGTTGTCCATATGATCCAATCCCAAGCGCGGTTCTGAGCTTTGGACAAGACATTTGTCGGACTGCCGACAAGCGAACCCTCAGCCAATGCCACTGCTGCATTCATCCGACAGCTGTCCCCCAGAACTTCTAAGGTCGCCAAATTGTGCCAAGCGAGCGGCTCAAAGCGTGCTACTGTTGCTGCTTGGGATGCACTGGCACCCGAAATTCGTAGAGCAAACTCAAGACCATCCAAGACCACCTGAGTGCTTAGTTATTGATGGAGGAAGTGTGTTTGTGTAGACATTGCTGTAGCTGGCCACTTTGACATCTTTGAGATCAAGGCTTGGATCGCCTCTCCCCTTGCCGGCAAGTTCGCACTCATTGGTCGCCAACGTGCTAACCTGGGACAGCGGTTCTACTGGAAGGAGGTAGTCGATTCAACTTGTGCAGTTCTAAGCACACAGCCTGCTGATGTCAGCAGCTCTCGCTGGGCTTGCATCCTTCAATCGGGGCACAGACGGTGACTGACTTCGATCTTCTACCAGTAAGACAAGGCTGGAATGTTTGCTTTGGCTCAAGGCACAGACTGTTGGGACACCAGTGAGGAAGGGCAATAGCGATGCATACGCATGCCTTGATACAAAACGACTATGACAATGTATTGATCATCAATCGACGTCCTTACAAGGTTAATCCAACAGGAGAAGGGGTTCTTGGTCTGACATGTTCTCTTGCGTGAGCAAAACTTTTGCAAGCCATGATGCAACTCATCGCCTTCACCTTGGCAATGTCGAATCTTTATCTTCCAGGGCCATAGGACGAAGTCACAACCGTGTTACTGAGGTGGCTGAGGTCACTGCGTTTAGGTTGGCAAGCAAGATACCAAAAGGTTCCCAAGGCCATGCGCTCTCGCGGCACTCTTCCCAACCTCATGGAGTAAGGCCAACATGTTCCAACGTGTTTAACATATTTTAACATATTGTTTAACATTGAGTTCAATGAGATTGAATTGATTGAATCAGTCCGATGCCAAACTGAAACAATTCAATATGTGGAAAGCTGGAACGTGCTGCATACTTCGAGAAGCTCCCAAGCTTTTCGAATAATCCATCTCGTCATCGCTGAGAACTATGCAGGGCTCTTGAAAATCACTGCCTGCGCTCAGGCCTGAAGGCTCTTTGGCCTCTGACCCAGGTAAACTACCGTGCATCTCCAACGATGCAGCAAGTGCAAGTTGCACCAACCTCTCCTCTTCAGCTTCTACTTCTGAAATGCTCGGGGAGGGGAATTTGGCAGTTTTAGCAGCTTCTCTCAAACATTGGCCACATTGGCAACCATTGTGGTTGCAGAATTTACGTCTCTTTGGCGGCCTGATTTCATCGAAAGGTCTGTGAGAAATGTCAGATATCTGCGATGATGTGGCAGTGGTCAACGCATTTTGTGGCTGTTCTTCGTCGCCAAAACCAAGTGCAGCTTCTCTTGCACGCCGTTCAGCTGCTCTTGCAGCACGTTCTCGCGGTGGCAAGCTCCTCCAGTTCGCTGGTTCGTTCCCATGTCCCAGCTTTTGAGATGACATGATCCCATTGAGGCGTTCGCGTTTTTCAGCAGCAGCCAAAGCTAAAGCACGTACCTGCACGGTGCTTCTTGGGTTGTGCTGTGATGTGTCTATCCGCTGACCGCCAACAGTGGGAAAACCCTGTTCATCAAGCACATGCCCCGCCGCTTCCAATCGTTCCCACTCGTTTTGCAGCTCGTCCATCAATTGATAGAAAGCTGGTGTATGCTTGAGGTGGACAATGTGCGCAAGTTCATGAAGCATAGTTCCAAACACACTCTCAAAGCTCAGCAAGCTGTGACCCTTGCCCTTTGGATTTCTCAATCGGATTGCGATGCGTTCAGCAGTCTTGCAATCACCTACAGGAATGCACCAACCTGCCACATGTCCAGCTGTCTTTTCTGGTGCAACTTTGCAGCAGCACAGTTCTACAAGTGATAGTACAGACCATCCTCGCGCTTTGAGTAGTGCTTCGGCATTTCGCTTGACTCTCTCAAGCAATGCAAGTGCTGATGATGCGTCTGGCAGAGCGCTCGCATGGTGCACTGCATGCACCCTGAATGATTCTGAAGACATCAGTTCGCTACTATCCGCTTTGGCGCGGCGTGGCCAATCACATTGCCCGAACGGATTTTACCATTCAGAACTTGTTTGAATCGTTTGAGCACTTCCACATTGCATACCAAAAATTTACACGTCAATAATCACTGGGAGCATACGGATCATGCCACACAAAACGGCACTGTATCAAATGCAGCAGAACCAGCGTAAACTATGCAGAAAAGAGATGTTACTCCGTAAATGAACTACATAAAGATGCAACAGCTGCAGCTTCCTGGAACAAGGTTCCTGTCACACAGATCCAAGGAGAATGACTCAACGACTCAACGACTCAGAACGCACTTGGGAATTGGCACAAGGGGTTGCATCCGCTCAATGTCTCCATCCTGCATGAGACGGTTCATGCTGATACTGAAGAATGCAGCGCTTGCACCACTCAGCCTGGATAATTGTAATAACAATGGATAACAAATTGATAATGCCTTCCCCCTATTGCTAAACCCCCCAAATAATAAAAACTTGGGTCCGTTTCCAATTTTGGAAAATTTGAGGTTGGTCAATTTGATTTTTAATTGATCCCCTTTAGAAAACAATTTAAACATGAAGCTACCATTTCAGGGTTTCACCCCCTAATAAATAAAACTAGTCAACCCCGGGGTGTTTTTTATTAGGGTCTGTTTTTTTTGGTCGAAAAACGAAAAAGTATTTTACATTAAGGTTTTTAATTTAATATTAGGGGAAAGCTTCGAAATCCAATTTTTGGCAATATGTTAGCTAGATTTTAAAAGGAAATCTAATCGATTTTGAAATGGAAAAAACAAGTTTATTATATTAGGGTTTGAAATTTAGTATTAGGGGGAAACCTAATAATAAATACACCCTAATAATAAAAACTACCTGAGGTGTTTATTATATTGGGGGGGATTAGTATCAGGGGGAAGGGATTACTTGATGATACTTGTGTATCTTTCTATGCTCGTTCCAGCCGTGCCTCACGTGGCCGAGCTGGATGGAAACGAAGTCCAGGACCAGACGAAGCAACCCCTGCAAAGTCAAAGGTGAATTGTCTGGGGAGCGAGCCACCGCAAAAATAGTGGAACATCGGAATCTACCATCCTGAAACAATAGGGAAGATAAATCCCCACTGATATATTCATCACAATCTATATTGGTGATTTATATCCTGAAACAATGAAACAATCTGAACTCATAGCCTGCCACAAACTGGTCCTGGCTAGCCTCATGGATGAACAGTCAGGACTCAATGCAGAAGTGGTGCCAACATTTGCCAACCCCTAAGACACTGGCCATGGCTCCTGAGCCGCCTCTCCGAAGAATCATCTGCACAGTTCACAAAAACCAAATGTTAAAACTGAGATGATTGGGGTACTGGGGTGACACTGAGTGATAATAGTGTGATACCGACTGGTTGAAGTATGGCTGAAGTCTTTCCTGGAAGTTATCAACTGCATCAGCCCGATCCCATCTTTCATATCTTTCATTGCAGGAAAAGGAGACTCTCGGAGTCCAAGCCAAAAAATGCATTCCTGAAGAATTTAAGTTCCACCTGCCAAGGGAATCTGACAAATCTGACAGGCTGAGATAATCTGAGATAGCTACGAGTCCAAACGGAGTCGGGATCATTAAGAGACCGCCGGGCCTTAGTTACATCTGTCTGCGGAGGTTTTGGGTCCGGGGAAAGCAGTTGCCGATGGTTCCAGCGCTGCGTGTCTGGTCTCAGCATAATCTCAATCAATAGAAAAACAATTTGCACTGCTTCCTTCTACCAACAACTCAGTGAAACTCAGTCGAACATCATGATACACTATTGAGGCCAGAAATGGCCAGAATATGTGAGACAGCGCTGGCACGGCTGGCAATCAGATTTACCCTCTCGTGCGACTTCAGTGCGCTGCGGTTTGGTTCGTACTGCTCGAGCAACCGCTTCCACAGCTCCTTCCTCACCACCTTGGCGACGCAAGTTCTGCAGTGCTTAAGCACAGCACAGTGGCATCGTAAGTTTCTGGCTGCCGTCGAATCCAGCTGCTAGCCTAGGAGCTGGGGACCCTGGAGGCAACTTTAATTCAATGATACAACTTGGAAGCAACAAACCGCAGTGATGGTGATGATGATGATGATGATGATGATTATGATTATGATGCCGCCGGCGGCGGCGACGATGATGCTTATGGTGATGCTGGTGATGGTGGTGGTGGTGATAATCCTGCATGATGATGGCGGCAAGCACAATGAGGCTCACAAGGATACGAAAGAGGAAAATAGATGAAACAAGATGAAAATAGTACCTGTATGATGCGAGGAAACAATATGTTTCAAGTGTCTCCACTGTCTCCACTATTTACTTTCTGATTCTCGAGAAAGGCTTGGAACTGACTCATGGGTAAGCTCAATATCAATGCTGGAGCGCAAATCTGGATTGTTTAGGGCTGGAAGACGTCTAGAATGTCGACATTGATTGATTGATTGATTGATCGATTGATTGGGTGCCGAACTATTGATGCCAACAATCTTAAGTATGTCATGACCAAGTGGAATAATTACATACTTCCAAAAAGATGGAACTAAGATGGCACTTAAGGACTGAACAGTTTTGAAACTGAAACATTCTTGTGAAGTCTGAGCTTGCAGCACTGCGGCTGGAGACTGTGAGCTACTCAGCAGTTTACCCAGGTGAGCTCCTGTCCGGCCATTGCAAACTTCTCCATTGAGAATTAAACCAAACCTCTCTATACCTCTCTATACAATAGGATCTAAGCTGTTCTACCCCAGTACACATCCTTACTGTAACTTTAACCAAGCAGGGATGCTGCCAGCTTGCTGACATCCGATTTCCTTCTTGAAGTGCCGCGAGTGCCAGGTTCACCGCTGCCCCAGTGCTGAGAGTTTGCGACGCCTTCAGCATTGACTGCAAAAAACAAAGCACACGGTGAGCCAACAAATTGATATTGAAACATATTGAAACTGTAAGTAATGTTGAATATGTTGAATATTGAATAATGAAACTAATCTTGTTTTTCAATGTTTTCCACATTGAATTCATGAAAGCTTTGCTCCAAATGTTGACCCATGATCCCCCTGTGCAGGGTACCTAGTAAGGGCCTGAACTTGACTTAGTAAGCTAGTATATAAATCAAACAAACTGGCTCCCAGTCCATTACTATAAAATCGAAAGTGTGTAGCACCCTCATGGCATTGAGCCTCTATAAAGTTGAAGTTGGGTACAACACAAAAAACCCTACCCAATCAGGGGTTAAGCAAAAAAAACACGTTTAAAGGTTCAGTCCGACACATGCCTGGGAAAAAGGCTTTGAAATTTCACCTAATTTTTCCTACGAAATTTGAACTTTATAGAGAAACCCTGAACTTTAGAGAGACGGCCTCTGTTCAAGTCAATCCTAAAATGATTCCAAATGTGCCCTCAGCAGGCCGTGCAAAAACAAATAACAAAATACATAAGCCACTATGAAGTTGAAACCCTTGCACAACATGACAGCATGCTACGCTACAAACTTGAAATGGTTTCCTACAATACCAGCTGTCCCCACTACAAAATGCGTTTTCATCAGGTAGCTTTTAAGCCAAAAAACACTTTTTCTTAAAGTTCAAGAACAATGGTATACAAAAAAAAACCTTCTCAAATATCCCCTCATTTTTGGCTACCAGATTTAGACTGTTTAGAGGAAAATGCCTCTAAAAAAGATAGAGATTTCTGGGTCTGGAGAACATCATTTTGTAGAGGAAATAGGCAGGGATGACCCATGTTGAGTCCGATGAGTCTCGCGGAGTCTCGCCTTGACATAACCAGCCACCAAGTCTAAGGCCTGGAAGACTGGTATCGGCGCATCAACCCACAACTGGATGATTAAAACATACATATTAAAAATTATTAAAACACCCCATGAGAAATCGTGAGAACACATTAGAACATTTAGAACATGTCAATCAGCATCCATCAGCATCCAGCTGGAGATCTTGGAGATCTTGGAGTCAGAGTCCAGCCTTGCTCAATTGAGCAATCCGTTCGGCATGATCGGGAATGCTGCCACTGCCTGGCCAACTATAGCATACTATATATAGCCAAATATATAGCTACATCGTCGTGCTTTCACAAGTGTCTTTAAAGACATGAACTGACCGGCCGTGACTGGCCATCTCAGTCGTCTTCCGGCCTTGTCTCTTTTTGTTTGTGCCGGCTGTCTGGAAGAGAGCAGAACCTTGGAATTTTAAAATCACAATTCATGACAAGTTTGAGACAATTCCGACTTTTGGACCCAATGCTCACAGTTGGGCTAAGAACCAAACGCACATCCGCCAGCCAAGCAACAGCTCTGCCAGCCAAACCAACGTCTGCTGCCGATCCTTGTGGAAAAAGCAAAAACATCGTGAGTCCTTTTGAAGCCACTTAAACAGTCTTAAACACCGCTCAGATCAAGCCCGAACTCTTTGAATTTTCAATTTCAGAAAATTTCGCCTGATGCACCTCCCAGCAGCAACGCTGGATCCTTGGGTGTGTCCAAAAAGATGGACTAAAAACGTGCCAAAGCATGGATGCTATCTGCTGCTATCTGATAACTCTTGATACAATCCATGCCAATGCAAAGCTGGCAGTGTATGAAAACTCGAGTCTGAAGCCGCTCCACAAAGAGATTCTGCAATCCTCAATGCCACAGCTAGGAATAACTTAAGACCAATCTGGGCACCTGATATCAGGATCAAAGCTGAGCCCGAGCTACAAACAATTCGATGTCCATGGCATCAAGGCCCTATAAGACCCACTGCTCTCTGACAAAGTGTTTGATTTCTATCTTATTGATTTCTTTTCACGTTCAAGCATCGCTTCCTCCCAGCAAATCTCAGGGTGACCATACCTTTCTGATTGGGCATTGCTCTGGGGGCTGCAAAGTTCTTGAAGTTAATTAGTGTTCTTCTTATCCCCATCTTTGCACACGTCACTCTGTATGTCTGCGAGAGTGAGGAAAATTCAAGGTACACAGATTGCTTTGCTGCAAAGCATCCAATACAGAAGTATACATAATATTACAGAATATGATCTGTGTCCCAAATCTGTGAACTAAGAGAGGCTTTTCACTTCTTGGCATGAGAATCGGCCGTCAGGCCCGGTTCAAAGGACATGTGAATGTGGGCTCAGTTTCACAGGTGAGCCACATCACATACCACAGTATTAACAGAATCGTGTCATTTTCACAATTCTCCTAGGAAATATCCTTGGAAGCTGGTGGACCCAGCCAGGCTAACTTTGTTATCTTTCAGTGAAAGACTGAACATTCACTCAGACTCTTGGACAGCTCACAGCTGTTCCACCCACATCATGGACGTCATTTCTAACTTCACCTGGATATCGCACAGTGTGGGGAAAAAAACGCAGGTGTGCCTGACATTGTATCCATATATATATATATTATATACATTCATTTGACGACGTACTAGTATATAAATACTGATCAAAAGTCATTCTTTCACAGGATCATGTGACGGGCAAGAATGTGTCTTATAAAGACAAGACTCAGTCACTACCTGCCAAATTATTACTGGTTTAATTAATTAATACTGATTACATTATGATAGCCTTGTGGACATGCAGGTGGCAGCACAGAATCTTATCACAACAGATGATTCGTTGATCTTACTGGGCTTGTACTTGGAAGGCTTACCGGGCCATCCCCTTCAACATATTTCACAATGCATGTTTACATTTTGTCTGATCCTTTGCATAACTTCGGAAAGGGTATGCAGTATGCTGCACTATGCTGTACTGACTGACATATCATCGGCCTTCATATCCTTCCTCATCGTTTCTTTCTTCGGCCCTTAGCTTCCTCTGGCGCTGGCTTCAGCATCGCATGGCCAGTTGCCTTTCGGAAAGCAGATTGCGGCAGATTGATCGTAAAGATTCGCAAAGGTTAAGGAGACGTTGTGAGGCTGCTTCACCTGACCTTAATGTGCTTGAAGAGGGCTGATCTGCTTGTGAAGTCCTGTTTCGACAGGAGCTTTGCAGCTTTACAAGTATAAATATGCATAGGCGCACAACAAATTGTGAATATGGACAAAAACATACACAGGGGCCGTCCTCCTTGCAAACACCACAGGTGTTACCCTGCGAAGCAATTCAATTGCAGACTACGAAATATTCAGCCATGCCAATGCCATGCCTACGTTCCACAGATTCAGACAAGAATTCAAACGAGCATTCTGAGAATTCTGGCCTCTGGAATCGGTCCAGTCAAATCTGCTTCCTTGGCCTCTGATATGTGGTGAGTTTTTCGCTCTGCCATGGTGTCTACGAACTAAAT